ACGCACATTTTCTTCTATGTATACTTTATAATATGACTATGAATTATGAAATTAATTAATCCTCACCAATCACCATGCTATGTGATTATTTCCGGTGGTTGGCCTAAAGCCCGCCTGAAGCTGCTGTTACATAACGCGTATATAATTATATCAATGCAATTGCATGCAAGAAAGAAGATAGATTCATGATTATAACTCAATTTGAAGATTATTACGATTGTCTGCAATTTACTGCCACAGACATTTCGGGATGGGGGCTTCATAAAGACAAACTTTACGCAACAATAATAAACGCGTGATTTTACTTGATTGTTCTCATGTAAACAGTGTTTTTTGTAGACAGCTGCCGCAAAGCTTATGCCCGTTGCACACCAGGCGTCATGGGCATGACGTAGGACTGTGCCAATTAATTGCATTGGGCGGCATTTTGACGCACCGTGAGTGCGACATAGTTCAAAATAAACATTATTGCAAAGTAAACATTATTGCAAAATAAACAGTGCAAACATTGCCTTAATAATAAGCTACTGCATGCAGGCGTATGGGTTCGATAAGCGCAGGTAACAACGCGATCGACTTGGCGCCTCGACGTGTGCAACGGACTCGAGGGGTGTTCTTGTGATTTGTTATACCACTTGCACATGAGGCGTATTTTATTGACGTACGACTGCGTCAGTAACTGTGGTTTTTAACGCATCATGTAAGTGTTACATCGTATTACGAAAAGTGAGTGCAATATTAGCGCTTCAAAAACTATTTGGATTATAGACGTATGTACTAGTTGCTGTCAAGGCTTGATTAGTGCAGGTAATAACGCAACCAAAATGATGCTTGGTGTAAAACGAGCAGTATTATCTGGTATCCTGCGGTATATTGCGATATTTGCCCTTTCCCTGAAGGTGATAATTGCAGAAAATTCAAGAAGCTCACAAAGGCTTAATCTCTTTTCTGTAACGCTGAAAAGGAATACTTACATCCCATTGGAAGGAAACATATAGACCTATGTGTATAATACTTCAAATTTTACCAATTATGTCTCACTTTGTCATGATTCCAGATCCGCATAGCTTGTATAAACATATCAATGTGTTCATTGGAAGAAAAAAGAATATTAAGAACAAAAAACAAAAACAAAACTTGAATCTTGCCCAAGTTTTATCCCTTTTTTATCTTTTCAAATTTGTGCTGATTATCTTCCCTCTTCAAATTTAATTTTATCCTAATTTCATCTCGGACTTCCCATTTATTTTTATATAGTATATACATGCCTCTTCCTGATTTTCTGAACCTTTAACATTATCTGGTTTTCCATAAATCATCATCTTGTTTTTCTCTGCTATTTGTCCACAGTAAATATCTTATCATACCCCCCCCCCCCCTCCCCCTAAACAAACAAAAAATGGATAGTAAAAGATAAACAGATACTGATTTTGCGAGCCGTGCTTAGAGTACTGCTTTCCTAGGGGGAAATGACTCAATGTGAGTGAAAAATTAGTGAAAAGTAAAGTGATTCTGTCATGATGTTCACATGTTTTAAGTAAATCCTTTAGCCATTTCCCCTCCTTTAGATTCAAACGTCCTAAAAGTTATATTTTCATAGCGCCTTTATCCTGTTTATACTTACACCTGTAGTACCCCGGCACTGCTAGGTTGCCGATTTCGGTACTCAGAGCATTCAATGAATTCCTTCCTACCTATAGTTGACACACATGGATGGAAAGTGACAATAATGTAACGCGCCAACTCCACATGACTAATGTATTTGAGGCGCAATGGAGAAGAAGAACTACAAGTACACGAAAATACATAAAAAATGAGCAACAACAATGTAAAAGTAAATCTACTGGAAAGCCACTTTGAACAAATGAGTTTTGATGGCATTTTTAAAGCAAGCTGCACTTAAAATGTACATGAATGTCTTGCCAAAGGACATTAGTGCTGCGTATAGGGACTCGAACCGCGAACCTTTTAATCCACAGTCCAACGACGTTTCCACTAGACGACGACACCTTAAAAAAGTACTTAAGATTTAAACTTTGTTGGCACTTGACGACAGGTGTTGAAAAGTTGGTGATATCAATATGGTATCAAGCCAACGCACTCAGACAATGTTTATATCAACATTTCCTTTTCCTGCACTTGTAAGCATATTTAAGAGCAATATTGATGACCAGTCAATCAAAAATACCGGATGCAGGATGCTTTTAATATAAACAGAATAATATACTGATTGTATAAGAAGGAAAGTACTTTATTTGAGGGCGGTGCGATGATTATGATGAGGGTCATTGTCTCATCAACCCTGACGACAAAATGCATTCTTTTATTTCTTTACAAATATTTTGTAAGTAACCATGGTAACCAGAGAACCATTTTCGAAAGAAAAAAATATCTTTAAAAAAATCTGGTTCTTTATTATGTCATTCAATCCATCAAAAGAATATTGTTGTATAGCAACAGTTACTTAGTGGTAAAGAACATTATTTTACGATTAATTTAACATGTTTTATGAGTGACTCTTCGTTATTTCATAACTACTGTTTGGTTTATTCATCATTGTGTCTCGTCAAATTGATGGAGGAAATATAGGAGTTTTTTTAAAAATAACAATAATATAAAAACCAACGAAACTGGAGCCATTTGTAACCGTTATTGTGCATGGATAACAATACCAATTAGTTTATTCACAGTTCTAACGTATCCATATAGTCTGCGACAAAAGCGCACCACTGTTTAGAGGGAAGTGTTTAGAGTTAGTTACACTACTTAAACAATTAAAAACTGGCAATATAGTTTGGTTGCTCGTGAAATCAACTCGGAGTTAGAAATTACTTGCAAAACAACGCTCCGCACAATATTCATGCTTCTTTGCATCATCGCATCGCAAACGCTTCCATTCTGTCACCCTTCTTTTCTATGACGTTATGATTGCTAGTTATGCCCCTATTCTCCGTGGTCTTCTGTGCTTATAAAAGGGAAATAGATGACGAAGTCAAGTGAGGCACTTCTTACAAGAGTTTTGTTTATTTGTACGAAAAGAAAGAGGATTTTTGTTTAAAAGGTTTTATCATTATCTTCACTTCAAGCATAGTAACCTAGTGACGTTACCTAATTCTTTATTGTTTTAACTTATTGTTTATCTTTTCAGCAAATTGATTGATGATCAGAATACCTGACTCATTGTTTCAACGTTCTTCGAACTTTACAATTCGACATCCCTTTACAAGGCTTAAGCCTGTAATATTTATTAAAGGAGTATGATTTTATTTGATATTTTGATAAAGAGGTGTGACATTTCAAAATCCTTAATGATCTTTACAAATATATGGAAAATTGCATTGTCAATGTTGCTGTACGGTTTTGGGGGGTATACATGTGAATTGATTTCACTTTTTTTCTGACTTTATAAACGGGAACCACGTTGGGCAATCTCAGAAACGTGGGTAGCAAAACAGAGCAGAGGAAACAGGATAAATGTGTGTTTGCTTGCTTGTTTGTATGTCTGTTCATTTATCATTGTGAATGGTTATTCGTATGTTGGAATGTGGGTGCCATGGGATGCAAAGTTTGGAATGGGTACGGTCCTAGCTGACATTCTATCGGGGGAGAATATGAAGTTGAGGGGTGTGGGGCCTGTGGGCGGTGATTCCGGGGAGGGGAATGTGCATTTGTGGGAAGTAGCCATCCCAAGTCAGACGGAATTTTTTTTTTTTTTTTTTTTTTAAATTGGGGACTCTACAGACTACAGTGCGCCCCATAGAAAAACGAAACCGAGAATTATCGATGTTTTATTTTAACTCAATCACAATTGTGATTAATAAATTACACATATTTTTCAAGTATAGATCCTCCTCTTTCATTTGATGCAACTCATATGGTGCATATTTCTCGCATGGGTGATTAAAAACAATTCGAAGAGAGGGCACCAAAAATTCATTTGGCGGGCGGTATCTGAATTTCAAAGAGAAAATCACATTTTTATATAGAAAGTACATTTTTTTTCTGCCCTTTGATGACATCTCAATCAGGAAAACTGAGCCTGGAATAACAAAGTTCTATTAGTTTAAAGTAATGCTTGCATTTTCATAACTTGATTAAACGAATTCGTTTTCACTGGCTGCCTGCCGTAGCAACAAACAGAGTTGGCAAAGGACTTAACTCCGTTTCGTTGACGATCAGCCATGCATCAAGTCTTTCGTCTTCTTTGTGCATGGCTGATCGTCAACAAAATGGAGTTAAGTCTTTTGTCAACTATGTTTGTTGCTACGGCAGGTCACTATTTTTCAATATGCAAAAAACGATAGCCAGGCATTTAATTTTCACATAAAAGGGCACTACAACTTGCATGAGGGAATACAAAAATATCTTTCACATTCAAATCTATTGAAAGCATCCCACCATATTTAAAGAAAATAGAAGACATTCTACGTAATAGGGGCTTACTAACGCCTCGCTAGTTTGTATTCCTGAGAACAATCCCATATTGGTCAACAAAGACACGTGAGCTTTGGCAAAGAGCCTCATTCAGTTATTTATTTCTTTATTTATCTATATAAATATATTTATTCTGATAGTGTGGATGCTCTACATTGATTCAAGTATCAATCAAGACTGCAGAGCCATGCACGAATAGACCGGTAACATTATTCAAATTGTATACATTCATTGTTCAAACATAGGTTGTTCTTGGCACCCCGAAAGCTTGCCGGGGGCTTGCCCGAATTAGCAACAAGGGCAACAAGTAATGCATGAACACGGAATTCTAAGTATTGTAGTTTATTCATTAAATAAAACAATGACATGTTATGGAATACTAGGTCCCCAGGAAAAAATACCCGTAAATTTGAATGTTAGAAAACCAATCAATAATTTATCTATTGATTTTTGTCTTAAAATCGTTGGTCTCTAAGGAACATTCATCTTTCTTTTTATACATTTTTTGTTGTTGAGGGGGGAGTGGGTCCGCATGTTCAGCCTTAAAGCCTCCCCCTCCCACATGGACACGCTAGTGAAACATCACCTGACAGAACCATGGACAGAACACGATATCACATGACATGTGCGCGTAAGTGTTAAGCGCGCTTTGAATGCGCTTTTTAAACAAGTAGGCTTTCCTACATGATTTTTTTTGTCCTAGATCTAGAATCTGTAATTTTATTTCTACTCAGTCGCTAGTTTATTCAATACCACATGCAAAGAAGGGAGGCAAGATAAGCTCATGAAGGTTTTGTTAATCTTCTTAGTCGTTACATTTTCAAGTTGGTCCACATGCGGTTCTATAGGTAAGTACAGTATGTGTAAGCCCGTGTGTAAGTAAGTAAATGTTATGGGGGTACCCGGCCCCCCCACTCAGGTTTCAAAATGACCGCATGCGTGTTGCCAAAATGTCCTTTTCGTAACAAAAGAAAAAGGTCGAGCCGTATTGACTTTACACACCGGACTTTTGCTGAAAAGGGGGGATGCTGAAAAAGGCTCGTATACAAAAGAAAAAGGTCGAGCCGTATTGACTTTACACACCGGACTTTTGCTGAAAAGGGGGGGGGGGGGGGTCGGTTGGAACACGCATATGCGTACCCTAAATAACACTGAGTGGGGGGGCCGGGTGGGGGTATGATGTCTTTGCTCCTACAACATGATGGTGGGCAGCTCAGCAACTACGAAAGGGGAAAAAATGGAGGGGGGATGTAAATGTAGAATCTTAATTATTATGGTTCTGTTTGCATTTCCTCTTTCAAAGCAATACCACGAACAGTGCAGTCGACAAAAAGACAAGTTGATAAGGATAGCATCCACAATCAGTTGGTAAAATCAGAAGATACTTTCCTTGGTGATCGTCTGCTATCTGATCAACGACGGGTGCAACGTGTGACAAGGGATGATGATGAGGAGGTGATCGTAGTTGATGCTGAGGAGGGGGTCGAGGTAAGTCAACATGATTAGATTAGTCCATGGGGGACCGGCCGGCCGGAGGGGGGGGGGGGGGGTGTCCGGACACTGTATCAGGCGAGGGTCCGGGGGTGATCACCCCCGCCGCCGCAAAGAGAGAGAGAGAGAGAGAGAGAGAGAGAGAAGGAAAAGAAAGAAGAGGAAAAAGAAAAGAAAAGAGGGAAAAGAAGGAGATCGGGGAAGGGCCTTGCCTCCCAGGCTGTTGCCCCCCCCCCCCCCCCCATCAAATAAGAGAGAAGGAAGGAAAGTGATATTTAAAAAAAAAAAAAAGGAAAAGAGGAGATAAAGGGAACGAAAAAGAAAAGAGGAAGAAAAAAAGAAGAGGGATATCAGTTGCAACTTTCCCGCCAACAAGTGCGGATCGGGAGTGGGTCAAAAGGCCCTTGTCTCTCTCCCCACCACCCCCTTCCCCCGCCCAAAAAAGAAAGAAGGAAGAGAAAGGGGGAAGAGGAGAGCTAAAAGGGAAGAATAGGAAGAAGAAGAAAAAAAGGGGGAGATAAGTTTCGATTAATCCCGCCAACGCGTGGATCGGGGGGTGAAAGGCCCTGCCCCCCCCCCCCTCCCCGCAAACCCAAAACTTAGATAGAGAAGGAAGGAAAGGGAAAGAGAAGAGAAAGGGAAAGAACAAAAAGAGAAGGAAGAAAGGTAGAGGAGATCAGTTGCGATTTTCCCGCCAACACGGTGTAGATCGTGAAATTCAAACGTGGTTTATTACTAATTCGATACCGGTGATTTACAAATGTTGCTGAAGTGATATAATTTCCGAGATTTTTCCTAATTTTTTTGTAAATTATACTGCTTTATGCGTTTGTTGGAAAATGACGAATCCTTGCAGAAATGTGTCTTAAATGACATCCTCTTACACAATATGATACAATTTCAGTTCAATATTGCCATCAAATTTTTGGCAAATTTAGGGCTCCAAAGAGTAAACGGGTATCCTTGCACAATTTGAATATTCGGACACTGCTAATGATTAAATTTCACAGATAGGACATGTACTTATAATTCCTGCAAAGTTCTACGGAATTTGATGCTGGCTACAAAAGGGATACACTCGACTGCTGTGAAATTTGGAAAAGAAAATAAAGTAATTACGAAAGTAGTCACAATACTAACTAGCACTACCTTACACGAAATTATCCATGCATTTTAAGTTTCTTTGTTTTGTTTTAATGTTTGTTCGTTTGTTCATAACAATTTAATCTATTTATTAGGAATCCAAGATTGTTGACGAGTCTGGAGGAGATTCTGATGATGAAAAGGAGAAAGGATTTCGGGAAAAGATGCATGGATGGCTAAGGCTTGTAACAGGAATCTATGTTTTCATCTGTGTTGTCCTTTGTGCGCTGGCCATTCTCCGATATGTTATCGACGGCTGTCCGTGTCTGCAACAGGACTTTTGTTGAGGCAATATAGACTCTTAAAAGCAATCAGAGAAGCTGAAGTAAGAGAGAGTTGGAAAAGGGAGTGGGATATGGAAGAGGATGGGAGAAAGAAAGAGGGGGTGGGAGAGAGAGAGAGAGAGAGAGAGAGGAGGGGGGGGGGAGCGGAAAGCCCCCGTATATAACCCCTCATATCAAAGTTTAGGCCGTACCCGTGTGCCGTCAGGCTGACGATGTGTTGCCACATAATTATCATCATACTACTAGTGGGGAACCAGTTGAAAGAAGCTTGTGCTACAGAGGGCATTTTCATATCTCTCTGCTATTTGATCATATATTATCATCTTGATGCTTGTTCCTGAAATACTAAATAAAATTATTCTTTTTTCATTGAACATGTGTTTACAAATGTTTCTTCATAAGCAAACATTTCTGTAGCGTTACCTCTTCCGACCCCCCCCCCCCAAAAAAAAAAACCCCTCCTTATCCATAAAATTGTGCACTTTCTACACCCATTACATGTAAATGTATATCAAATCTTGGTAGTGTCGGAACCCCGTGCGCGAGGGATTATAAATGACAAAATAGTCATGATGGTTAGTGCTAGTTGATAGATATCTTTCATTCAATCTGAAGTCAGAAGAGTAGGCTTTACGTTTGTTAAAGTGTCCGGACACCCGATCCCCCATCATACTACAGACGTATACATGTGAATTCACCAACCTTCTCCCATTGCTACTTTCACTAACATCATACAACTGCTACATGGTTGCAAATATTTCCAGAAAATCTTGAATATCCGGGTATTATTAGTGGCAACAGACCATCACTTAAAATGTGCCAAGATACGAAATTCAGAGTTACTCAATTTTCTCAAAATCAAAATGAAACATGGGAGAGGGGGTGCAGGGGATGGGGGCTATCCTACAATACAATAAGGTGTATGGAATCTAGGGATACACAGAGAGACCTGCTGGAAATATTTGCAACCACATTGCAGAAACAGTATTTTCAATTAAATTTGTTTAAAGAGAAGGTAGAGTTCTGGGGAGAGGTGAAAAATAATTTGTGAGCGTTATCAATGTTCTTATGCAAGTGTCTAAGAACATCAGAGTAAAAATGTCCCCTGAAAAAGCATGGCTCTTCAAACGCCTTTATATAATTATTCTAAATATAACAGCTTAATTAAAAGGCCTGATTTTTATGCCACACGTTTATGCAGTCCATATACATCTTTCTGCGTACAGTGCTCGTTACTTTACCAAGACTATGCTAATTTTCTTATCATTTTGATGATTCCAGAACCTTGCAGTAAACATTGATACTTATATGCTACATAATGAACCTTTTCTAATCAACCCCACACCATTTCTTCCACAATGCAATCGCATGACCAGGGTCCCGTTTCACAAAACTTGTCATCAGTGACAAATGACAGTTTTTGTTATAAGCTACTGAAATCCTTACTTCTGATTGGTTATCAGCAGATTTGTCACTGAATTTTTTAATTTGTCATTGAAAAAAGGCTTTGTGAAACGGGTCCTTGAACTCAACTTTATCTTCAAGTCACCAAATCACTCCGTTGAAAAATACAGAACACCTGCATATCAATTTCTCCTGGCTACAACCAGGAGACACACAACATTAGATGTGGCATCAAATCACAGGCACATCCACATGAAAAATTGAGTATTCTTTCAGATAGTTTCAGAACACCTAGAGAACATTACAAAATACAAATACATGTAAAACTATAGCAAAACAACATTTACACAATAGATGTACTCTGTCCACAGACTCCAAACTAAAACTACCTTATTAATGACACTGAAAGCAATGATTTGTGAGAAGGTTGAGCCACAGCCGTTTATTAATGATATGACATATGTTACATGCACAACAGCTCGAAGTACATTCCCTTGTCATCACAGGAGCACATGTTTACCAAATGAAAAATGAAAAACTTTTTAGCAAAGAATTTCCCTGATGATTACAGTTCTTGTTTCATCGGCCGATAAATTTTTTTCTTCCTTTGCTATATACCATCCAAAAAAATGATGAATGGTCTATAGCAAAAGCAATGGATTGAAATCAACAGCTATGGCCAATCACCATTACTATTATACAAGAATGGTTGTGATTAATTAACATGTACAGGATCCCAGATATATCGTTCTTTCTCTCATCCGCTTAGCTGCATGCATTCCACTGCTTCAAGATCTTCAAGCAGGACTGAGGTGTGGTGCCCCATCAACCCACGGTTTTCTCCTTTTCACTCCCACTACACTCCCATTTTAGTGGGCTTTTCTTCTGAAGGAGCAACCTGCAGATGGTTGAAGAGAAAAAAATGGAAGAAATTAGAAAATGCATGAAAATTAAAGCCTTGAATAAAAGACTAATAACCAGGATTAAAAACAGGAAAAATTTCACATTGATCACAATTAGGCAGTAGTTGAGACATTTTCCCAAGCATCAAATTCCTTTTCCTTTTCTTGATATAACAAATCGTCGCTGTTTTCACGAAGTGACGGTAGTGAAAAAAAATTGCATTCACTTTGCGTTACGATTTTCCTCACTACCGTCACTTCGTGAAAACAAGGACGAAATAATAGGCCCGATGAGAAATAACCTAATTAAACTCTCTCTTTACAAGAGTACCCAAGCATCATATCATGGTTTGATCTAATCTCTTAATGAAGATTGCATGTTGTCTTGGCAGAGCTTGAATGAACATTACAAGGGAAGGCTGAACATTATGCTTCTTCAAGGACATTAAGAATCCCTAGGGCCTGGAATGTATCTTATTACAATACATTTGAAGTTTTTTAAATGTTTCATTTCACCTTGTGCATCTTAACAATTTGTTATCATACATTTGTTGAAGTATGTGATATTTAGTTTGAGTTGTCAATATAAACAGTGGCACAGTAAACCAATAAATATTTCACCTACTTCATATTATCACAAGACATTCATGTTAGAACATGTTGTATTACGTACACATGTACTTGAAAACTATCTACTCCAGAATGTTCAGCCAGTTACAGAATTATTTGCATGTTTACTGTTAAAATTATTTTGTAAACCATTAACGAAGCTCTTTTCATCAGGTTTTAATCAACTTGATGTGAAGCTCTTGTGACTAACATAATGTGTGAGCTTTGGCCAGTCTTCTTAGCATTAAAATGGATATAGTTACAATGATCTCTTATTTTCATTGTTTTGAAGACATTAGTCTTATGCCGTTTGAATCATAAATACATTTAAACATTTAGACACTAAAGATATCAAAATCATAACGTGCAAATACTTGGATAAAGAAAATCAATACCACTTTAACAAAATCAATGGATTCTTTAAAACTAAAGCCATATAAGAAAATCTAGATTCGATATTATGAAGGACAGTTGAACTTGAAATCTGTTTACTCTTTAGATTCAGTGGAAAATGTTTATACAGCAGTGGGTGGTCATATTTTTTGACATGCAGAAAATATTTTTCTAATGTCGACATTTCCTCGTAAATCCTAATTTAAAATAACAAAAATATATCCGTTTCCTCTATCTTCAAATAAACAGTGAAACTTTGTTTAGCCAACAATATAAACAAATATATCTTGGTTTCACAACTAAATGTAGATTCAGATGCAGAAACTTACAACAGGGGGGTGTATCACAAAGATTCTAAGTTGAACTTATCTCTAAGTTGAACTTATCTCTAAGCTGGACTTAAAGGTATTACAAAGTTTTGGTTCAAATCAACATATTGGAAGCGTATGTGTTCCTAAAATATTCATTGATCGTTGTCGCGGTTGAAATCGAGTCTAACATTATGAAATTGTAAATAATTAACTTCTTATGTCGTATAGCTCCCTCTCAAGATCAAGATATTAATTAAGCTATAAAACAATGTTTTTTGACTAAAATCGACTGATTAGCTATTCCCATTTGAAAATTATATATCACAACTACATATTCTGAGATTTTCATGGTCGCAGCTACCATTGTACGGCCACTCGCGCTATTTGAAATTTATCAAAATATATTCAATTTTTCTCGAAAACAGAAGTGTTTTAGGGGCTAATTTTTTAGTACTTATAATACATCCACAGGGGCATCCAAATATATCGAAATTGTAAAGATTCACTATCCATCCAATTTTCAAAATTTCCCAAAACCAAACCCCAAATTACCTTAACAATTATAGAAAGCCATTAGCTTCCTTGAAAACATTTTGTAAAAGTTATTGTAAAAGGAATAAAATGTTGATTCAAATCATTCATATTTCCTATTATAATGGGAGATTTCAAGTTCTTGATGCTTGAATTTTTGCTTTTGAATATATTTCATTATAAGGCTACAAATGGCTCCCCATAATATTTAAGTCCAACTTAGAGTTTAAGTTTGACTTAGAATCTTTGTGAAACATCCCCAGGATGTCACAAAGGTAATTTTTCTGAACAAGGCTCAGGTGGTTTACTGTACAGTCATGTTCTTACCTTCAGTCAATCGTGCCTTCCCTCCGGTGGGTTGGCAGAGCACGGTTGAGCAACCTACGCACAGAACAACTGTCTGTGCATGGCTGAACACAGTTGTGATCTTGTAGCAGCCTGATTAACAAAAAATACATAAGAAGTGACATGTTAGTATGATATTCCCTAATATATGTGGAGCAAATGTTGAGCAAATATTGGAAAACGAAAATCAATCTTCTTTAAGAACTTTAAATTATGTAGCGTCATTAGGAAATACATTACCGGTACTAAATTAAATATTTTCTAAACTTCATCATCCAATCCTAGAATACAGTTTGAAGTTTTGTTTAAACACTGATGTCTTGCGAAACATTACCAGTACCTCCAATGTACTTGCATGTCTAAGTCTAACTGCTGAAAACAATTAGCCAGTATTTTTTCAAGTGTAGTCCAACTATATGACGGGTAAAAACTCTTTTGAAGTGGGTTTAATTAATCCAATGATTCATGAAGCACAGTGTCAAAATCTTTTTTTTATTCTGTGCTAGTTACAAGTAACTATGATTCTGTAACTAAATGAACACATAAAAGTCATGTCTTCATGCTTTTAATTTCCATTTTCCTTTCACAAATACATCTACTCGCATTACTATTTCATTACAGAATTTGAGTATTTGTCCAGGATGGAAAAGTTCTCACTTGGTGTCTATTAACTGTCTACTAAAAGTTGATTCTTTGTGACATAAAGCCTAAATTTGCCAGCTTCTAAGTCTATGGAATAAGATTGTATTTACCTGGGCACTTCACATCCATGAAGTATGAGTTAGGACTCTGCACAAGACGCTTCTTCTTGTGCCTCCTCCTCTCACTCTCAAGGGTTGGGTTTAGTAGATCTTGTGCAAGCTAAGATAAAAACATCAGAAACAATGGATAGTTTAAAACATGGATCTATTTTTACAAACAACCTCTCACTCTCAAGGGTTGGGTTTAGTAGATCTTATGCAAGCTAAGATAAAAACAGCAGAAAGAAACGATGTATGGTTTAAAACATGGAACTAATTTTACAAACAATCAAAAAGTCTATAATCAATTGATAGACTCGATACTGTCTCCAAGGTTCAACATGAAGACTGAAAAGGGGAAGAAAAAAACATTCATTAAGATGTCATGCCCTTGCGAATTTGCAGGAAGTAAACACAACTGATATATAAACAAATCCTACAGCAAACTGCCTGAACACAAATTGTGCCCTTCTCAAATAATGTCCTTATCACAGTAAAGTCCTTCTTCAATATCAGCTTTTCGTGGAGAATACTTACAGGCATTGTTGGTCATAAGCATGTTATTTGCAATAAATCTGAAAAAGAATTTTTCTTCAGTCAGGCAGTACTCCAAGACCGACTAGAAATGGGCACATCACAACACACCAAACAGTAATATACCTGCTCATGTTATTGCAACACAGTGTGTAAACAACCAGTCCCAGAATATTATAAGATTGCAACATTCCAAAACAAGCCAATCTACCAATTGTAAAACAGACTTTGCTCAACCTTGGATAAACAAAGCCTCTTGTACTACGAAATGTGATCATCCCTTATTTATAGGCTTATCTCTATTTTTAATTTTGTGTGTCTATCGTTTAAATACTGTTGGTCCCAACCAAGTCTTAAAGTATATATACAATTGAAAATTGTTCAAATCTGCATATCCAGAACACCACAATAATGTTCAATGTGCAGTTAAACTATACTAATTAAATTCTTGTAAAAATCAAGTACTGGTACATGACTCATGAGTAATAGACAGTCATATAAAAAAAAAGACTTTATTATTTCTTCTTCGTTTTGATTAATGTATACAAATTCTATCCAAAAATGACATAAAAACATGGCTTTTGGCAAGCTTATGGCAATTGCATGCATGAGCTATACAGGATTCACATAGATCAGAGCAAGCAGACAGTAACTTGACTCTTGTGACAAGTCACAACAACTTCTAGCCCAAACTTTGAGAACACTGCAAGTTTTCATGAATCTTTTAAAATATCTATAAACAAGTTTGTTACAACTACTAGTAGTCGTTGACTGGCAAATTATTAAATTACTCATAAAAAATGTCGACTTATTGGAATTTAAAAAAAAAAAAAAATCAAATTAAAGGGTGTAATCTAAACCCAAGCGTCAAGACATTCCCCCCCCCCCTACGTAACTATAGCCACATAGCTTAGCAAGTGATTTGAGGATTGATTATTGCAAATCTGGCATTGATCACTAGACCTATGTGCAATCAATTGTACGATCAACTGCTAAACTTTGCGTTGCCAGCCTAAGTAAGACTAAGACTAAGAGCAGACATATTTTGTTGTCCAGTTTTTGAGGAAAAATTTCGCAACCACTCACATCAGCCAGGGGGGAGGGGGGGGGGGGGGTAAGAGCATAGACTATATATTTGTTTTTCTTTCGGCGGGAAGTTTTTTTCATAAACCAGGAGATTCTAGGTCTACATCGTTGGCGGGAGAGCGGGAGTCTCCAGCTACAACAAGCAGCTTTAGGGGTGGCAGGAGAATGAGCGTGGTCAGTAGGGGCGCTGGTCCAAGAATGAGGATCGTCCTCATAAACAAGGATATCCTCATAAACGAGGACAAAATACGTCCTCAAAAATAAGGGTTGTCTGCATTTTTGAGGACGTTTTTTTTCATCGGCGCTCTGGGGGTTTCATGTTACAGAACGGCCTGCTGGCGATGCCAAAAATGGATTCCCCGGGGGACAATAACCCTAGTTCACCGTCTACTTTTATGGGTTGTCCGTCTTCCCAAGGATTTATTGCTTATAATGTGAAAGTCTCTGTACAATGTCAATGTAAAATGCATCAAGAAAATCATTGCAGAATCCGTTTTTTGCATCACCAATGCACCGATCAAAAATATGAAACGTCTGCAAAAATGCAGACGGTCCTTATTTTTGAGGACGCATCGGTCCGTGTTTACGAAGACGATCCTCGTTTAAGAAGACGATCCTTATTCTCGGACCAGCGCCCCTACTGGTGGTGGCGCGAGACTCCCTCCAAATGCGGGAGGGTTGACAGCCCTGCAAATTGACAGGTTAAATCTTAAGTTGCTTCAATAAAATAAGTCTCATCAAGAAAGATGAGAAAGAAATCATGCACTCTCAGTCTCACTTTCTTTCACTGATTAATGCTGTTCTCTTCTCCTCGACTCAACTTTGTCACCTCCACTTCTGTCCACCTGCACTGCAGTCTGCATGCAACTGCAATTAGTGACCACATTGAATTAGTGATTTCATGTACAGACCGGGCTGCAAGATCTTACTTATGGTTTTTTTTTTTTATTACAAGAGTCATAATAGCAATCGGTCAATTTACAAATCTAGAGATGATTAGGTCTAGACTAGTTAGATCTAGGCACAAAATATTACAACATCGTGTCGAAATGTTGCGCTTGCGCACGCACGTGAATCACTACATGCATGGAGTATCATGTAGACGTACGCACGAAAACGCAATCATTCATTCACTCATCTCGTCAAAGGTACCCTATAAATATCGGTACAAAATGACACTAATTTAGATTATTATACATTGAAAATACATGTGTGATCATTTACAGATTATATCACTTCTCTCTGTATGATCGGTTTTGTGAATAACTACCCATAACTATGACTTCATTGGCAATCTTTAACCCAACTTACAGGCATGGTGTTTTCGCTAGGCGATCACATAGGAAAGAGGCTGACCTAAGCGAGTACTTCCGTAACGTGACCTTTATGAAATAATTAGTCTAAAATTACAGACACGATCTGTTTCTCAGGCTGTTTTTATCAAACCATAAATCATAATATAACTAGACCCTACCAAGCATTACGCCTTCGAAGGCGAATGGGGTTTTGTGCGGAGGGGCCAGGGGAGGGGGGATGCCGCCTCTGAGAATTTTGAAAGTACCAATATTTTGGCTCTTTTCCAGTCAGAGAAATATCTGTCTTTTTTCTCCCCGGCCCTCATTTTCTAAATCTTTAAAATTATATTTTATTTATTTATTTATTTTTTTTTTTTTGGGGGGGGGGGGGACAGACGCAATTTCATATGTGTAATTGAAACTCTTTCTCTAATGCACCCCTCCCCCCTGCGTTCTTGTACCTCTTAGTTGAACTTAAGACTGTTTTCTTTTTAATTGGCATAACTGAGTATGCACCGAAGCGAGCCATAATAATTTATGCATCAATTTAGTCTTCAACTTCTCAGGGGGGCACATCCCCCGTCAGACACCCCTTGCCTTCTTGTTCCTGTTAGTTGAACTCAGTCTGTTTTCTTTTTAATTTGGCAAAAAGTAAGTTTATGCATCAATTTTTAATAATGAATACACTGACAATAATTTTGTTTAGGTAGGGAAGAGCTTGTAGCGGCTCTAACATGCCCTACTTTCACCGTACATTAATTCATGTCTCCTGTATTTTTCCATCACGGTACTTTATATTCATTATTCGGACCACGTGTGTTTATTCCTCCAATCGAGCATCGTGGTTCCGCGCATCGTTCACCCGCGTATTTTCATCACCACGAGGGTTTCTCCACTCCCGCTTACACCTCGGTCGAGTCAACAACTCCCGCTTACACCTCGGTCGAGTCAACAACTCCTGCTAATACATCTCAGTTGAGTCAACACGTTTCTGCATGATTTCCTCTCCAGGCTTGATTCTACTGTGCCTATCACTTCTATCGGCACATCTTCACTTTTTCTGCCGTGTTCACCAGGGCTGCAGTCTTCCAGTGGAACAGTTAAATCTAGTTCCGACATATATGGTGCTTGGTTATCCGCTGGGAGCTGCCAGTTTCTTCACCGGTAGTCTTTCACTCACATGAGCTCGACTCACCGCAGCTCATCTAAACATTCACCATCAAAGTTCGGCTCATCAATCGAGCGACTCACCGTCTCAGCACCACTACCGGCTTTGATGTCTGCATTTTCCACTTTGGCCTCCGACATCAAGCGACTCACTGCTTTCGTCATCGAGCGCCACACATCTCTTCTCTTCTCTTCTCTTCTATTCTCGCCCGAGAGCTCCATCTACATTCATCATCATCACGAGCGTCGGCGACGACATAGCGTTCTTCACGGTTCTTCAACCACGTCAACGAAGTCGCGTTTCCGCCATCAAGCCTCCGCACATTTCATCGCGTGAGCCCCTTCTTTCGTTCTCAACTCTCTTCATCTTCATTGGACTTTCGGCTTCATTTCTACTATTGTCGTAAGCTCTATTTATGTACATCGCATTTATTCACGTTCATTATGTACATCGCATTTATTCATGTTCATTATCATCTTTGATCATTATGTAACTCCGTGCAATATTCACATTTCTCATTTATGCATACTCATTCCGATTCTTCGGCTTGTGCTTGGCTACACTTTGCAAGTGTACGGCCAGCCTCATCAGTACCCAATAAACATAACGAAAAGGGAATACTTTCTTGTATGTATTTTATTGCCAGTGACTAACCTTGTTTCCTCGTAGCTATAATAAAATAAAGAGTTATGTTGTGTGACGAGTGAACACGCTTTCAAATATCCATTCACAATACCTCACACTCATAATTCTACAAGCTAATCAACAACACGTTCTTCCTGAGGGCCGGCCCTGTAATTATCAGTCCCCCAGCAATTGCCAGGCCTTTTATACCTATACACCTGGGTGTAGTGTGGCAAATATGGATTAATGTCTTGCCCGCCAAATGACTTTGATGTCGGGCCGCCGGGGATTAAAATCCTAACCCTTGGATTGAGATTCAAGCTGAACCACCATTCCACGACAAATTGGAACTATGATTTTCTGCTCATTATAGGCCTATACCTTGTAAATTCCATTGGATTCTTGATTTAAATACTAGCCTCCTATCTCCAAATCAACGAGCTGGCGCTATTTTGATCTTGAGAGAAACATCGTGCACAATCATTGAGATTCATTGAGGTATAAGACTTGCTTTATGTGATAAAATTACAATTGCCCTCCGTAGGATATAAGGCTGCCGGAGAGATGGAGAACACCCCTCCCCCCGCTCCCCCCCCCCCCCCCCCACCACACCCCACCCCACTGATCGTCAGTATAGCATAGTGGATATCTAATAAACTATCCGAGTTCTCAGAACAAGTGATGATTATGTGGCTGATCAAGATAGCGGGAGGGTGTCCCGCGATTAAAAAAAATCAATTATTTTGGCACAAACCGCTAGGGCCCCGGTCAAAAGTTGATTCCCCTCCTTTTTAATCATTTCATTTGATTGCTAGGTAAGCGTGCTTGATGACTTTGTTTCAAGGCATCTATTCATACCGTGCCATTTTTTTTCTTTGCCCAGTTGAGAAGAAAATTTAATCGGGCAAGGGCATTGACATTTTGAAAGGATGAGAGAACCTGTAAGAAAAAAAGGAAAGAAAATCAGAATTCCTCAAAAACCTTGTGCTTCCCTAAATTATTTTCTGCAGTTTTATTCCAAAAAAAGTTTGTTAAGGGCATGCACCACTTTTATCGGAGGCAGAGCAGTTATCAGTTGCAAAATCTTTCCGAACTAAGTAATGACAACATTTCGATACTGGATGGGCATAGTTTGATGCCCAGGAACGGTGGCTGCAACTCTGCAAAAATGCATGTTGATCCCTCGCTTTATATTCTCAAATACTTCCAAAACCGTGGATCAACTGAGCATTTTCGAAAAAGGGGAGAAGACAGACCTTCACGGTGGACCACCAAAACATGAAGAGCGTTGACCTCTATCAATCTGATCTTGATAGCGTCATTTCAGCCAAAAGAATACTGAAAAATCTACCTCTTGCTAATCTAATCGTTAAAAAAAAAATCTTTGATCTAATAGTGTAGGCATTCATATATTGATTTATTGACATTGAATTTTGATGGCGTTTTTATTTCATTTTGAGAACATCATGCCACTGATAGCCGTGTTTTGTTATGCTTTTGTTTTTGTTTTTAATACTATTCTCTTTGAATTCCTGGATTTAGGCTACAACTGAACGTACAATGTACACGTGTACTATACAGCTGTTCATATAATGTTGTACACATAACCTGTATTGCGAACCGAACCGGCGTGGACTTTGGCTATTGGTTAATAGCTGATCAATAACTCTCATCCATTTCTGAAGAGCCATAACTGGCTCATTCATTTTCATATGACTTCCAAGAGCGGATTTCACACGGTGGATCTATCAAACAGTCACCCGAAAGAGTCCGATTTAAATCAGAAAATAGAGAGGCCATTTGGTAGTCGACAGACCGAGCGCATTTTTCCAGCACAAAACGTCAAGCAGGAAGAAGGCGATATGCCGGGCGCTCAGCCGGGATCAACGGGGAAGCTCCTGCTTTGTTTCTGTGGTGTTTTTGTTTGCTACTTCTACTTCGGTATTCTTCAAGAAAAGATGTGAGTACGAACAATAACAGTAAAAAGAAAAGGACAACTAAATCATGTCACTGGAGTCTGTACTGTAGACGAACTTGTATTTTATACCATCACACCGAGATTACATTTTACATTTACTATTTACTATTTACCCCCCCCCCCCCCCGGCCCCATTAAGCCAGGCCATAGATTGGGCATACAACAGGCCATGCATATAGGCACAGGCCATAGCCTAATCACATACATTTTTATTTTCATGATTTACCCATTAGGTTCAAACTTAAGGCATCTTACTTGACCTTTGAGCAATGAAAGCAAATTTGAAGGGAAACTGGAGAAAAAAGGTAAAGAGTGCCAAATCCACTCTCGTTCGAACTGTCCAGGCCAGGAACATTCTCATTAACTGTTTTGTTTTGTTTTGTTTTATTTTTACTTTTAGTAATTAATTATATTTTTTATAGCAGTGTGGAGCCATATTTCATCTGAGTAGGTGTCAAATGCATATTCATGGCTGAGCCATATAAACTAGAATTTCTTATGAATATGCAAAGTGAGAATTCAGTAAAGGTCTCACCACAAAGGCACAATGGTAAATTTGTGTAATTTAACTGATTTTTATAATTTTTCATCATTCTATCGAATATTTGTATTGGTTCAGGGTGTGGCATTTGATTGCTTCAGCTCGGGTCTATAAATGATAACTCTTACAAATACACTGCTTAATTAATAGTTGATTAGTGAAAAATTGTTTGTTTTAATCCAGCATTTCATTTGTACATAAAATAATGAATACCGGTAGGCTTCTGACAGCTGACCTTCTTATGGAGGTAATACATTAATTGGTCAAACAGCCACACTTGGTTTTGATTCAATTTTCCTATTGTCAGCTTTAATTAAGTCCATGTAAAACTGCCTCCCAAATGGGCAAGTCACCAATATTGGCCATTGCCACTACTTTTATGTTAAACTCAAATACTGAGATAAGTGAGATTTGAACCCTGTTTTATTAATCCATCTATTAGACTTGATTCCAACAAAATTAGGCATCCGAGTGTACGAATAACAATTACAAAATTGCAAGGCCAACTTGGCCAAATGCAAATAACATGTTACTAAAGTGCAATGACTCTCAGGTAGAAGAATAACTGATCATGATCCTTTGTCTGCAATTTTAATAAAAGTAACATAAAAATTTGTGTCACATTCTGAGTTAAATTTTACTTGATTGATGTGTCACAATCTTTCTTTCTTTTATTGAATGTATTTCTTTCTGCTATGCAGAAAATAAATGATCCATGTCTTATTTTTTATTTTTGTCCTTGTAGAACAAAGGGCTCCTATGGCGAAAATGAAAAATTCAACTACTTCTTGTGCCTACTCTTCTTGCCATGTGTTTTCAATGCCCTCTATGCGAAAGCAGGTATGTTATTCAATTGCAAATTATTATTCTTTTTCATTACTAGAATGATGTAGAATCCAAGATAACTTTGCCTAGTTGCGTACATTATTGTGTCCTGCCCATAATAAAGTGTTGAAAAGCTCATTATTTGCAGAATTTATGTCATCGTTAGCCTTGTTGTACTAGTGATAACATGATAATTCCCATTTGCCATGACTCGCTGTCTATGTTTCAAATGATTGTCATTACAGGATGTTAAGGATTAGGAGTGTGACAGACTTGTCTGATTTTGTGTGTGGCTTGAAATTAAAAACCAACAGGCATGAGATATTAAGTGACTCAAATAGGCTCAGTTTATCATAAATGTTTCTCTTTGACATTCTTAAAGGTTACCCTCTTGCTAAGATTCTTAGTGTGCAAGATGACAAGATTTTCCGATGGCTGTGTCAAAATAAAGAGCAGCTACAGTTAAGGCCTTATGGTGTGCTGTTTATAGTTGTACATTTTATAACATCAAATTGATCAAACCTACTACAATGTAGTTTTACACATTATATGACTACTGGTAACAATTGCATCTGCAATAAAAGGGCTACCAAGTAGTCAGATGTAACAACATTTATTAAATTGTAGATTACTTTAATAGAAAATACCACATATTTATGAAATGTGTCCATTAAATATAATTTTTTTGAGCTTTGTTTGTAATCTTGTTTTTGTACCTGCAGTTCTGTACTTCACAAGTGAAGGTTCAGATCCTACATCACACAAACTCTATGCAGCTTGCTCAGTGACCTATCTTGGAGCCATGGTGGCCAGTAATATGGCCCTTCGTTATGTCAGCTATCCATTCCAGGTCCTTGGCAAATCATGCAAACCAATTCCAGGTAATGAATGGAAGCGTTATTCTATGTACAGATATTTCATTTTTAAGCTTTACTGTAGGGACAACGAAAGGTTGATGTAGAAAGATAAGATGAGAGAACTATAGATTCAGAGATTTCTAAGGGTATGAAAAGAGGGGAGATGGAGGTAATAAATGATATACTGTAGGGTAGGGAATAGGATAACTGGGGCCAAATTTTGATTGTGTATACCAGTTCTCTTAGTAACATTTTGATAAATATAGCTTGAAGTTGATAGTGCAGATTATATCCAACCATTATGTATCTCTTTTTAATCATTTGAATCCAACTTGTTTATATTGTTGCAATAAATGATAAATGAATAAACCTTGCAGAATGTAGTTTTACAATGTTAACAGGAGGAAGTGTCAAATGTTACTTTGTTGAATATGGAGACAGCAATACTCCTTCAACAATGCCATATCGAGTTGACGTTTTTATCATTAGTCCATGTTTGTCTTGAAAAAATTCACCTTTCCACTGTCATTTATAATTTGGAGACGTAGCTCTTTAAAAGATGGTTAGGAGATGAATATTTTGAATACTGACATTGCAGCTATCTGACTTTGGTGGATTTCATGATTACTCTTTATCTTCTCCAGTTCCATATGTGTTCCATCATTGATGAGGGAAAGGCTATTTATTCAGCCTTTTAATGATGAAAAATACAATGAAAAACAAAGCAGAATAATAGATATATGTCTAAACTCACATGAAAGATTAGTCTCTCTCACATGGTGCACCCGCAAGCCTACTGTATAAACTCACATGGTTCTAAAAATGCATTTGAAATTCAAGATACTCTAATAATTATTTTGCTCAATATTTGCATTTTTTTTCTTCCAAACAGTTATGATTCTAGGTGTACTTCTTGCCAGAAAATCCTACCCTTTGATGAAGTATTTTTGTGTGCTACTGATTGTCTTTGGTGTTGCAACATTTGTCTACAAAGATAAGGGTGCGAGTAAGAACAGTGATCACTTTGTAGGCATTGGAGAAGTTCTTGTGGTGAGTTTATACAGTTACTTATTTGTAGTAGTCTAATTTGTAGGCATCCTAGTGGCTACTGGGCCTGTATTCAATGTAAAAACTGTATTTTATCAATTTTGATATTGTTTTGTGGATGACTTACGTCTCTACTAGTTTATGAAATCCAGCAATATTTGTTTACATCAACTGTTTTAATCTTTTTACACTTTACAATCTACATCCAATGGTATAAAATAAAGTTCCAATAAGTCCCTTCTGAAATTAGGGATCTCTCATATGGAACCTGACGTTCAATTACGTCAATGGCTCAAAAAATGCACCAATCCTTGTTTTAAAAAACTATGCATTTTTAGGGGTATTGCAATATCATCCTTTTGAAGCCAGAATGGCTATAGCACATACCGGTACATTTTAAGAACACAGAGCAATGCCCTTCTGGCTGTGAACATATGATATTTGGTCAAGCTTAAATTTACCAGTAGAAAAAGCAAATTAGAGTGTGATCGGCAGTTGAACTGACCGATTTATGAACTTTTGTTCCATTAGTTGTAATATTACATGTAGACTTAACTCTTTGTTTGCTTTGTTCGCCGATTTGCACGGACGTAGGCGTGCCAACTTCGCATTTTTGCACAGATGTATACGAGTCAATTAGACATTCATAATACCGCTCGCAGTGTGTAGCCACGCGTTGCGTTTACTATTGTTTACATTGTATACATCGCACACTTTCCGGTAAACTGTTTTTCTTCATAGTGTTACATTCGAAATTACCGTGTATTTAGCGGTTTTCTTTGGATTTTTTTTACTGATGTTACGATGGCACCTGCTGGAAAACGTCAACGTGTGTTTAGTGTAGAGGAGGCTCGAGATCTTGTTACTATGGAAGCATGGAGCATGGACTCTGATTCCGACGAATCGAGCAGTGACGAAGACTCTAGTGATAAAAGTGTTCCCTGAGAGTAGACTGATAGAATAAGAATGAATAAAAATTAATGAAAGAGCTAGAGATGACAGCAAGAAAGAGAGTAGACTGATAGAATAAGAATGAATAAAAAAAATGAAAGAAGGAGATAGAGATGACAGCAAGAAAGAGAGTAGACAGTGATAGAATAAGAATGAATAAAAATAATGAAAGAAAGAGATAGAGATGACAGCAAGAAAGAGAGTAGACTGATAGAATAAGAATGAATAAAAATTAATGAAAGAGCTAGAGATGACAGCAAGAAAGAGAGTAGACAGTGATAGAATAAGAATGAATAAAACTAATGAAAGAAAGATGTATCCTGTCTTGCCGTCATCTTTATATCTTTCTTTTATTATCTTTATTCATTCTTATGCTATCAGTGTTTACTCTCTTTCTTTCCGTCATCTCCATCTTATTATTATTATCATTTTCCTATCTATATGTACCCTATGTCTTGCCGTCATCTGTATATCTTTTTCTTATTATCTTTATTCATTATTATGCTATGAGTGTAATACTCTCTTTCTTGCCGTCATCTCTATCTCATTATTATTATCATTTTCCTATCTATATGTACCCTATGTCTTGCCGTCATCTCTATATCTTTCTCTTATTATCTTTATTCATTCTTATGCTATCAGTGTTTACTCTCTTTCTTTCCGTCATCTCTATCTTATTATTATTATCATTTTCCTATCTATAATTATGTACCCTATGTCTTGCCGTCATCTCTATATCTTTCTCTTATTATCTTTATTCATTCTTATGCTATCAGTGTTTACTCTCTTTCTTGCCGTCATCTCTATCTTATTATTATTATCATTTTCCTATCTATATGTACCCTATGTCTTGCCGTCATCTGTATATCTTTCTCTTATTATCTTTATTCATTCTTATGCTATCAGTGTTTACTCTCTTTCTTGCCGTCATCTCTATCTTATTATTATTATTATTTTCCTATCAATATGTATCCTATGTCTTGCCGTCATCTCTATATATTTCTCTTATTATCTTTATTCATTCTTGTGCTATCAGTGTTTACTCTCTTTCTTTCCGTCATCTCTATCTTTTTATTATTATCATTTTCCTATCTATATGTACCCTATGTCTTGCCGTCATCTCTATATCTTTCTCTTATTATCTTTATTCATTCTTATGCTATCAGTGTTTACTCTCTTTCTTTCCGTCATCTCTATCTTATTATTATTATCATTTTCCTATCTATATGTACCCTATGTCTTGCCGTCATCTCTATATCTTTCTCTTATTATCTTTATTCATTCTTATGCTATCAGTGTTTACTCTCTTTCTTTCCGTCATCTCTATCTTATTATTATTATCATTTTCCTATCTATATGTACCCTATGTCTTGCCGTCATCTGTATATCTTTCTCTTATTATCTTTATTCATTCTTATGCTATCAGTGTTTACTCTCTTTCTTGCCGTCATCTCTATCTTATTATTATTATTATTTTCCTATCAATATGTATCCTATGTCTTGCCGTCATCTCTATATATTTCTCTTATTATCTTTATTCATTCTTGTGCTATCAGTGTTTACTCTCTTTCTTTCCGTCATCTCTATCTTTTTATTATTATCATTTTCCTATCTATATGTACCCTATGTCTTGCCGTCATCTCTATATCTTTCTCTTATTATCTTTATTCATTCTTATGCTATCAGTGTTTACTCTCTTTCTTTCCGTCATCTCTATCTTATTATTATTATCATTTTCCTATCTATATGTACCCTATGTCTTGCCGTCATCTCTATATCTTTCTCTTATTATCTTTATTCATTCTTATGCTATCAGTGTTTACTCTCTTTCTTTCCGTCATCTCTATCTCATTATTATTGTTATTTTCGTATCAATATGTATCCTGTCTTGCCGTCATCTTTATCTCTTTCTCTTATAATCTTTATTCACAGTAAAGTCCTTTCATTTCATATCACTATTTCTCTCTCATAATGTCTCTCACGTCCGTTCTCCATATTTTATTCATTGCATACTCCACTCGTCAATCATTTCTGATAATAAGCTCTCTCACAATAAAGTAAATGGAAAACAATGCAATATAGTTTATATTTTAAGATTGATTCATTCTTTCTTTGTATATCTATGGCTGTGATAAATGTACTTGAAATCAATTTTATTGAGGGGTAAAGAAGGTGAGAGAACAGATGCGGTGAACATTCATAATGAGACATTTCAATAAGATGCTGATTATGTCATGTATATCACATATAATATATTATGCCTATACCATTTTTACATGCTCATACCAGTGGGCAAAATCAATAACATTCTCTTATTTCTTATTGACTTATCATGGCACAACAAAGAAAAACATCCCCACGACGTCCCTTTTCATGCCCCGCTAAACCGGACATTGACAATAACCTGGGGTAATAGGGATTTCAATGGGCAGATTAGCCCATTGTCAAGGGTGGCTGAGCGGGTACTTTCAAGTCTCTCCCTATTGAACTTCTTTTCTTCAACAACCTAAATACTAACCTTCTGAATTGTTAGAATACTTGAGCAAGGTATGTAAAGAAAGGTAAGAAGTCCACCTTTCTAATAGATTCGATTTGAAGATGTCTTATCATTGCTAAATAAGAAATTCTAGAGGGATAAAAAACTGCCGTAAATAAGAAAAATTAAACATTATATAATTATGATTATTATAAAAATGATAATTCAAAATATAACAAATGACGGTTCATCGAAAAGCACGTTTTCCGGTCTACAACTTTGCTGCACAATATTTTTCATCATGATCATCCAGTGAAGAGTTATAGCCTCTTGATTCAGCAGAGTCAATAAAGATTCCCTCGAAATGTGTGACCCTAAAAGAATGTGGCACAGGGGGGTTTTTTAAGTGGCGCATAAAGAGTTAATAACTAAATCATTCATACCTTATCAAGTTTTGTACTTTTTTACGTACCGGTACGCAACAAATTGATTTGTTCTGATTTGTGTTTCTTGAGAATGTGACAAATTAAAGTGTACATCTGAAAGTATTCAACAAGGCTCTAATTCAACCAGTCCACCTTTCATTCGTATGGTACAAACAAAAACACTAAAAACCCATCATATTTAAAAGGGGCAAGAATAATTTAGTTGTGAAGTGAATATCATACAAGATTATCCTTCTCTTGTCATTTCTTGATTGTAAAGCTTGTTGTCTTTGACATGCCAATGGTGTCTTTAACATTTGACTGATATCATTCAAGACTGTTCTTCTCTTGTCATTCCTTGTTGTTAACCACATTGTCTTTGATATACAGATGGTGTCTTTAACATTTGATGGATTGACAGGGGCAATTCAAGAAAACATGAGAGGCAGGTTTCAGACACGGCCACATCACATGATGTTTAGCATGAATGCATGGTCAATTCTATACCTTGGAATAGGTGAGTAAGATATAATAGTATACAAATATACAATGACACTCGAGGATCTAGCTGAAACTATTTGCATCGAAGGAACATCAACTAGTACTATTCTGAGTAGTACTGATGTTCCTGAGTGCGAAAAGTTTTAGCTTGTTCCGAGAATGAGTCATTTTATATTTGTTTTATATCCCTTCCATCTGTATTATTCCTTGTACACTTCTGTAATAACATGACCCTTATACTCACATTCACATCTACATTCAGATCGAAAAGAAATAAAGAAAATTGCACGGCTCAAATGAAACATTGAAGGATGTAAAAATGTTTAGCTGGCGCTAGTGTAGTGCAGTTATCGCACAGCATAAATTGCATATGGCTTGAGCTAGCGCCGTGACACCGCGGGGGTTAACCGCGCAGAGGCATTTGAAATCATGTACGCGCTCGCTGGGAAAACGCAAAGTTCAAGAATATGCATTTTTTTATTGTGACGTCACGCATATTACCCTTTTTCCCTAGGGAAAAAAAGGTACTATGCGTGACGTCATCAATAAAAATGAACTATTTCGATCTAGTCGGCAGGAAACGTCTTTTACAGTCGAACTATTCTTTTTCTTGTTGTGTACACACCTAATGCTACAATCTTACGATAAGGGATATAATAGTTAGTAGTTAATAGATATAAACGGTTTAATAGAAATGTTTGTTAGTAGTCAAACTGGTATCAACTATCAATTGATTACTATGGCAGAAATTGTTACCTGATTAAAAATTTAATTGTAGACAATATAAAGTCTGTCCCTCTTCATGAGTAGGTGAAAGCATTTATATGTATTGTTGCTTTTATTGTTGGATTAGCCATTGTGTTTTGTCTTACTTTTCCACTCTCCAGGGGGGGGGGGGGGGTCGAGTATAGAAAATTTGATAAATTTCACTTGATTTATTTCTCCAGTTCTTTTCCTGGTTCTTGTACAGTCTTTAACTATTTTGGAAGATTTTGTTTTGCGTGTGTGTCTTCTTATCATATAATTGATATACTGTAACTGTTATATATTCATGTCTGTCATCCAATCATTCCTTCCTGTTCTTATTCTTGTTACATTCTTCTCCACAGCTATCTTTGTTACAGGAGAAGTATTTGAATTTATACCTTTTGTGTTGCGCCACCCGTCAGTGCTACCTAATATTGTTCTTTTTGGATTAGCCAGTGCCTTTGGGCAGGTAAGTCCACTTCAGTTGTCAAATAAATTTCAAAGTCCTTATCTCTTTTCTGTCTTTTCTTAGTTTTTTCAGATTTTCCTTCTTCCTCTCGATTATTCTTCTTTTCTGCTGTGAAACCCCCACAAATTTGTGAAGTTTCTGTAATTGACAGGTTGTTTATTACATGTATATTACACAGGGTATATTTGGGGTGAAATATACCTGAACAGGTGTGTAAAAGTAGCAATTGATTAAATCTACAAGAAATTATTTGTAAAAAGAAAGGATGTTGGTTGACAAGATATCAGTGAGCAAGTAGATATAAAGCCTATCGCAGTGTTTGATATCACACACAAAATGGAAAATTTAGAAAGCAATTTAAAATCTGAATTCAATTAATTTAAGATTTTTGTTCATGTACACAAATATATATTCACAAACTGTATGTAACAATTATGCTAAATTTAAATTTAAATTTCTTAAAATTGAGGACTATTGATTCACTGGATATTTACGTCATCAAAAGAAATGTTTAAATACTATTGAGTTGCATATGTATTTGATTGGTGTTATCTAAAGCTCTGAATACAGATTGCAACAGATTTCATTAAGGCACTTTGATTAATTCTAATTTATTTTATTCTTTTGACAGCATTTTATATTCATGACGGTGGCCACCTATGGTCCTCTCACCTGCTCTATCATCACTACAACGAGAAAGTTCTTCACCATTCTTGGGTCCGTCATCTTCTTTTCCAATCCCATATCATCCAGGCAATGGATAGGTGTTGCCCTTGTATTTGCTGGTCTTGGACTTGACAGTATCTTTGGCAAGAGCAAAGCAAAACCTAAGAACTAAAGTGAAAAAAACAAGAAGGTTCTTCACCATTTGCGGTTCTGTTATGGTCTTGTCTAATTTCATGTTCTCCAGGAAATGGATGTTTTTTGTGCTAGTCTTTGCTGGTCTTGGACTGGACAGTGTCTTGGGCAAGAGCAAAGCGAACTAAAGACCTGAAATGACTCATGAAATATAGTGAAAAGATGTCACCTCACTTCACTTCTGTTGCGTAGCACGGGGTAGCCAACTCAAAGATTGTGTCAGAAAGAGGCTAAAGTAATCCCAAGATCAAGACCTGTGTGTTCTTGTGTTGCCCAAACCTGTTTTTATGATAAGTGGAATACTGGATATATTTATTTTACACTATGAAGCAACTTGTACATGTACATTTATATTCACATTAGCATTCACAAAGATATTTGCCTTTACTTGTCTTGTTGTAAAACCTGTTCCAGCATCCAATAACTATACCTAACCCATTAGATGAGGAATCATTAATTATTGATGACTATCCAATCATCTGCGATCTTTAACATTCATCAGATTGATACATTCCCTGTTAGATGATATTGAAGCCTTTATCAAGATTTAAGTCAATTTACTATTAAATTTTTTTTTTTTTCTTTCTCATGAGCTGTTGACTATGGGATTTATAAAAGATACATGGATTTTCAAACGACAATCATTTTCCCACCCCCAAATAAAACAAACGCAACCCCCCCCCCAAAAAAAAAGGGGGGGGGGTTGTAAAAAACGTGTAAAAACACGTCATATGACGTACGAAAACCAAGGTTTGTCGACAAACCTCCTTTGTGAATTTGGGCCTCAGAGTTGGTGAATCTCTGTGTCAAATGTCAAAAATGAAATTCTCGTTACTTCCAAATTGTTGAAGTGATGTTGGGATTACAAGCAACTATTCCTGTCTGTGTTAGTGGATTTATTCATCAACTGAAGATTTGGGGCTGACTGTAAAGGTTGATAGATATACATGTAATACATGTTTGAGTCAATAAGACAATGGCCTTTTTAGTTTGATTTGAATTGGACTTCAAAAATTCATGTAAAAGCTAGGGGAGTTTAGTATGTGCTTAAATGTATACAGTGTAGATTTGAACTGTATGCCCCCCCCCCCCAATGATCCATTCTCATCTATGCATTGACCCCCACTATGCCATGGATTATAAATGCTTAGAACTTGACTTCACCTGTTGATAATTCAACAAATTTATACATTAGGCCTATTTATGGAGTGAACTCTACCTTAACAATTTTCCTTTTTTTTTTATTCTTCAATCAATCAGTCGAGTATGTGATGTGGATGTTTTATTTTGAAATGTAACTTGAAAGATGTTTCCCCAACAGGGTTCAGCTGTATGTTCCAATGTAGAATTTAAGCACAGGCAATGTGTGTGCAAAAGTCTTTCATACAGTAGTCTAGATAAAATGTTCTTCTACACACATGTTCGAAAGGTGGAATCATACGGGTGTCACCACACATAACGGTGTTCTTAAAATACAAATGTAAAAATGTAAAACATATGTTGCCAATTTATAAGTGCTTAGGTCACTGCTAATGTAATGTTACATAGTAATTATTCAATGAATGAATGTTCACTATGAGATTGTAACATTTTATTTTGGGTGAAACAGCCCAAATGTCGATAATGTATTTTTTAAACTAAAAAAAACTTGTCTTTTCCATTGGCATTCAACACAGAAAGATTCCTAGATAATGTTTGTTTCAAGATGAACAATGAAATTAACTTGAAGGAACTAATAAAATCCTATTCGTGGATCATGTGATGGATACATGTACATTATACTCGTCTTTATCCCTACTTTAAATGTGACATTCATAACTTATTGTGTGAGCTTAATAGAAAAATGTATGTATCTTGTATCAATAAAATGATTTCAGAGGGTGCTATATCAATTAATCAGAGTGCTTGTTCTGTGCTACCCAACTGATTTTAGATTAAGACACATATTTTGGAGCTAGATGATATTGAGGGTTCAGTGACACAAAGACGTAACTACACACCAGGTGAAGTAAATGGGTACCTGGTAGGAATTTATTCCTTGAAACGCAGCGCGTGTAACAGCTGCACTGCTAAAGCCAGGGTAATTATGCTGCATTATTGTAGAGCGCTTAGAGACTTCTGACAAAGTAAGTGTTAGGCGCTATATAAGCACTGTAATTATTATTACACATTTTGCCGAAATCACAATGTTCAGAAAAATGTAGGCTTTCCAGGAAACACAAAGACTTAACTCCATCCAACACCCATTGAATTCAATGGCTAGTGAATCATAGACTTGACTCCTTAAGGCTTAAGTGCTCAGTAACACATAAACCACTTTTTTCAAAATGGCCAAAATGGAGTTACGTCTTTGTGTCACTGACCCCTCGATATGAAGTACATCTATATAGGCCCTACTGTGTTTGTTACATTGAGAAAACTGGTAGACTACAGCAAATGTGAAATATATCTCTTACATGTATAACATGACCTTTCGTAATTAGATTAGTTTACCTGAATTGTTTTTTATAAAACACACATAAACTAAAGAAATTACCTTAGTTTTCGTTTTGGTGAAACTCTTTTTGTAGTACTTTACGTCACTATATCTAGTTTGAAATGGATCATGTCCCTGTTATTTTCACTAAACAACATACCCTAATGGGCTGAACCCTGAAGCTGTGGAATTGTGGAATATATGTCTTTATTAAGTTTGATCGGAGTTGGGTAACTCCATATTGTACAATGTTTTCAAATGATGTATTTAAGTTATATATTTAAATTATGTGCTAGATTGCGATATACACATGTATGATTGCCCCAGACTTTAAAATTATTTGTCAATTTATTTGCCATCCTACATGTAATTGTTTAATTTATTATATTATGATATATTCATAGTGACTTAAGCTTTGTGTTTTTTATTCAGAAGATTTTTATAGTTGTATGTGCTCAATTAGAGAGTACATTTTGAATGATATTGGAATTAAATAAGAAGAGAGTATTGTATATTTCTTCAGATTTACAATCCTTAGCAAGTTTGTGCAAATTGCAAATTCAGGGGCGGCAGTAGGCAGGCCACATGAAGTTATAAACCTATTTGTCAAATACTTTTTAATGTATATTTGGAATGGTTTGAAAGCACTTTATAAATGATTGCCAGCCCGTCTTACCATGGTAATGGAAAAATTATTGGTGAGTGTGTCTTTATTTATGTCTTAAAACTACTTTTATATTGGCTGCTGAATGGGGATGTCACGCCCTCCCTCCTCTTTTCTTTATCCCTCTCTCTCTCTCTCTCTCTCTCTCTTTCTATCTCTCTCTCCTTTTCTCTTTCTTTCTCTCTTTTACTCGCTATATAGACTTGCAATTTCCCCATCACAAAGATCATTTAAGGTGGATTACATATTAGTATGTATAGGTCCATGATTTTATAATAATTAAGTAAGAAATTTGGAGCTCGATCGATCGTACATAGATTATACCAGTTGTTTTCTGGTCGTTATTTACATATATCAATACATATATTTTTACGTCTTAAATTAGATGTAAAACATGATAACTCATAAGACATAACATAATATATTTTTCATCACATATCTCGAGTTCAGACCCTGGATGGAATATGCATCGACTACCCCGTCTATTCTCCGCACACACGTGCATGTTTATAAAATCATGGTGTAGATTTGTAGTCTCCTTTCCCAAACCCAAACTCATTATTTTTGTTAAAAAGGGGATAGACTCGTACGTCATAGAGTGGTTTCATAGTTAATTTTATTTCTTCTTCCACAAATATTTGTACATAGGATTTAAAAAAAAAACAATAACAGGAACAGCAGATTATCAAATTAACAAACATAATTTGAAGTGCAATATTAATATTGATCATTATACATCTCTTAATTGTCATTATAAAAGAAATTCTATACAAATTTATTCATGTAAGATCATGTTCTGTACATGAAAGAAAGAGGAGACCCAGTAGCTGTGTTTGCTAGAGCAAGCTAGGCCCCAAACAGAATACCTGAATGCTTTAATAACTTTGGAGAAGAAAAGGGGAGAAAAAAAGAAACTACCTATAAGACTAGAAATAATTACAAATATATTTACAAAAGAGATAGATTTATGTATATTTGAGAAAATGGGAAGATATATACATATTTACAAAAGGATGAGCGAAAGCGCAAAACGGAACAAAACAGCATAAAACAAGAGAAAAGTTGAGACTAAGGAAGTTCAATGTATGGGGGAAATGGTGATGGGGAAGAGAGAGAGAGAGAGCAGGAGAGAGAGAAGAAAAAGTACAATAGAGCAAAACAAAACAAAGCGAGTTTGCTAATAAATGAAGAAATGGTGGTAAGGTAACTAGATAAGGTAAGCTATAAGACCAGGGGGCCAGCCTGGAAAAGAGGGGGGCGAGGCCGACCGCGGGGAGGGGGTACAAGAAATAAAAAGTATCTTTATGCATGGTTTTATCCGGAGATTTGACGCGGCCCCTTTCTCGTCTGTATTGTCTGCAAACTCGTTTGTGAAGGGTGCGGAGGTCACATCAAGGTAGAACTGATGTAGAAAGAGCTCGATTCAGTGATCGAGAGCCCGGATAGAGAGAGGGTGGTGTGGGATATATTTTGTGGGCCGGGAATTTGCAACGTAAAGTCAACGTTGATGCGAACCCAAACCGGTACCAGCTGGATGGTATAGCAATGATGCAATTGTCTATTAATAGTGACCAGTTAGAAACAGGTTTTGGAAGCACCTGATCTAAAGTGACCAATTAGAACTGCACGATTCCTAACTAGCTCGTGATCATCATGCACCGAGCGCGCGCCAGCAGTCCACAACAATAACTTAACACCATAACACAATCTCTTGATCTCTTGTGTTGGGCGTCACCGGGGATTCTGATGTATTTTATCTGTAAAATGTGTGAAACGTACCAATGCTGGTGAGTATAGAAGAAAAGTATGATATTATACATAATCGACAACTATTCATAACTTAGCCTTAGGAATCCTGTAATTCTTATAACTAGGGACAGGGTAGGCCTACTGCTGCGAAGCGTCGAAGCGCCGAAGCGAAGGCTTCTTCGCCCCTTTCTTGCTCACTTGTTGCTGCAGCTCAGCTCAGCTGCATAATAATAATGCTTTGTAATAATCATTGTAATTTGTATCATTGTTGTAAACTTGTTATAATATAATTCCGGACTTCAAGAAATCAATAAGTAGTTCGAGAATTCGTCGGAATTTAGTAGCAGTAGATCTAAAGCAAGATTGTTAATGTTTGTATGAAACTAGATTCTAGACCTAGCCTATAAAATCTTAAGAACTTAAATTTATGATTTTGAATGATAAATAATCAGTGAATAATGATTTAGACGTCTTGACTCGAGTTTGTAAAGCCTAAAGGTCAGTAACTATACTGTCCTTGAGTTTATAAATGAGATTAATTGTAGATAGTCTGGTCACACATATTTTAACGTGTTTGGATCTACAATCCTGACATAGATCTAGGGTCTAGACTATTCCTGGAAAAATTGTGGTAAGGGCCAGAAGAGACCCAGCTTAATTTCTAAGGTTTGATCTTAAAAGTTGCTTCTAACGTGACCATCTTTGGAAGATTTCCTTTTGCGACAGCCACTTAAATTGATCTAGACTACATTCTCTCTTCTCTCCCTTCCATTCCTCCTCCAATGATTGCATGCTGTCCATCCAATTAGCAAACACTCTGACATGGCAGAGAACATCACATCACACAAACTTCAAAAAAACGTGGTCTCTGGGTGGATTTGAACTTTGGTCCTTTGGTCTGCAGTCCAGCACACTACCGATATGTATCTACGAGAACGAGTTGAGATTGAGCAGCGATGTAAGCTATAGTCTACTCCAGACTACATCTCCTGCGCTATTCACTATACCCTTACCCTATTTTGTTCATGTTTTATATATCATATTATTATTAGATATATACATTCTAACTTTCTAAGCTGTACCCATATTTGTTTTTTCAGTTTGGGTGGCTGTCGCAAAAGGAAGTCTTCCCCCATCTTCAATTGATTTAAATTTAGGTACCTATTAAAAGTTGCCAAAAAAGTTATTTTACTGCAGATGAATTCTTTGTCACATGTGTTTCATCATGAAGTCTCTATAATTGTAACAATTTTTAATGTGTTAACAATTGGACTGCTTTCTCCAACACTCGGATTATCGAAACCTGCAGATAAAGCTAGCTAGCAAGAAGAGACCCTTCCGCTGGTACGAGACAAGCATCTACATATGATCGATTTGAGTGGAACATCACATCACAACCGCCTGGAATACTCCACCCCTGTCAATATCTGACAAAGTTGCGGAAGGCAGTCTGGAACCATACAGTCCACCTAAACTGACCTTTCCTGTTGAAGTCAACAGATTGTTAACCAAACTTTGGCTAATCTAAGCAAATTACTTTCATCAATAAGTATGGCATCCCAGGATGACACATACTGTGATTTCAGTGATATGGCGGAGTTTATTAATGATCCACCCATATCAGGATTTCCAGCGTCTCCAGAATACAGCCCTCTGTTTGAGCCACCAGACACCAATTTCTTTGATGAAGATGAGGAGGCTGTGATGGGCCTTAAATCCCATCAACAACCGTGTGGGAGCGTAAGCCCTTCTACAAGCTCATACACGTCTGATTATACACCAGAGACGCCTCTCTCTCGTGTTGCAGAGACGGCATTGTTTTGCCAGCAGAGAGAGTTAGAAACTGGACAAGCAGTATACATCGACTCCAGCAACCCCTTCTACATGTATTCTGAGCTGCTGGATCAGCTTGAGCAGGAAAGTGGAGATCTGGTGAGAGGAGGGAATGCTACCTCACAAAAAGAGCAGACCAGCAGTGGAGCTGTAGCAGTGCATCCAGTGGACATCGAGGTCAGCCCAAGTACCAAGTCAGCATTTTCAACAACAGCAGCAGGACGAGAGCAGACTTCCCAGAAGGTGACAGTCAACGCACTTGGTGTGAAATCAACATCTCAACCAAGTTCAAGGCCCACCGTCAACGGAGCAAGAGGTTCATCACATGTCAGGGAGAATAAGAACAATTTACCTGTAGCTAAAAATGATGTGATTAAAGTTGGTGTCAAAAGAAAGGCTGTTCAAGTGAAGGAGGAGGCTAAAAAGGTCAAGAAAAGTTGTGAAGATTCCGCTACTACAAGTCGGAGTCAGAAAAATGCCATTGCTGCTAGAGAAAATAGACTAAAAAAGAAAAATGAGTTTGAGGAAATGAAGAGGAATGAAGCCTTGTTGCAGGAGGAAAATGAATGTCTTCGTAAGGAAAATTCAGATCAGTTAAAGACTATCACAGGGTTGCAGCAAAAAGTGGAGTACCTAAAGAGTGTGCTTTTCAATCAAAGTTCTCTATCTACAGTCCTCCAAAGCCTAAATCCCAAACCAAAGTTGAAGCTGAGCTCATCAGTGGGTGTGTCCTCTCAAGTAGATGGAGCTCAAAGAATGAGTGGCGGTGTATGTTTACATATTAACGGTTCTTCAGATGCATCCCTTGAATGGTGTTCAAAATGTTCAATGAAGGCTCAAGCTTCCTTTGATTCTTGAAATTAACATGCGAACCTGAATGATATTATGAATAGATTGTTCTGTTATTTAATGCAAAATCAGGAAATACTGACAATAATCTCATTTGTAACATGATTAACATCTCATTGAAGGTCATTCTGTTTGTACATTTATGTGCCTTACCTGCTGTCAAAGATTGTTACGAAAATTGCATCATGAAATTGAAAACAACAAAAAATGTGAAAGCATTGATATCACGCTGTCGGAGAGTGCTTTGCAGTACTTTGCTCCAACAATTGTGGATTGCATGCATGAGGAAGAAATGAAAGTGGTACACTTACACAATGCTTTCAAGTATTGTAGGTCAGCAGAAGATTCAGAAAAGTAATATTTGACAACTCTAAGACACATCTCACTTGTCTGAGAAGGATTTATTTGGTGTAAATATATGGAGCTTTTGATGAGCAGACGATCTCCATGCCTGTATCATCATTCAAATTGAATTTGCGCTAGGTAAAGTGAAGAACTTATTAATAGCAAATGTATTCTGTACAGGAGACTTAGATGTTCATATTTATGTAAATATGTCATCTAACAGGTTTTGTGATAAAGTTGTGTAAAGGGGCTCGCATACTCCTGTACAGTCAGCAATTGCACCCAAAATGGTCCCGATTATTCCTGAATTGTGCGTGTGTACAAATCAAGATAAAGTTTGAGATCTTGCTCAGGGGAAGGGGAGATTCAGCAAATTTTTGAATATGTTAAAGAAATTCCTGATTTCTGTCCAGTAGGGGTGTACACATCGGGGCAATACAGGACTCTCGGGAATGTTGGTAGAAACCATGGAAAAATTGACCAGATTCGGAAGTCAGCTGTGATTCGTGCAGTACTATTCCAGACTTTTCAGGATGATTCAGGACGATCCGAGATAAATCTGGATAATTTGGGACGATTCGGGAATAACTTCTGAATGGTCCAGAATATTCCTGAATATATAATAGTCCTGTATTGGTACCCCCAATGATCCTCAAATGGTCATTCCAAGGGATTATTCGGAACCATACAGGAACAATTGCTGGCTGTATGCGAGGTCCTTATGTATTGCAAGCTTAAAGGTACTATTTGATACTTAAAAACGGTTTTGATAATATTAGAGAACATTGGCAATGTCATTTCTATGTCAGTATGACAAACATGAAGTCCTTACAAAGTAAGCATTTTTCATTCTTTATTGATCATTTGGCTCTAAATTTTCAGATTGTCTTAATTGGTCCTTATAAATGTATGGAACCACTTCTAAAATTGTTACAATAGTACCTCTAAGCAATTAATTGTTACCTGTGCAGATTGTAAACTGGAAGGAAAGTATCTGGCAGTAATTATGCATACAGAAATGATATACATGTACATGCATGAAACACTGACTGGAACAGGAATGCACTTGAATCTTTGGTACCTGGTACAAAGTTTTAATTCTTGTGCTGAACTGTTTCAGTTAGTGTTACCTGATTTAAACAGAAACTGACACTCTTGCACTGCTTTGTTATTTCCAGATTTTTTGGCAGAGACAATTGAGAGCAGCAGCATGATGCAGACTAGTTTCATTTATTTGGTAAGAATTGCACTTTTGTTGAATTAAACTATTTCCCCATCTATTTTTCTTCAATTAATCATTTATCCAAATTGGGTATACGTCTATGGTTATTGTTTCTTCAGATTACAATTAAATCTGACTTCCCTACAACTATTCCATCCTTGTAATATGTTGCGAATGGTCTAGCTAGTTTATGTTCTTGTCATTTATAGTATCTGGCTATGACAGGTCTTTGTCTAATCACCCTCTGTTAGCTGCATTACAATCCTGCCAAACAATCTTCCTACATGCATGTGGTATCCACAAGGACAGTCATACTACTGTCTAAGATAAACCACCCCCTAAATTCCTCAGTTAACCCTCCCCTCCCCCTCCCCTCCTCCTCTTTTGGCAAACACCTAATAGGACAATTATCCCCACCTTTCTCCAAGGTAAATTTCCAAGGAATAATTGGGCAAGTTTTTTTTCTGTCTGGAGGTAGATTTTAAAAGTTAAATGACTACATGCACCCATAGATATACATGATAAACGTTACTTTCTTGTGAGTGATTATAAAGTTATACGTAGGCTGTAATCCTATCGTGACTCTTCTTCCAATTTTGCTTCTCATTTTAAATCGTTTTCTTTCTCTTCTCCCCCTTTGACATGGATGCTTTCTCCACTGTGATCTGCTGTTCTGACTTGGATGTTTTCTTGGTCCATGCTTCATTGACTGCTGCCTTTCCTACATCTGATGGGATTTATCATCAACCAGCAGCTAGGGACAAACCTCACGCTGTGCAATATAACTACTTCCAAGATTTCTCAGCCAAGAGTTGTCAGTTTCTTCATGTTTAAATCTGTTTTTGATTAAGAAATCTGCTTCTAAAGTCTGACTCCAAAGCCTAAAATTTATGTTTGAAGAAGAAAAACAGTTTCAAATAGAGTGATAGATTAAAAATAATTACCAGTATGTATTTTGATTCAAATACAAATTACATAAAAGGAGTATCATGTTCAGCAAGTTTTTTTCGAGGGAGGACTTATGAAACTTAATTGCTGAATTCATCATATTTAGCATTGAATGTAGAAGCAGGTTTCTCTTTCAAACTGTATGCATTTACGTAATGCATGGCATAAAATAGATACCAAATCTAGATGCCCTGATTCATGGGGAATCATGGCTATACATACTTAATGTCTCCAGATACAAAAAGTTGGAATTATTCTATTTTTTATGGTTGGGGAGGGGGTAGGGCAGCAACTTTTTACCTCCAAAATGCTAAATGTTTTATGCCATGCATTATGCATTCAACACATTGATTAATGAAAATCATTTGGTGTATTTCCTGTTATCATTACTTTTTTGCATTCACAATCTTTAGATGTCCAAATATAGATGTTTCGCCCCATTTTAAAAGGTTGATAAAAGGATAAACATTTGGTTAATGTTAACACCACCCCTCCCCCCCCCCCAAAAAAAAAATAGATATAAAATGATACAGGATAAAATTACTTCCAAATGTTTGTCATATCATTGCCAAACTTTTGTAACACAAAGGCTTCATATCTGCTCTCTTGCAAATCAACTTTATTATGTGAATAAATTCACACTTTACCCTCTTTTTTTTATTGAATCAACAGTACTCTAATCCAAATTATCCCACGATATACAAATATTGAAATGATGGGATTACCTTGTTAAAGAGCAGCTCTGATGCCTTGTGATTGAATAATTAATATGTAAACTTTCCTTCCAGTGATCAGAAAATTTTCTGACGTGAAAAGAAAATGTACAGAAGAAAACAGAAAATATATGTACAGAAAAAATGAGAATGTATATTTATCAGATCAGATCTGTATTTACAAAAACTTTTTGGAAATGCTCATTTTCAATAAACAAAAAATAGTTTTAAAAATCACATAACCTGGAAGTTCTTATGTTGTTTTTGCAAGTTAGTAGTTTGATGTAAACGATGAGTGAATTATGACATTTTCAACAGTTATAAATATATGGAGTGAATCTGAGAGTGTTGATGCAATGATTTGCAAGTGATTTGTTTTGGAAATACTTGCACACCAGAAAGTGTATGAGCAATAGTGGAAAAGGAAATTTTATGTTCATTTTAGATTTATACAATTTTCTTAGCAAGCCAATTAATCCTGTTTTACTTATTGTGAAGTTAGGGATCTGCCATTGTCTATACAAACATTTGTGAGAAAGGATTTGTACCAGAAGAGAATGTGATTGATTGCCTTGTGTAAGTGATTGATTGAAGTGATAGATTGATTTTGTGTAGTGACTAATCAGTTGATGAGTGATTGATTTTGTGTAGTGACTAATCAGTTGATGAGTGATTGATGGGAGTGACTGATTGATCGTATATTTGATTGATATGATAGATTGTGTAATGTGATCGTTTGATGTGATAATTTGTATAATGTGACTGATAATTGATATGAGTGATTGGTTGTGTTATGTGACTGGTCAATTGATACAAATGATTGATTGTATGTTATGTAATAGATCGACTGTGTCATGTGATAGATTAATTGATGGTGTGAACCTTTGCATGCACCAGTTTACTAACAAAAAAAATACAGCTTTTCGTTCCTGGGGAATCCTATTGATGAACTACAATACTTTGAATCTAGTCTGTATACATTTTACGTTGCTATATCGGGCAATCTTTCAGGCTGTCAAGAACAACTTGTATTGAAAAAGTATGCTTATATTTAAATATGTTAGTATATAAACTGGTCTTTTGATTGAGGTGATATAATTGATAACTTTGGTTGATTATTGGACAGATTGATTGGTGCATATGAAAGAGTGAAGAGCATTATCAATATGATGCTTGTACCTTATTTCGTTTTAAGTTTGCAACTTTTTGTCCCCTCTTCTCTTAAAGTACAAGTCCACTCCAAAAATAACCTACTTTAAATAGAAGCAAACAAATCAGACAAGCCAATCCAAAAAAGTTTGATCAAAATCAGATAACTAATACGAAAGTTATGACAGTCCGACAGTTCTCGTTTCTTTTTATCTCTCAATTACTGTCTCTCCCTCACCTTTATCCTCTTATCTCTTTCTCCCAACATTTCATTCTTGACCTGCACTATCCATCTAACCAACTCAGTAGAAGGGTTCTAGGACACCTACCCCCTGGAGTGGACATCCACCCCCTGGATAACCACCCCCAGTCAACTACCCCCTAGGGCAAACACCCTCTTGGACAACTACCTCCCAGACAACTATCTAGGTTGTCCGGGGGGAAGTTGTCCTGGGGGTTCTTGTCCGGGGGTACTTGTCCTAGGGGGTGGATGTCCAGGGGGTAGGTGTCCGGATACGGTGAAAAAGACATGTTAACAATAGCCGGTTTCATTAAATTCAGATCAGCCCCTCTTCCATATTTTGAATAGAATGCAAACGATACATGACTATCCGCTCAATAGCTGCCTTGTTTTAAAAAAAAATGTTCTTCCTTTCTCTTTCTTCACATTTCTCTAAATCTCACTGTCATCTATCTCCTTTCATCTCTCTTAGCTCCATTATGCTCTAGTCTCCTCGTAACTCTCTCTCATGTAACATTTTTTCTTGCTTTTGAAGTTTTGATCTGTACATTTTTTCTTTAATAGCATTGAAAGGCAACTCTAGTCTAGTCCCAGAATAATGGATCAAGATTGATGGTAATATCAGACAACCAATTTGAAAGTTCACAAAGTTTTCATGATATGAAGTTCATCTTCTAACGGAGACAAACTGGCAACTTGCTCATGAGGCTGTGATGTCGTTCCATTATTTGCCTATTTTGATAACCTAAATTTTCACTTTCCCAAATAAATTGACTTGCAAAGCTTCAGTTGTACATTGATGGAAAGTGCATGTCGATGGGTGTTTATGTATGCACTTTTAATAAAACTTATTTTACTAAACATTTATGCAAGACGATCAAGGGATGTCAAAACATGTCGACTCACAAAAGGATATCACAATGATCACAACCTTCGGATCTTCACATCGTTGACTTTTAGGTTGCCTGATTCTCCTGAAATTTTTTGAAAACATAGTCAGGGGTATGGGTTCTCCTCCATGCAATTCTTATCGGCAGTTAGTTTTGACATGAATTCAAGAATAAGCCATCATACAAGATATTCAAAGTTTAATCAACTTATTTAATACATTTTCTCTATTTACTCAATGTAACATGTGAAGCACATTCAAATAAGTGAACATCAAAGATGGAAATGCAAAATGCAACCAGTTATGAGAAGGTTGGAAATCTCCCGCAATGTCATATGACTAATCCTGCGAACTGTGTATGTAGATTAATGGAGAAAACTTGTATTCAATCATTTAATATTAAATTTCTTTAATTGTGCATGAATGGTTCAAGTAAAATGGTTGACAGTACTGCCTGAAATAAATATCACACCATTTTCTTAAAGACAGCACCATAAGCACAAACAAACAAACATGGAAATGTGAATTGAAGAGGTATACAATACATCAACTTCTTTTTGTGCGAGAAGGAAAAGTTTTCACTTTAAACAATATAGCTACCCTGTAACCACTCCTGCATAAAACTTACGAATTTGTGCGTCTGACCGTAAGAAATAACAATAAAGCAGTTTATAACAATACTACATATAAAAACACATTCATTAATTACTTCAGAAGATAAAGATTCCATTCCTCATTGGATCCCTCATGACATATTCTCAATGAATGCTAACCAATCCATGAAAAAAATTAACCCACTCTTGTTTCATAAGGACTGATAAAAGTCAGGCAAAATTTAAATTAAATTAAATAGTCTTGTCCTGTGGCTGTCTCCATGGCTGCAGTTGTTCCCATTTGCATTTCACATCTTCTTAGTTCTATTGGGTCAGGATGAAGGACTATAAATCTGTGTAACAAAAGAGAGGATGAAAAGGGGAAATTCCTTTATTTATTTGTACGAACATTTATCAATATATCATTTTCATAAAGGGTATATAATACACTACACAAAGAAATATGCCTGCTGATCATAGTTTACCCAGGGAGGTAACTCCTAAGTGTTTGGCAATACTGGACATCTATACATGTAAGTCTCATAAAGGTATTAACAATTGTTGATATACAATATTTGACTTTGTTCAGAATAAAGCAAGACCATTGACAGGAAAAGAAAAGAAAAATAAATAGTGAAGCTTGTGTATAATATCAGTTAAAGTTGGGGGGGGGGGGTAGAAAATTGATCTTTAATTATAATGCTCTTTGAATCAATGCATGTTTGAAGTGTAATGACTCTGTTAAAGGAGAGCAAAACAAGTGGTCTTTCCCAAGCTTGTAATGCAGGTTGGACTGTATTCAGCATCATTGATACTGATTTTTGTTGTTTACTTATAAAATTCATAATTTCATTTTTTTTTTTAATTCATGATTTTCCGATGAACAATATCATCTTACTTCCTTCACTGAAAATTGCCTTCTAATGATACTAACCTGTACAATCTGTAAATCTACTTCTTCAGCAGCTGGTGTCTAACGAGAACGAATGGTGCAGCAAAGCCCGAGCCAAAGAATGCTGCCATGATGCCCAAGAGTAACCACTTGTTCCTGGTTGGGAATGGCATGTTCTGTACACAAAATAGAAATAGACAATACAAACTTGTAAAGAAATGTGTACAAAATATTTAAAACCAATTGAGTAATTTAAACATTTGAGAGCCCAAGTTCAGAACTCGAGTTGGAGTCTTAAGAAGCAAGATCACAATCTCAGGCTACCATGGAACACCAACAAACAAAAAAACAGCCTGAAAGTGCAATAATATCACGAATAGATAAGCAGGAAGTTGAAGAAATTATAGACCTATTTTGTATTAGTATGATGGGGTGTTCAAACCTCATGGACATATACATTGTATATTTGATTACATGTTGGATCACAACCCTTTAACTGCAAAAAGGATGATACAAAGGAGTTAAAAAACTGGTGCACATGAGTTCACAGCTGATTAATCCATGATCAAAGATAAGGCAGTTTCTTCAATTGCAAGGTAAAATATCAAAAAGCCAGATACACACAATCACTACTATTTTAATGACATCTTCTCTCAAAATAAAGCTTTTCACATCTTTGAATATTTTGTCACTTGTCAGTTGTCAGTAGATCTAAATGTTTCAACTTTAATGATACATTTTTTTTCTTCAAAATGAATGCGAAATAAAATCCATGTTTATCATGAACATGGTCAATTGAATGTAGACTCTAGGCCTAATGTTAAAGGTTCTTTGTCCCATTTGCAGGCTAAAAAAATGAAAAGGTTAAATTCCAACAGCATTTCAAAGACAATACTAATTTAAAACTTCCCATAAAAAAAGGGGGCTTGAAAATGTCTTTAAGTAGGAAAATAACAACTATTAGTTGTTGAATTGACTTAGGAGCTATAGAGCCAGGAAGTAATAGTCTGATTTTTTAGACCATTGTACCAAATGGTCGTACGTTTTATGCTGCGCAAAGATTCAATCAGTTTAATTTTGGCCATTACAAGAAGTGGGTTATTGAAATATGCTCATATACCCTTTACAGCTCATTTTATGTTTGTTAATTACCAAAGATGAAAAAAAAGTGAGTCAATTACTCAATAGTATCTGACAGTGAAGTCTAGCAAGTAGACAGGTTGCCTTGCATAATTTGAATATTAGGACACTGCCAACGTTTAAATTTCACAGATAGGACAAACATGACATATTCATAACTCCTATGCAGTTCTACAGAATTTGATGTTGGCTGCAAAAGGGACATACATGTAGTATGTATTATGACACAAGTATGACTGAGCTAAAGATGTGAAGATAGTTATTACCCTTGCCTTAGCTTTTCAACTCAAAAAAAAAAAATTTGTTGGCGCTTGTTCAGAAACCTATCCATAATTTGACCCGTACCTCCGGCGTGGAAATACCCTACTAAAACTGTAAAACATACCCAAAATTAAGTAAATATTCATTAAATGTACAAATAAAGATCATGAGTTGAAAGTCGTTATAAATGTTTATTACCTGTTTCGTTTCAATTTTCTCATTAGTTTTCTGAAAAACGATGATATTAGTATACACTTTTTCACAGGTTTCACAGCAAACCGCTGCACAATTACAAGTGCATATACCGATGGTGGGTTGCGGGCGGGCGCGCGCCTGTGTGAAGTTATCTACCGTAATGTCGATGGTGGGTTGCGGGCGGGCATGCGCCTGTGTGTGAAGTTATCTACCGTAATGTCTCAGATCCTCATTACGGTAGATAACTTCACACAGGCGCGCGCCCGCCCGCAACCCACCATCGGTATGCAGCTTGTACTGTGCAGCGGTTTGCCGAAAATTGACACAAAACACAGGTAACAAACATATCAAATTTTTTAAATCATGACCTTTATTTGGACATTTGTTGAATAAACTCTAGACTATATCTAGACTATTTACCGTATTTTGGCAATTTGGGGAGCGTTTGAGTAGATCTAGATCTAGACTAGGAGTCTAGGGTATCTCCACGCCGGAGTTACGGGTCAAATTTTGGATAGACTTCTGAACTAGCGCCAATTTTTTTGTGTAAAATATTGAAACTTGAAACAGCTCACTGCACTGTCACAAGTTTTAGTTGTACGATGGGGCCGGGCCAAGCAGGCACTTAAATTGTGCCCATAAGGCCTCATATTCACATAAACAAATTCAACAAAACATTGATTTGCTATTTTGCTGATTGCTCAAGTCTCAAATTGCAACAAATTAACAATTGCACACAAACTGCACAGACAGTACACGTCGAATCAGCCAGTCATGCCAGTCTTTCTCTCCATTGACTTTGCACGTAAAACTCATCGCACACACGGTATTCGCAATCTACATGTACATGTACGAGTGCGTACTGTACACGACAATTAATTTCAGAAAAGGGACCAACTTTAACCATAGCATTATTCTACTCACAGTTCCAGGTCCTTCTCCATATCCAGCTTGTCGGATAACTGATGTCCCAAAGGACCTTCTGGATATAACAGCTAGCCGAGAAAATACCATTTTTGTCGTTAAATTATATTTGAAATTGAACTTTTGTTAATGTTACTAAACTGAAACTGAGAGCAATGGCCGATAGTAAGGTATCGTTCAAGCGCCTGATTTTTCTGATGTTGTAGAAATAGGCATGTAGATCTAGGGGCGGATCATCCTCCACCCCTCCAGCTCCCCAGTCAAATACGCGGGAATTCCTTGGGTATGTCTCCTACCCCCTACCCTTTTTTTATACTTTGATTTTCCCCGGCCTGGAACTATTTATTTTGAAATGCGAAAAAATAGCCATTAATGTTGTAGTTGGTAATTAGGCTCTGAAGATTCACTTTCTTGGCAGGGAAAATCTTATCACTCGGCAGCAAGGCTCCTCCACATCAGAATAACAGATGAACAGAAATGACAAACAGTGACAGAGGTGGGGGCGTATGCCCCCCAAAAAACTCAATCTAGTGTACCTTACGTACTCAACAGCTAAAAAGTAAACATGTCCCCTCTTTATGCCTCCGTACAACTAGGGAGGTGAGACAGTTTAATTCTCCAAAAGGAGATTGAAAAAAGGGTGATAACCAATAAATCTGTTCAGTCTTAAATTTTTCAATGGCAATCATGCGGTCCCTCCGTTCGGGGGGGGGGGGCGGGGGTCGGGGTTTCCTTACTCCTTAAATGTGCATGCCTGGGAGTCTTCCCTCCTCGAAATATAAAAAATCACGCATAAATTATTTTTCAATGCTGCTTAACCCAAATGAGCAGAATTAACAGAGAAAAGTGTGTTGATTTGGACTGTACTGGCTTGCAGTAGCAGATCCTGTAGGCTAGAAGGAGGGGGTGGATGGGGGGAAAAAGGCATGCATCCTCTTTCCACCTTTTTTTTTAGGGGGAGGCGGTAGAAAATAGAGTAAGCATATACACGTATAGCCCCTATATGCCCTCATGCTGGTGCCCCTCTATTAGCTACAGAGGCGACCCTCCAGGGGCGGGGGCACAGCGCTTTTTCAAATACCCCAAAAGTGCCCCTTTTTACATAGGAAAAGTGCCCCTTTTACTTTGACAAGTGCCCCTATTACTTTATAAAGGTGCCCCTTCCCCTTTTCACCTCTGATAAACGCCCCCTTTTATCTTGAAACGTGCCTTTTTCCTTCTGACAAGTTCTCATTTTCCTTTGCAATAAGTGTCCATTTCCCTTTCCGATAAGTGCCCTTTTTAATCTCTAATTGACTCTAATTAATCTCTAATGCACTTCATATACTGCGTGTAAGTGCCGCCTTCGCCTCCAATAATTGCCCCTTATTCAAATCTGACAGATTTTTTTTTTTTTTTTTTTTTTTTAAAGCTTTTTTGCCTTTAATCAGATCTTCATAATTATACAAAATGATGAATAGGAACACAATTGTTCTTACAGTATAAACATACATGTAGTACATTGTCTCAAACATTTTAAACACAGACATATTTAAAAAAATATTTTCCATTTGTATCCAAACTAATAAAGTACACATTCAAACAAGTGTAAAGAATGTGCTCCAATTCCTTTAAAAAGGAAAAGGTGACGGTAATACTTGGATACAACATTATACAAAGGAACAATTTTTACAACATAATAAGCAAATTAATTAGTTCAATATAAATTAAGCAATCTGAACAAAGATTTTCTTATATAAACAAAAATTATAAGGTGAATGTGCTGCTTCATAATCCATGATAACAAAATTTGATATATTTACATATAATGATATGGTGCATTTTTCATTATAACTATATAAGGGTCTTGTATCAGTGGAGGTCTTTAACTATACCGTTATTTAAAAAAATAAAAAATATAAAAAACAAGCAAACACGATAGCAGATAAGTGTCCGGATCGATGAGAAAGTGAGGGAGTGAACAGGAATGACAGATGCTTGTTTTACTTTGACAAGTGCCCCTCCCCCTCCTAATAAGTGCTCTTTTCATCTCTAATGAGTGGCCCTTTCCACCTTTAATAACTGACCCTTTTGTTTTGACAAGTGCCTCTTTTCCTTCCTACTAGATGGTCTTTTACTTCTTTTAAGTGCCCTTTATCCTTCTAATAATAACTCCTTTTCATCTCTGATAAGTGCCCCGTTTGTTTTCAACATATGCCTCTTTTTCTTTTTAATAAAAGTCACTTCCCCCTTTTCATAAAAGACCCCACTCCCAGTTCGATAAATGCCCCTATTAAAAGCTGATCTGCGTCCCTTTTCTTCATCTTCATCTATTAAAATAATGCACATTTTCTTTATTATGAGTGCCCCTTTTTCATTTCCATAAGTGCCCCTTTTCATATCTGGTCAGTGCCCCTTTTCACCTCTGATAATTTCCCTTTTAACAATGATACGTGCATGCCCCTTTCCTTTTTTATAAGGGAACAAGGGTGTCGATTTGTATCCGTGGTTGGGGGGATGATAGGTGCCAAAATATTTTCGGCAATGGATCAAAGCAACCAAAGTGGTAGAAGCGTGTGGCAAGTTGCACCCATCCCGAGCGCGTAGCCAGGATTTAATTTTAGGGGGGCGGTAGTGAGCACGCGAAGGGCGTTTCCTAGTGGGTTAGGTGCAGGGAGGGGGAGTTCCCCCCCCCCCCCCCCCGCGCAAAGCGCGGAAGCTTTTACGTTTCACTAAATTATTAGAGAAAGAAGACGATTCGTTGGACCGTTCTCGACTCTTAATCCTTGTTTGAATCAAATTCCCCTTCTTCCGCGCGTAGCGCGGTAGCTCTGACGTTTCATTAGATTATTAAAGAAAGAAGACGATTCTATGTACCATTCTCGACTCTTATTCCTTGTTTGAATCAAGTTCCCCTTCCCCCGCGCGTAGCGCGGAAGCTCTGACGTTTCGTTCGATTATTAAAGAAAGAAGACGATTCGATGTACCATTCTTGACTCTTAATCATTAATGTTTGAATTAATTTCCCCTTCCTCCGCGCGTAGCGCGGAAGCTCTGACGTTTCATTAGATTATTAAAGAAAGAAGACGATTCTATGTACCATTCTCGACTCTTAATCCTTGTTTAAATCAAGTTTCCCTTCCCCCCCCCCCCCGCGCGTAGCGCGGATGCTCTGACGTTTCATTAGATTATTAAAAAAAGAAGACGATTCGATGTACCATTCTCGACTCTAAATCCTTGTCTGAATTCATTTTTGCCTATTCCTGCGCGAAGCGCGGAAGCTTTCACATGTTATTACATTATTAGAATAAGAAGAAGATCTGTTGTTTCGTGTCCTTGAATTCAGTTTCCCCCTATCGCGTGAAGCGCGGAAGCTTTAATGTTTCAATAAATTATTACTCTTAATCCTTGTCTGTATTCATTTTCGCCCATTTCGCGCGTAGTAAAAGAAGACGATAAGTCGTATCGTGCATTTTGACGTTTTATTTGATTATTACTCTTAATCCACGTCTGAATTCAGTTGCCCCCTAACAGCTTTGCCCTGTTCGCTAAATTATTAGAGAAAGAAGACGATTCGTTGTACTGTTCTCTATATTAATCCTTCTTTCAATTCAGTTTCCCCACTAAAAATAAATTGTGTCACAAATAAGTTGTGACCAGGGGCGTCGCTAGACCTTTTTCAGTGGGGGGGGGGGGGGTGTAGAGGCCAACGATTACCGACAAAAGTAGCCACCAATTACCGACAAAATTAAATTTCCAATCTCTACAAAGTCAACCCTATAGACCTGGGGCCGAAGGCTAAATTGTTTTTCCTATGGACTATCTATAGTACTTGCATATGCGCAAAATGGTAATTTTCCTCGACGACATTAAAGGTATTACAAAGTTTTGGTATGGGGTCATGAATTTGGTTCAAATTAACATATTGGAAGCATATGCGTTCCTACAATATTCATTGATCGTTGTCGCGGTTGAAATTGAGTCTAAAGTTATGAAATTATAAATAATAAACTCTTTATGTTGTATAGCTCCCTCTCAAGGTCAAGATATTAATTTAGCTATGAAACAATGTTTGTTGACTAAAATCGACCGATTAGCTATTCCCGTTTGGAAATTGTATATCACAACTACATATTCTGAGATTTTCATGGTCGCAGCTACCATTGTACGGCCATAGGCGCTATTTGAAATTTATCACAATTTACCGGGAGCACCGGTAAATTTTTATATTTAATTTTTCTCGAAAACAGAAATGTTTTAGGGGCTAATTTTTTTAGTGCTTATAATTCATCCCCAGGGGCATCCAAATATATCAAAATTGTAAAGATTCACTATACACCCAATTTTCAAAATTTCCCAAAACTTTGTATTACCTTTAATATACAAATTATTTCTTAAATTTAGTCAGCATCATAGCTATATATTTTAATGCAGGCGCGGAGCTAGGATCTTATTTTAGGGAGGGGCGGTAGTGAGCAAGAGAATCACTTACAAGCGCGCTCATAAGGGGGTGTGGGTGATGAGCCTCCCGCGCGAAGCGCGGAAGCTTAGACGTTTCCTTAAATTATTAGGAAAAGAAGACGATTAATTGTACCGTTTTCGACTGGTAATCCTAGGCTGAATGAAAATCCCCCTCCTGCGCGAAGCGCGAAAGCTTTGACGTTTCATTAAATTATTATAAAAAAAAGGAAGACGATTTGCTGTACCATTCTCGACTGTTTATCCTTTTCTGAATTCAGTATTCCCCCCCCCCGCGCAAAGCGCGGAAGCTTTGACGTTTCATTAAATTATGAGAAAAAGCAGACGATTCGGTGTACTGTTCTCGACTCTTAATCCTAATCTGAATGAAGCTTCCCCCTCCCGCGCGAAGCGCGGAAGTTTTGGTTTTATTCAATTATTAGAAAAAGAAGACGATTTGTCGTATCGTTTTCGACTCTTAATAAGCCCTATTCATCTGAATTCAGCTTCCCCCTCTCGCGCGAAGCGCGAAAGCTTTTACGTTTCCTCATATCATTAGAGAAAGAACACGATTCGTTGTACCGTTTTCGACTTTCAATAAACCCTATTAATTTTGTCTGAATTCAGTTTTCCCCTCTCGCGCGGAGCGCGGAAGCTTTGACGTTTCCTTAAATTATTAGAGAAAGAACACGATTCATTGTACCGTTTTCGACTCTAAATGAGCCCTATTAATTTTGTCTGAATTCAGTTTCCCCTCTCGCGCGAAGCGAGGAAGCTTTGACGTTTCCTTAAATTATTAGAGAAAGGAGACGATTCGTCGTTCCGTTCTCGACTCGTCTAAATGAAGTTTCCCCTTCCGCGCGAAGCGCGGAATTTTTGGCGTTTCATCACAATATAAAGAAAGGAAAATGATTCGTCGTACCGTTGTTGACTCTTACACCTTGTTTGAATTTAGTTTCCCCGAAAATTTTAAACCTCTGATTTCTTTAGCTGATATTATAGGAAAGTGAAACTTCGAGAAAATACAAGTATTGTAGTTGTAGTCACTCTCGAAGTCGTCACAGCGGATAAGAAGTCGCAGTTCGTAGGGAAAAAAAACTTGTCGGCCGACCGACAATATACATCTCACCGACTTCAAACTTATGCATTGATGAGGATCGAGCAAGAATACCGACACAGCTGACCCGACACAGCAACATATTTACCCGTGTCTTTCTTGCTCCCTCGACGAGACGACTCCACCCAACAACCCCCTTTTCTATTTTACTCCCACTCCTCCTCTCTCAGACTCTTACCTCCCCTCTCTCTACTCTCTTTCATCCCCCGTTTCTTTTGTTTCCCTTTCACTCTTTTTTCTTCTTTTTTTCCATTTCTTTCTTTTCTTTCTTTTCCTTTCTTTCCTCTCCCCCCTCTTTTTCTTTTTTCTCTTTCTTTCTTCTCTTTTCTTTCCTTTCTTTTCCTTTCTTTCCTTTCTTTTCCTGTCTTTCTTTTCTTTTCCTTTTCTCTTTTTCTTTTCTTTCCCTTCCCCTCTCTTTTTTCCCTCTCTTTTTTCCCTCCCCCTTTTCTCTTTTTCCCGACGGCAGCGCAATTTTACCGACAATATCCTGACAGGTGGGGGGGGGGTGTCGCACCCCCCACACCCCCCTTTGGCGACGCCCCTGGTTGTGACATAATAATCTTTCTCCAAAAATGAAACATGTTTTAGGAAATATCAGGAAATAAAATGAGTGAAAAAAATAAAAATAAAGATACAATGACGTGAATTTTAAAAAGGGTGAACGGAAACAACATAACAACTAGTGAACTATTTTATAAGTCATACTAATGTCCGAAAATCTTTCTCCTTGTCTCCGATCTAATCACGAAATCGTCACAGAGTTCATCTATGTTTACACTGTCCAGGATTGTCTGATGTGCATTGCAGATTCCTACTTTTGTGCTTCGCGCTTAATTTTAGCTCATTGATGTTGATGCTGCGTCTTTGCATTTGGCGCACTGCATTTCCATGATGCTGTTGATTGAACAAATTGAATAAATTCATCAATTCCTGATGAAGCCTTATGAGCGAGAATTCAATTTATTCTTGTCTCATATACGGTTGTCTCATATACGGTTGTCTCATATACGGTTGTCTTATTTACGTCGTATATAATGTATGTATTATGAAAATGAGATAGCAAAATGTGTATATTGATGGTCATCTTGCGAGTAATAACTATTAACTACTCTCATCGGACTCTCATCATTAATTTTTCTCTTCATTTTTTTAATTATTTTTTTATGGTGAATTATTGGGGGATGATTGTACAGGCCACCCCCCCCCCCACCTGAAATATTGGGGGGATATATCCCCCCCCCCCCCCCATCCCCCCGGGAATGACACCCATGTAAGGGAACTATCCCCTTTTCATAAATGTCCCTTTTCACCTCTTTTAAATTCCCCTATCAAAGTCTGATGCCCCTTTTCCGTCGATAAATGCCTAATATGCCCGATATATAGCCAATGGTAACTTGCATGTACGAAAATGAAGCAAAAGAAAACATAAACATTTACTGTTGTATATCAAAATTTTATTCAGACTGAAACCGATGACCGGGGTAATAATATCTGTAAAGCGCTTTAAGAGGGCCTTCGGTCCTGAAAAGCGCTATTTAAGAACTTATGGATACGAAACATGTGTATAAACTACTAAAGGCCCAGTATATAACGGGAAGAGTCCAATGAATTCTCCATTGAACAAAACTAATTCTTTCTCCATTCTTTTATTCAAATTGATCGCAATATCTCATTTATCTTTGCCAATGTATACAATGCAGTCTGACACACAGGAATATTGTCTGGGTGCTTTGGCGTTGGCATCCGAAGATGTTCTAAGGCTGGGTTTACTCGAATAAAAGTCGTTCTGTGGCCAGCCTCTCTAAAGCGGGAAACAAGTTCCTCTGATTTTTCCCTCACTTTCGGCATCTGAACACCACATCCCAGTTCAAGAATAGCGATGGATTTTTGAGGTGGTATGTCAGCTAGCTGCTTATCCATTATAGTTCCTCCTGCTCCTCGGTGTACGCTCTGAGCCAGCGGCTGTCGACAGCCAGAACGGTGCAAGGACGCGCCGCGTCTCCGCAATGACGACATCTTGGTATGTCCCCGTTCACCACAAGCGTGACTTCATCGTAGTCAACTTTGACATCTCTACCATCCCATACGTCATCACAACAAGGCACGGAACACTGGAACTCGTACAGGGAACGATGACATTCGACTACTCTCTCCTTTGGGAACCCTGCTCTCAGAAAATGCTGATCGATGTTACTTGTATACACCCACCAATCTTTCTTTGCCAGGCACCACCTTAGAAGAATATAGTATCCTTCATGAGGGGAAGCTTTTCGATAGTCGTCCATGCGTTTACCGTACACTCCCCAAGCAAACCTTGGATCATTCATGAAAATAATGTCGTTTGATATTTCGAATACGTTCAAACCCAGATGAGAGATTTCGGGGAGTGCTTTCTTGACGTCGACAAAGTCTGGGATACCACCGTCTACGCTTAGACCAGCGCCAGCGGTGATGATAAGAACGTCGCTCGTTTTAATAAATTCTGCAGCTGATGACAAAAGTTGATCCATATTTTATTAATAACCGGAAAGTTCGATCCAAAGCCTACTATAAGGAGAAGGTAGACATGTACAACAGCCTATTATGTTGTGTTATCATTAATGCACCAGTACATATAAACAATTATCAAAAATTTGAAATTAAGATAATGATGCCAACCAATTGTATCATTATATTGGACCAGGAACGAAAATTATATTAGCAATAACAATAAGCCAGTATTTGACTTAGGCACTCCAGGTCCATAGTTCATTCATGCACTCGTGATCACAAAATAGCTCCCCGATAAACTCTTTATCTCAGTGGGCCACTTGGACCTTGGACCTATAGGTCCATGGTTGCACTAACGCATTTGAATTGAATGGGGTAGCGCAGAGGCTTGGGGGAGGGGCCACTCCGCTCTCTAATAATTTTTTCAAGAAGTACCCCCCCCTTTTTTTTTTGGTTATACTTGTGATCAATGCCCCTTTTCACCTCTGACATGTGCCTTTTTTCACATCTGACAAGTGCCCCTGTTCAAACGGACTAGCCTTCCCTTTCACTTTGACAAGTACATGAACCTCTTTTTCCTTTCTTATGAGTGTCATTTTCCTTTACGATAAGTGTCACTTCAACATGCAAATGGATGAGTGCCCGTTTTCAAATGCGATAAGTGCCCTCCCCCCCCCCTTTTTTTTGAAAGACGCTCTGCCGCCCCTAGGGCAAGGTGATGATGAGCACTGTGGGAGAAGGGGGATGCCGATGCGCTGTAACGTCTTTCCACCTTCACCCCACCCCACCCCTTACAACAATTAGGCCAATAACCAGGTACTCGCGTACAGTCTTTTGGAGTAGGGTGGATGATGATGATGATGATGAACAAGTATCTGTATAATTATTATGAAATTTCAATCCAAAGTGTTAGAGCCTGTGGCGTATTTTTGTTGTTATAGCATATGGGGGTGCAGACCAGAGGCGGCCCTCCGGAGAGGGGGGGGGGGGGGCAGGGGGCACAGTGTCCCACTTTTTCAAGAACCCCAAAAGTTTCCCTTCTTAAACAGGAAAAGCGCCCTTTCCCTATTTCACCTCTGGTAAGTGCCACTTTTATTTTGACACGTGCCTCTTTTTTAAAAATGCTCCTCGCTCGCTTGAGAATGAATTTTCAACCTATTGCACCAAACTGCAAAATATGATGCAATATCTTGCATGGTGTATAAAAAAGAAACAAACATTGGAATCATCCATGATAATGTATTCACAATGTATTGGGGTACATACCAATGTCTTAGAATTGTATATTTTCGCTTTTAGATTTCCCTTTGTAGGTGACCTTTTTTGTTGGTGCCCCCTTCCACACTTTGAAGTCGCTCCACCGCCCCTTGGAGATGTTTTACTGGGTTTTAGGACAATCACCCCCTGGGCAATCACCCCTGGTCAACTACCAACGAAAAATACCACCTAAGACAATTACCCCCCCCCCCCCCCCCCCCAGATGATAACCCCCGAAAAATAAGGCTTTTATTAAAGCCAACTTATTATCAGAAAAAACTTCCCTATTAATGAACATGGGAGTAATTTTCGGGAGGGGGTCATTGTTCTCGGGGTGATTGTCCTTGGTAGTACTGGGGGGGGGGGGGGTAATTTTTCGGGGGGAAATTTTCCGGGGTGATTATTCAGGGCGTAATTGTCCTGATAGGCATTTACTGACGCGTTGGCGTCAATAAAAAATTGCTCGCTCGTGTGTGAGTCAGGGGTGAGTCTGAGCGGGATGTGCTCACCTCAGAAGATGAACAATTTTTGCCAAGGCATCCATTTTAAGTATGCGTCTACAGGGCAAATAAGATATTGTCAAGTTACAACCCATCCCATCAACCAAGATCAAACTTTTGGAATGTACGATTTTTGGGAGGGGTCGTCTTTTATCAATTTCTGTTTATTTTCAATTTGTTTAATTTGTATTCGTCCCCCACAGTAGGGCGTTTTATTGAATATAGTGCAGTGTACATTTGTCTTCATAACAAAAGCTATTGAGTGATAGTAACAATGACTGGATGCAAAATTGAAATTTTAATAACATTTGGGAAGGGGTCTACGAGTATGAATTCTATATTGCTTTGTTTGTGTATATACTCATCTAGTCGGGATTTATGCAATATGAAAGTCTTTACGGTGAGCATATTATCATAAACATATATGCATACCATTAAGGGGTGATTAGGCCATCCCCTTTGTCAAACATTGGGGATCAATCACCAATGTATCATGTCACCACTTTCACTATTGGCTCTCTGGTGATTATCTTATTGTATGGGTCGGTAATGATAATGTTATTGTGCTCTTCAGTCCAGAAACGAGCTACGTTACCCCTCTCTTCCAGACTACCTCTTCCCTTACTCGGCAATCTGTCTTTTTAATCTTACTTTCTCTCTCTCTCTCTCTCTCTCTCTTCCTCCCTCTCTCTCTCTCTCACATACTTTTTTATATTTTTTTTTAACAATTTTGTTTTATTTCTCCAGATATGTAATACAAACCATGACATACAATTGAATAAAATAAACGTGTTCAATATTGATGCTTTTACATAAACATAATCAAACACAAACTTATTTGCAGTATAATATAACTTAGCAACAAAGTAAACGTATAAGTACCTAAACATAATATGCCAATTGTAAATGTTATTTACTTATATATTACAAAAAAAACTTAAACAACTCTGGAGGCAATTTTACTGAAACAATCCTGCCCCCTCCCTGCCCCTCCATCACACAAACATACTCACTCTCTATCACACAAACATACACACGCACACTCTCTATAACACACACACACACACACTTTCTCTCTCTCCATTATGCTTTACCCTTCTCGCTTTCTTTCTTTCATGATCATCTTTCTCTTCCTTTTTCCAATTACATTAAATTGCATGCAACTCCTTTTTTTCTAACACATAACCGTCCTCATGCAAGTCGTATAATTATATTCTCATTTGAACTATTCCAGATGTGGTTCACTCGTTTCTAAAGGCTTTAGATTTCCTGCGAAATCATTTTAGTGCAATAAATTGGTAAACCTATGCAAAGTAAGGTGACCTCAAAGTGTTACAATTTTCCCCGCATTGGGGCCCTGATAAGATCTACCCCAATGCAAAAACCTTGTTATTATTCGTCATTTCCGAAAGGGATTTACTCGACTTGATAGAAAAAAAATCAAAGCGTGTGAGTAGACGAATATCATGTTTCAATTGTAATAGCAAGTCAAAAATAGCAATACACAATGAAAATATAGTTGGTTTTACAATTGTTTTATTCTCAATTTTCACAAAATGATTTCAGAGTAGAATAGAATTGATACTATTTGCAGAGATAAAATAAACGTAGTACATCAGTACAGCATATGAGTATTGTGTAAATTTACCATAGATTCAAAAATATTGAATACCAATTGTACCATATACCTAACATTCAATGTTTTGCTTCTTTTTTCCTATGTTCTAATTTACAATCGTAATTTTGATGGAATTAATTCTACTACATGTATTTATAAAACAATAAAATCTCCCTATACTATATATGACTTTCTATCAGTCTCTTGTTTCTTGTTTCAAACGAAATTAAGGCGTATCCATCAAAGGTTACCACCCCCCCCCCCCCCCCCCCCCTCTTCATCATGATATTTTATCCATATCCCGAACATGCATGATCAAACTAAAGAATGACATCTAGAGTTAATTATTAAAAGAAAACTATACGTAAATGACAAGATTCAAGATCTGTTTTCATCCTAGTCTTTATCAAATATACAGAGAATGGAAGGGTAAGAAAATATATACACAACGCTAAATATCAAATCATTATATTCACAAGTTCATGTCTAAATGTATTTTTTCAAATCACAAATATACAAAATACATTTCCCTGAGCAATTATATACAATCAAAGTGAAGTGAATTAAACATTTTTTATTTTTTTTATGTTGACGAGTGTTTTCATTCTACCGCAATAGCTTGGATTTGCATGCTGTTCAAATTTCAAAGGTAAACGGCTGCATAATATCACAGAATGAAGTTTATGATGAATGAATATAGTTTCTTACATGATTTACAAGGAAAAAATGATGCCTATCAGTGAGTTTAGGTGCACATCTATATGGTAGTCAACATATATTACTTAAGGGAATTATTCTATCCATGATCAAAGTGGCAGTAAAAAGAATATTTGCAAACAATGTTATGCCATTAATTATCAGTATCAATTTATTGGAACTGTTAAAAATAATATTCATTGACTTAAATTAGAAACGAAGGTATATTATCACTTATATGTGACAGTATGAGTTGTGTGTTCAACTACAAGCCCGCTTGGTTTTCTGTCACAATTCCCTCATACAAACAGTGTAAAATGCATGCACTGTTTTGGATTTATAATTACATTGGAATAATTTGACAGTTCTTAAAATGAACCCAAGTTAATTATTTATACTTACCTTATTATATTCCAAATACGGAATATATTACACACACCTGCCGTGGTGGAAAACATCAAATATCCAATGGGATATGTATATAAATTCTGTCGCATGAAAAACAGCTGCCCCGAAAGAATTAAAAAAACTTATTGCATAACTGAATATCTCCAAACATGCATGACTGAAAATTAAACACATGATTTGTTTTTTTAGCTATGACCGTGATACTTGTATACAAACCCCCAAATCGATAACGGTAATATTCTTTAGAAATGTTTTATTTCATTTGGAAAATTCTTTACCCTCCTTTACTACCTTTAGGTTACTGTTGAACAAAATGTGTATTTTCCCCTTTACACAATTATATACCTTTCTTTAAACTCAAAACAACATGGTGTATCTATACCCATGGACCCACCACATGTGGTATGTAAACTGACCTGAGTTTACAACAAATAAGTGCTTCAGTAACAAAAATAGTTCTGTTGGTGATTCTCCAAGCAACACTTAGAAGCAAATGTATCAGTGTTGCTTGGATTTTATCAGTTTAATTCAGATTAGATTGATGTATATAAAATTGCTTTAAAAACTTTAAACACAAAGCAATGTACTTCTAATGACTTTCAAACAAAAAAAACTGACCACAGTAAATGTCTCATAAGTATGAGTAAAATATGACATGTCATACATTGTATGTATTTCATCTCAATTCATATTCACAACTAAAAAGTAAAACAAATGTTTATTAGAGTGAAACTCTTTTTTTTTGCCTTATAACATTTAAATCATAAATCTTATTTACAACAAAACAAATAAAACAAATCCATATTTTTTCATATGAACATAAACACGCACAATGCATTCTAGTTTTTATCCTAAAGCTGCGAAGTTGACACTGTCCGTTGCTTAAGGTACAAAGGGTTGAAGACCATGTATCAAAGCTTATCTTGTGCACCTACTCTTTACCATCTGTCATGACGTCCTACTAAAACCAAATCCCATTACAGAGCGAGTAATTTGATCACATCCTCATATATATGTATTATACTACATAATCTTATTTTGGTAGGATCAACTCTTACTCTAGTACGAGATCATTGAGATAGATCAAAGATCTACAAGGCAGGCTTGTAGGTACATGCAAGAATGGTTGCCATGGTTGCATTCAGTGTACAAGAATTCACTTCAATGGCCTTTCATCCCCTTTCTCACCATCAAAAGCAACACCCATTTGAGCTCTACTCCATGGGAAAACAAAAGTTCCCTTTACTTAGCTAAAACACTGACCAAAGCACGTCTAGAGATTTCAGCAATCTCTGTCAGTTCTTCAATTTTCGCCCTCAACTCTGCATTTTCCTTTTCAAGGATTTTAGCAGTTGATGCAAGATCATTATCCCTCTTCTTCCTGCTTTGGCGCGCACGCTGACATGCTTTGTTATTCTTGACTCGGCGACGACGGTACAATTCTTCGGGACTCGCTGTCGTTCTCGGAGCTCCATTCTTAGAGGTTCGCGACTTCTTAGCTACTTGGCAAGTATTCTCCTCATCTTCGACATTTTCCGCCTTGAGTCGCTTTGTAACGTTGACTGTAGAAAGAGCAAAAGAACCATCTTCGACAGCCAGCAGGTTATCCAGAGATGATTGGTTATCCGTAGTCGTTGGGTTATCAATCAGGCTTCGCACAGTGGCAGCATCGACAGTAGACGTAGGACCAGTCTCTTCAGCCTATAAGTCAAGAGAAAAACAATCAAAAAAGAAAAACAAAATAAATATATCATTCATATCAACAACTGAGTAAATTGACATTAGGTGTTAAATGATGGAGTACATAAGACAACAATTCATCAGTTAATGATTGAAATATGAACTCGTGTCAAATGCACCTTGTGTTTATCAAGAAGTCCCAGATAAAATGTGAAGCTAATAATAGCAGCAGATGAGCAACAAGGCAAAGGATATTTACCATTCCAAAAAATCTTCGGTATCCAAGAAGTCTCACCATGATAAACAAATATAAACAAATTTGGGATAAAATTTTCATAACTGAAAAAGTGCAGTTATCTTATGAGGCAGGCATCAAAAAGGCATATATAGAAGATGATCCACACAAAAATACAAGTGTCCGATATTCAATCCTTAATATATTTCATTTGAAAAAGTTCATGTCAAAACCCGAGCTAAAGAGCAAGAGAGAGAGTGCAAGTAGTAGAATATCTTGTACACAAAGTAGCAAAATGTTAGCTTGTGCTTGAAAGCGGGGTATGTTTGGGCTTAAAATGGTTGTGTGGCTCTCATTTCAATACATTGTGCAATACCTGATGAATAAAATTTGCAGGAAATAACAGAGGCACTTAGCCAGGAAGCTAGCTGCAAGGCCAAACAATGCATTGAATGCAGTATAGTATAGTACAGGGCATGCAAGAACTGACATGTCTATTTGCACTGCAGGTATTGCACCATCTCTTGGCAATGCCATGACATCATCATGAATATTCATGAGGTTAAGCCCCACCCACAAATCTATGGCAGGGTTTTGTAGGTCAATTTTGGCATGCTTTTATGCTATTTTGGGGTGTACTAACTTGGAAGGTGAAACTGTCACTTCATTTAATATATGTTAACATTTATAGCTACCAAAGTATCTCCCCTTCTGGAGTATGCATAGGCCTACTATGTAACACAGATAATCTTCATTTGTCTGACATTGACATTTCATTTTCCATCAATAAATTCAACTCTTTTTATCTGACTTTTATTCCTTTTTTTTAAATAATACCTAATGCAACAGATCTAGGCTATAGTATAAAGTTCTCCTGAATCCCCTTTTTTCTCATAGGCCTACTAAATTCCATTTGAGAGAATCTCCCAGGGTCTCAATATTGCATCAGCCAAAGTGTTTATATTCCTTTAGACAACTGACAGTTGACTCATTGACTTCAAGGCTGTGATCTTGCATACAAAGGGGGTAGATATTGCATCATTTCTATCAACACTGTCACTAGGGCATATTCCCTCTTTCCTAGGGACATGACTGAAAGATTTATATCATACACTTCATTTTTCCCCATGATTTTTGGTTGGAGTGAATTTCCAGCATTCCAGACATTAAATAACAGCGGTTATGGCCACTAAATAGAATAGATTAAAGTTGAGAAACCTACCGGGACCAGAAACTCTTCCAGGTTGGCGAACGTGTTGAAGAAATGCTCCAACGTCGAGTCCAACTCCGCGGGGCTCAGTCCTTCCTCGTAATCGCTCATCTCACTGCAAGATGAGGTCGAGGGGAGCTGCCCCCTTCTGCCTCCACTGAATCCACCCTTAGCTTCTGCAGGAGATTGGGCGCAGGTGCTTAGGTCTGCTCCTTCCTCTCCGAGGGGTGATGGCACGCCCTCATCATCAGGGTTGGGGATGAGGATTTCAGTGAGGTCAGGGAAGAGTTCTGTGAGGTCCACGGTACTGGTTGCTGAAAGGTCCAGCTTGGTGCTGTCGATGACACTATCCACTGTGTTCAATCCTGAGGCCATGTCCATTTCTACTGTAAAGGGTAAAGTGATGTGCAGTGATTTCAACTGATTCACACTTCATATCCCTTTTTACATAATAATCAATAATAATCAAATCTTAAAGGTTGTGACATTGGATCAATGAATCCTGGATATACCACCGTATAATGTATTCCAAGTTGTAACATACATCATTACATTTTCACATGAAAATTTATTGAAATTTACGGGTTATGACCTTTCAAATGACCTTTCCTCCTTAAAATATATGGTCTTATTACACGTTACCGGTATAAGCATTACTATCTGGCATCTGCTTATCGATTTACTTCCATAAATGTGAAATGACACAAATATCATTCGAGCTCTTGGGAGATGATTTAAGCAATTTTGGGTCGGTACTTCATGATGTAATCTTAACAATAACAGGTCTCCTTATACTTACTGTTAAACAGGCCACTCTGTTGAGTGATGCTCTGTAGTGCAGTCTTCTCCCACGCCTGCCCCAATAAATAATCCTCCTTCTCCATCTCCGCCTCCTCTCGGTCGACAGGGTCGTAGCAAACTGCCCCGACCCCGTCGACTTCTTTTACTGGCGACATCATCTCCACCGAGTGCCCCTCCTGAAAGCTTTGTAACGTAGATTGCCATGGTAATTCAAAGAAAGAACCGTCCTCGTACGTAGCCACTGTAAAATCAAAGATTCCTAAATCTGGAAACTGGTGGGGGTTAATGGTGGCCCCTGCAAGTCAAAGAAAGAAATAATGAAAACAAGAGTTAGCATGGTCAGTTACTCAGTTTTAATAATATGTAGGAATATGCAGAATTACGAATACACCAGAAAATAATTGAGTTCACATTTTTAGTGTTTTACTTGTAAAATTAAAAACCTGTAATAATTTGGACTCTTTTTCTTCATGAGTTGGAATATATATAAATAATATTGATGTGTTTTTTTCAAATTGAAAAATCACATCAATATGATAACATTGATAGTAAACCCTGCCATCTTCAGTTCCTTCACAATCATCTCCATTTCCAATATCAACAATTACAATAGACAAACTGCAAATGCTTATATCATTTGTCGTCATGCTATATTATATATCACACATAGTCGATTGAGAATATAATGCGTTTCAGCTCCGGGACGGGCACGTCATAGATAGTGCACATATTATACTGCTATTCGGAGTTCGTGCAGGATGAGCTGGGATGGGAGGCAGTTCACGATCCGAGCGAAATTCATGTACGTGATATAGACTTATGTTCTTGCAAATAACACCAAAAAGAGTATAATTCATATTCTAAAATATAACAGTTGTCTACCTTGTTAGCACTTCTCGTGAGAGAAACCGGTTTTTCTTGCCGGTAAGTCGCCTTTCGCTCTCTTTTCGCGGGATTTACGCCGCGATTCCTGACCCATTTACTTCCAACGAACGATCTTCTGTCAAATGGTGCTCCGTATGGGTTTGCATTGCAATATATTGCGACATCAAATGCCCAAAATAGCAGGTGATGTCAGTATTGCTCTTGGACCAATAAGGCACGTTTTCATACATTACTTCATTGCGGTCCAATCAAATCGCTGGAAATCGGGTAAAAATAAGTTATTCATATGGTAATGAGGAAACCTTGAAGCGCGCGGGAAGAAGGGCCTACTATCTGTTCTGTTGTAACGACAAGAGTATGGTTGTATATAAATTATATTTCCCTTTTTAATTGTCGTTTTTAATAAAACATTGTCTATCAGAATCACTAGCATTCACTTTACCAATAAACTTGTCAACATAATATTATATATCTGATATTGATCAATACATGTATAATATAGGGAGCCTTCGAAGAGACAGGCATAATTATAATTATTATAGGGCTATTAATTATAGAAATGGAAGGGGGAAATGGTGATTGAAAAGAATGGGGCCCTGAGATATGTATGCATGGATCTCTTCGTGTCGTAATACCCTACCAGTCTGCTGGCACTTTACAAAAAACAGTATCCTGCATGGTTATACCGAGTTATCAGAGCAGGTAATGTGCAACATCTCCTGACTATGAGTTTTCCTATTATTGCCACCATCAGAATGCATAATGGTCTCCAGAAAGTCCCTATTAATTTCTCACTTGGATTGAACTACGGGATGTATATTTTATGATGATTATTGCATGCATGTATATTGTATGAATAGAAGTACTTCCGTTTCACGTAAATATTACTTGATAGGCCTCTTCACTCACGTCTCTATTTTATGAGAATATTATCTTAAAGATTATTTCGCACATAATGAATCGAAAGCTATCCTTGATGACAAAAGCGAGCCTCTACGTCATCAGCTGTTTACCATTAAAAGTCCATATTCCATTTAATTATTATGGTTGCCGAGCATATAATTAATAATAAAATCATCGAAAGCGGCATGCACACTGGGCATGAATGGATACATACGAAATGATTACGAATTATTATAATTAGTCTGTGACAAAGTCCAATGGGTTTCCACACTCTATCATTAGCGGTCGGGTTCACGGATGCTCATCCTCTCATTCAAAATTGTTTTTCTCTCTCTTTACTTTGCAAACATTAGGCCTACACAGTTTTTTTGTTTGTTATACTAGTCGTCGAGCACAGGTCGAGCATGTTTGGCTCATACTCTATAGAATGCAGTTTGCGCCTTCAGAATAGCATGCGGGTCGGGTGAACAGCTTCCGCATGACTGGACATGTTCATGGTTCCGCTTCAACGTCACTTCTGTCATCGTAATATACTCCGACCTACGTACTGTCACTCTGTCAGCTGATTTTACTCAAGCTTTTTTATTGTCTCTGCATATATTATATCCATATTTCATTTTCCTATCAATATTATCAAAATTAATATGTTTGTTGCTCTTTGAATAGTTGTCTATATGATTTCTAACTCGATCCTCCACCTAATAACACGTGTGTTCGTAATGATATTTATTTTAAAACTGGGAAGGAAAAAAAAGGATAGTTTAGACTTTGCCACGAATTGAGACAACCTATGCCACTTATAACACTGACGAAATCGAGTAGCTGGTCGCCAATGTCACTCATTGAATCGTCGAATACTATAGAGCGATCTGGTATCAGATATCGATTATATTCAAGATGCCTCTACAGTCTATACTATATATAGCACCCCCTCCCTATTATAGCCGGACAGTCTGGAGTAGGTGTTGCATAAGACTTGCATTAATAACATTGAATTATACATCTATTAACTTATAATATAGCCCATTAAGTGACATTTTCAGGAAGAGCTATATAGCTTACCGTTTATCATGAATTTCACTGAAGATTTTGTGTAGAAGAAACCTTGTGCTTGCAGGGTGAGGATCGGTAAACGGCGTTTGGCAGGAGATGGGCGCTTGAAGAAATCACTCCGTTATCTCCATGGTGATCGAGTGATGGCTTGTTCAGTTCTGGGGATCTGGTTATATACTTGCTCACCCCTGGAATAACATCCACTTTTTATGGTTAGATTTATTTCGCATTTCTCGAAGCGCATGCAGCGATGAAATACAACCATGCACGATTATAACTCATTCGGGAGCAAAGTCGTTGATTCCTTTATGAACGTAACAGTCAAAACATGTTAATTTGTGAGGTATCTATATTCTTGAAGATATAATATGTTGCATGGGGAAGCTCATTTTTCACAAGTGATAACGTACCTCTGCAAACACTTTTATAGAGCTTGAAATGAAGCAGATATCCCAGGTCGAAATTCCAGTAGAAACCAGTAGAAACCAGTAGAGACATTCTAATGGTTATACTGGTTTTCCAGAAACCAGTAGAGTCATAATGGTTTCAGGAGGAACTGTGAAGTAAAACCAGTATAAACCTTTACAAACCAGTAGACTCTAATGGTTTGAAGACCAGTAGAAACCAATAGAAACCAGTAAGATCTAATGGTTTGAACATGGGTGTAGAAATCATAAGTCAAACCATTAGAAACCTTAACAAACCAGTAGAGCCTAATGGTTTTGAAGACCAGTAGAAACCAATAGAAACCATTAAGATCTAATGGTTTGAACATGAGTGAAAAAATCATAAGTCAAACCATTAGAAACCTTTACAAACCAATAGAGCCTAATGGTTTTGAAGACCCGTAGAAACCAATAGAAACCAGGAAGATCTAATGGTTTGAACATGGGTGTAAAAATCCTAAGTCAAACCATTAGAAACCTTTACAAACCAGTAGAGCCTTATGGTTTTGAAGACCCGTAGAAACCAATAGAAACCAGGAAGATCTAATGGTTTGAACATGGGTGTAAAAATCATAAGTCAAACCATTAGAAACCTTAACAAACCAGTAGAGCCTAATGGTTTTGAAGACCCGTAGAAACCAATAGAAACCATTAAGATCTAATGGTTTGAACATGGGTGAAAGAAATCCTAAGTCAAACCATTAGAAACCTTTGCAAACCAGTAGAGCCTAATGGTTTTGAAGACCCGTAGAAACCAATAGAAACCAGGAAGATCTAATGGTTTGAACATGGGTGAAAAAATCCTAAGTCAAACCATTATATAAACCTTTACAAACCAGTAGAGCCTAATGGTTTTGAAGACCAGTAGAATCCAATAGATCCAATGGTTTTAACATGGGTGTAAACATTCTAAGTCAAACCATTAGAAACTTTAACAAACCAATAGAGCCTAATGGTTTTGAAGACCAGTAGAATCCAATAGATCTAATGGTTTTAACATGGGTGCACATTCTAAGTCAAACCATTAGAAACCTTTACAAACCAGCAGATATATCGAGCTCAGTGGTTCTGAAACCAGTTGAAACAAAATTAATATTAGAAACCAGTATATGATCATTCTAGCACCGCCTCTTGATCAATCTAACTTTTTTTATTTTTTTATTTAAGCCCAAAACAGCTAGGGGTGAAAAACTCTCAAATTGCATTAGTCATTATATTAATAGTTTTATTTTACAGATTGTGCAACATCTTGACATGCCCTATAAGGTCTGCAATATTGATCAAGACTACAAGCCCCAAAACCCCCAAATGCAAATGCGACTCCCGCCTTTTTTGAACGGGTACATACAGCATGGCATCCCTCTGTGCTACACTATAGCACTGTACTGTGTGTCAAGGCATGCAGTGTGTGCGTACAACCAGCCAGCTGCCATGCATGCCGTATGAGACACACACAAGACAGCAAGACAGCCATTCCTATCAACAGCTACAGGAGCCAGAGCAGAGACAAATCCTTTTATTACTTTGTTTTCCCCTGCTATTCTTCAATATGGGTAAGTTTTAGATTTACCTAATTTATTTGCAATATGTGCAGTAACTGTTTTCTGTTTTGAAACGTAGTAATGTATGATTGTGAACTAGACCTAGTAGAAGTAGGAGTGCTTTCAACGCCTGCCGCCAAGATGAGAAATGTATTGTATTGTCCCATCTATCTATTTTCATGTTAGATCTTGATGGAATCATCATTCAAAGCAAAGTTTGTGCATTCACCTACACATGGCTTTAAAGGCCTCGTTTAACAATGTTAAATCTGAGATGCATGGCCCTACGTATCATGCAGTGTCAGTGATATGGTGTAATAATATTGAAGCCCTGAAAAATTTCGCTTCAAAATGATCATGAATGATGAAGTGCCTCAAAAAGTAAAAATCTTTGACTTTTGAGTGACCAGTTTTTACCATACTCATTTTTCCCAATAGACTGTAGTGTTATAAAACCGTTGGGGAAAACGGTTTTTTGAAATTTCGAATTCCAATCATAATCTTGATAATCAGACAGGCGATTGGCTTGTAATTGTATTAAACGTCATGGGATTTTTTACTGACCTAAAGGTTTAGGCCTATAATTATGATTGCAGCATGAGCTTAATCCAGGATTTTGTTTCAGAATCTGAGGCAATGTTACCGAGTCACTTTAACTCTGCTGTAAACCATGTCAATTTTGAGAATTGAGTGCTTCATTCTTTTTTAAAATAAATAAAGTGCTGCAAGAGAAGCATAAACGCCTGATCTGCAAGACTACAGTAGTTTTAATTTTATATAATTTTCTCGTCTTTTTTAAATTTTGATTACATGTATTTCAATTTAAACGACTTAAGATTTATATTCCTTAAATTCTGTTTTAAACTACTGATTTAAAACACTAGTCAACGCACCCTTTCGCACCCAACGCACTAGTCAACACACCTTACATTCAGCTATTCAGGTTCGTGGCTATAACTCACCCCCCGTGCTTATCCCGAAAGGGTGTGTTAAGGCGGTACTCCGTTCTCAACGCACCCTAATTTCGAGACAAGCGGGGGAGGGGGCTTTAATCTATTTATGGTGTGTTCGCACAATATATACAGAAGCCCTTATCTGGAAATAAACGGCTAGAACCGTAAATGGTAAACAAAATTCTTTACCCACAGGCTGTACGAAGTAAGAAGATTAAAGTAGGCCTACATGCATGTGTGTTGCACGTGCGTCAACCGTTCAATTTGTTTTAACTTTATTTATTTTCTTATTAATTGTAGGCATCTGTTGACATCTTTCGCCAAACAGTGGATTCAAACACATTGTGGCAACAGTATATTGACGTGAGACCATGCAGAAAATGCTACTTTCTCTCGACCTTCTGGATCAGCATTCAGCAGCGTAGCAGCCTCATGACACAGTTGAAGCCTTTATCGGTAATTGGGCAGATGTACTTGTATTATTTCTGTACATATATTTTTCATTCTTCCATGATCATGACACTGATTAATTAGACATCAAGAATTATTCATTTCATTCGAATAAAATGAGTTTCATATATATATAATTCAATTAATTTCAGATCACTAAAACCTGCAGGTATGTTGCAATAACCGACCATATTTTGTGAGTTTCGAACAGTGTTCTTTTCCCTCCTCAGCAATGGAGCTTTGATTCTTCTTTTATCAACAAACTAGAATGGTATTGATAATTATTTACAAACAAATCCTGAATCATGTTTGCATTGCCAACAAACTTTTAAAATGCAAAGGCATGTTTATATTATGTTTGTAAGCAATTAGAGATTATTTTATTAAGTACTTTTCAGACAGAATTTATTATTTAATTCATTGTTTACGTTCTAGTTTTAAAATGTATAAACGTTTTTCTTAACTTGTTTTCCTTTCTTTTTGCTCTATTGATGCATTAGAATTCTTTGCGTGCATGTACCCTGGATCAAGCAGCACTTGCATTATACAGGAGATTCCACCCAAAATCTAAACCATGAGTCCCAGCTGAAGAGGAATATTTCCAAAATGAGGTCTACACACACAGAGGTTACTTTCCCCTTCATTATAGAGATACAGAGAGAGGGAGAGAGAGATGGGGGGGGGGGGGTGAGTGAGTTATAGCCACGAACCTGAATAGCTTAGCTGTAGAACTGAAATGCCCATTCATGTCACTTGCCATTTTGATGAATTACAGGGTTTACAAACATACATGTAGGCCTACATTTTTACCCTTTGGGTAAAAGATCTTGGTATTTGCGTATATTTGTTATTACTATTTATGACGTAGACCTGTTTCATAATGCTTATGTAGTAGATCAGTCTCGTGCTCACCCCCACCCCCTTCGTATCGAAATGTCAATTCCAAAAACCTGTGGCAAATTATATAAATTGGTAATAGAGAAAAATTGAGTGAGGTAAATGCAATACAAATCTATTCCAATCTTAAGCACTTAAGACTTGTTAAGGTATGGCATGTGAACCGCCAAAAAATTAAAAAAAATTGTGTCTTGAAATAAATGGGAAAGTAGTCCTGCAGCTCATCATAGTGACGTACATTACCGATTCAGCCAATTTAAAATGCCCATAGGTTTAGTGATCACAGCTTTCAACAATCCATAACCACCTTATTTTGTGTCAGATTTAATGTGGTATTTTTTAAAAGTATAGTTGTCTGTTAAGGTTGGATTTCTCTTTAAAAAGTGTAAAGGGTAAGCCCTATGTAACATAATGTGATGAGGCAATTTTCGTTATAAAACCAAATCAAAGTACCGCGGAACAAATTATTTCGTTCACCTGTTAAGAATAATTGTATTTCGATAGTCAGAATGCGAAATGCGAACATGTGTTGTTAGGTAGGGCAACACATAATGTATTCAATTTGCATTCTGACTATTTAAATACATTTATTGGTAAAAGGTGAATTTAATAATTGGTAATGAGGCACTTAACGAGGACCTATTCATTAAATTTGATAATTACAATACGACAATGGCCTACATGTATTCATATGAATGGGAAATCTTTGAACTGTTATGTCGTTTTCTGAGGGTTCATAATTTTATATGTTCAAGGATTCATAATTCTACAAATGAAGTAGGGTTCTTAATTCTGAAAATGAACTAGGATTCATAATTCCAAAAATGGAATATGGTTCATAATTCCGAAAATTAAATAGGGCTCAATATACTTCCAAAAGTTTATTATTCTGAAAATGCAAATAGAACCCTTTATCCTTTTTGGAATTACGAACCGTCAATATAATGAATCCTATTTTATATTCAAAATAATACCATTTCATTTGCGGAAATATTAACCCTATTTTAATATCGTTATTAACGCCCCTTTTTCGATTCCAGAATTACGCACCCTATTTATTTTTCGTAATTATGAAATCTATTTCATTTCTAAATTCAAACCTTTTAAAATATGGACCATATTTCATTTGTTTATCAAATGTCAGGAGGAAATTGAAATTTGTCATAATACACTGTACTATCAAGTTACATTTATTGATGAACAGCACTCTCTTTAGTTACCATAATATCACATCACATGTCAAAATAATAAGGCCATGAATGATTTTCTTTTGCTTGTGAATGTAGTAGGCTTATATTATGTAGTACACAATATTTCATTTCCAATTGCTGCAACTTTATATCAATCCTTTACATATACTTTGACAATCTACAGGTAAAAATCATGCTTTGAGTTATCATTTGTGAATTATTCTCCAAATTGAAATGCATGAATGAAGTACTTAAATTTGTGCAAATGAACTCATTCTCTATGGTGGAAAATTACAAAAGAAATTTCTCATCAAAAATGCATGCTCATTGTTTTTACTCATGATACTTACCGTAAGAAAACTTGTAAATTGCCAAACCTACTCTTTTAAACATCTACTCCAAATTTTCAAGATTGATTTCTCTCTGTTAAAACTGGCCATAACTTTTAGACAATAATTAGACAATTTAACAGTTTTTTGTGTGTCTTCTTTTGTTGTTGAAATGTGTAAAAAAAAAAAAAATCCTTTTTTATTTAAGCTGTTAAACGTTCATGTAATTGTAATCACTATATGATGTATGATATTCTGACAGATAATAAAAGGATACACTGTTAAGTGTTAAATATGATAAAGATGAACCAACAGGATTGTGATGTCTTTTGTTAACAGATGTTTGCGAGAGAAGTGGCTGAACCTCAAGAAAATGGTTAATTGTGTTGGAAGCGAACTTCATGCCAGCTCTTGTCATTTTCGTGTCTTCTTTGCAGACCAGCATGCTCTTTCAAAGTAAAAACAAAAAACAAACAAGGGCTGGCAGATTTTGTGAAGAGTACTGTGTTGGAAGTGCATTGATGAGGTAGTATTTCAACTGATCAAAACAATGTCAACCATGTAATGTAACCAATGCTATGGTTCAATTGGGGATTCCTACTTGTTTTCTACTGGTCTCCTAATGGTTCCATTGGGGGATTCCTACTTGTTTTCCACTGGTCTCCAAATGGTCCCAGTTGGGATTCCTACTGGTCTCCTAATGGTTCCATTAGGGTTTTCTACTGGTCCCCTAATGGTTTCTGTACGGATTCCTACTGGTCTCCTAATGGTCCCAGTTGGGATTCCTACTGGTCTCCTAATGGTTCCATTAGGGTTTTCTACTGGTCTTCTACTGGTCCCCTAATGGTTTCTGTACGGATTCCTACTGGTCTCCTAATGGTTCCAGGACTTCTTTTTTACTGGTCTAATGGTTCCAGCACTTCTTTTCTACTGGTCTCCTAATGGTTTTTGTATCGATTCCTACTGGTCTTCTACTGGTTCCAGTGGGGATTTCTACTTGTTTCCTACTGGTCTCCTAATGGTTCCAGTTGGGATTCCTACTGGTCTCCTAATGGTTCCGTTAGGTTGTTCTACTGGTCTTCTACTGGTCTTCTGCTGGTTCCAGTACGATTTTTTTCTACTGGTTTTTAATGGAAAAAGCGCCACTTTCCATATTGAAACCAGTAGAGAATTGACCAGTAGAAACCATTAAAAATCTGTACTGGTTTTCTCTAATGGTTTCTATGGGATTTTCGACCTGGGATGTTTTAGCTGGTGTTTTTGACCTGTGGTGTTCTCCCTGTATACCCTCCATAGGCCAACATCGGGTTGGGGCAGCGAACGTACCTAGATATTAAAGCATCTTCTAGAATGTTTTGGTTCATCATCCTGCATCATTGATATTAAAAATCGATCTAGAAAGTTCAGTGATGAATGTAGCTAGCTATAGGATGAATTACTCATAATAATAGTCTGAATATGCAAACAAAATAAGAACATAATTAATAAACTAAGAAGGACTCAAGCTTGATAGTTGAATTACTAAATGACTGAATAATAACTACACTTTCCTATGAATTTATTAGAAATGTATGTCAATCATGATAGGGTTTAAATTAGGCAGCATTCAATTCACGAAAATATCCCGGCATGAATATAATCGTGTCTGTTTACAAAGACTAGGAAAGACGTACACGGTTCCACATTACATCATCATCGACCAATCACAGCGCGAGGTACTTGTACGTGGCCCCAAAAGTCGTGTTGCCATTGTCAAAACGCGGGAAGTATACTCATATGCGATAGCTAAAGTCTATCTTCGTTATTAAAAAAAAAAATGCGGAGTAGGCTGTGTTATTTGATTTCCGATATGAATTGCAGTGTAGCAGGGCTCTGTTGATTCTTATTGTAATTATCCACGATACAAGTATGAAGGCAGAATATATGTTACAATGAAACAAATGATTATTCTGATTGGTTTAATTCCAATAGTAACCTATAAACATACCTATTTTGAATTTGAAGGCTACTGCCGGAGTCTACTATAGTCCCTATGACACAAATCCTACATGCAGAAGGGATTGCTATAATTTATACATTAAAAAAAACAAGTACTTGCACATGTAACACAACTTTTGAGAAATAAAGGGAATCATTTTCGAAAAGGGCACAACAGATTGCCAAATTGGATCTGTAAGCTTGGAAGTAGATTATACACCATATTACCATGTTTATATTTATGTGCGTAAAATAGCTCTCGAGTCGGGGAGTATGCTTGATCGCAGAGAGGGGTAGGCCTACTTTTAGCCACTCCCTCCTCGTATTCTGCTTGGATTAATAAAATCACCTTCTTTGTAAAAAACAAAAACACCATGCATTCCAGTAGGTCCTTGCCCCCCCCCCCCCCCCCCCCCACACACACCCATTCTCTCCCTTTCGCTCACTCTTTTACCAGCTCCTGTTTTCTCACATTCTCTTTCCCATCATCATCATTCGAAATTTCTTCACATTTGATTCGTACGTCCACTCGCATTCAACAAAGTGTAATTTGGGGCATTTTAAAAAGGCCTTGGTTCCCTATGTTTATACATTGATTTTCTTGTACACCCAGGTCATCGTTTCAGGAAACAGCCCCAAGTACAAGTTCACCGACATCCCATTAAAACAAGTGTTAGACTTAATACACGTATTTCAATGTGATGTAGGTGAACTTGTACACACGACGGTTTGGAGAAACGCTGCCCAGATGACTATATGCACATAAATTGTTGGTTTATGAAAGCAAAACTGGTTACAAACTCAAGTAGGAAACAAACAATTTAATACTTAAATCATCAAAATATCAGACCAGTCAGACAGCACAAGTGTGTACAATTATAATATGAATAGTAAAGGAATGACATGGTTTCAGATGCATGTAAATACAATTTGACTAAAAAGAATTTACACTATGAAGGGCAAAAAAAACACTATATGTGACTGATCATAACATTAGTGCGACATTGACAACATTGTTCAGGACCATTTGCAACACCATTCTGTGCTTTCACAATGAAACTACGGATCGGCTGATTTATCATTAAGCATAAGAGCATTTCATGGTTCATACACAGCGTCTCTGAGTCTCTGATAAACCTTGAAGTGGGAAATAGTCTGAGTCTAATTTGCCCAAATGATCTCGAATGGGAGAATTATCTGTTAAAGAAGAGATTTCTTTCTTTGAATAAATTACGGTAGTCACTATTCAGTAGAAAATATTATTTTGCTAGGTCTCCACACTAACTTTTTAGGGTGAATTGTGATGGAAATGTTAGGAGTATATGTCTGCAAAGGAATATCCAACTGTGTAGCCCTTACCCATACTTATCCTGTTTCTTGCAGCCAGTGAATGCATACGCTGAATTGAACTTTTCCATTTTTTACCCTCCACATCATCTGCATAAATATTTACTAGTACGCAGTATCTCGGTGGATATGCTACTACACATATGTTCTAAATCCCTCATTTCAAAAATATAAGCTGCACACAAGTGCTGTTATGTGTTGAATTTTATAATACATGTACAGTGTAAACTTAGTACAAAAATTATAAAAAGTGAGCAGGATAAATGATTCATAAATATCAGTCTACACAACATAAAATAAGCCTTACAGAAAAAAATGAATAATCTGCTCGACAAAAAAGACGACGATTAACACGTCCTTCCTGGAGATAAAAATGCTATACATAATGACCTGTGATATCTCAATTTATATACATGCATTTTATCAATAACTGTGAACAGATCTCCAGTGAATAAATGATGAAGGCTAAATTCTATACCACCCCACCCCTTGCATGCCCAGTGAGTGTTTTTATTTACAGTAAATAAACTCAAGTTCATCCATCATATGATCCATGTGTGCTCAATGTCAGATAACAGAATTTAAAAACTGGGCAGGTGTTTCCTTCCTGTTACGAAAAATATTAGTTTGACTACTATACTTCTCCATCATGAGAGATACTGACAAAAAGTGACATGGGAATGATAAAACGAAAATATAATGAAAATGTTTCTCTAGAATGTGAGATGGTTTCCATTACACCTATTAATCTACAAGGTGTGAATGTAATATTGTTGGGAATCTTCAAAATACAACATGTAGTACAAAAAATGATCAACACTCCAATAAGCCATCAACATGGATCATAGAATACAGGATGTAATTCTGCATCTTCACTTTCCTCAAATGGTTTGCAACAGATAGGGTAATACTTATGATAAAGAACAAATGGGTGTCATATGTGCCTTCTCATGCATAGAAATTGTCTAATATCATAACAAATAGGATACTGCAAATAGTGATCAAGGAAATAACTAAGTACAATAAACAATTCAGTCTTCAACCATTCGTCTTAGGATATCACATAACTTTGCCGGATTACCATGATCTACATATGGTTAGGAGATTTCAAATCTGTATTTCATCAAACAAATTTTATTGAACAATCATGCAGAATAATACATGTGATTTTGTATTTTCTAAAGCAGCAACCAAAGAAGTTATACATGTAAACTGTAACAGCTTTGGGCTGTATCATTTTTGTAAGCTTTACTTGCATTGTATTAAAATATACATGAAGCAGACAAACTTAAAAGCTATTTACAGATACAAATTTCCCACACTTGGGATTTACTATATAATGTAATACCAGGTTTTTGCTTGAGTGTATCTCCTAGCAAGTCTTCAGACTCCTTATGACCTTGAACGACTGCAAAGAAACAAAACAAAATTGGAATTAACAAATTACTTGCAAAAGATACTGAATGAAGTATAAAGGAAACTTGAGTTTCTAAAAAATATGAGTGATATGTATAATGTATTGCGTACTATAACAATGGTTATTCTGATTTACCTATCCCTTTGAGCCCTTTGAGAAACAATTACCATAACCGTAAATGACAATACAAGGGGTTATGTAACAGCAAAAGCTCCCTTAATGAGAAGATATTCACATCAGTTCATGAGAGAGTGAAAAGAATCAATGGCATGCACATTTGAATGGGAATTTGAAATTGGAATTAACAAATTACTTGCAAAAGATACTGAATGAAGTATAAAGGAAACTTGAGTTTCTAAAAAATATGAGTGATATGTATAATGTATTGCGTACTATAACAATGGTTATTCTGATTTACCTATCCCTTTGAGCCCTTTGAGAAACAATTACAGTAACCGTAAATGACAATACAAGGGATATGACGTGGCAAAACTGTGACGTTTTTTTTTTTTTCATGCAAAACACTTCACATTTCCTACTTTTTAACACTGAGCTAGGTGTATTGCTCAGAACATTTGCTAAGAGTAGTTGCCATTCATTCACACGTTAATAAAAGGACGAAGCCCTTTTTGTGGTGTTTTACAATTTTATATCTGAACGAGCCTTAAGCAATATTAATAGAATGGAGGTTATGTAACAGAAAAAGCTCCCTTAATGAGAACATATTCACACCAATTCATGAGAGAGTGAAATGTATCAATGGCATGCACATAATGCACATTTGAAACAAAACATTTAATGCCGAGAAAGAAATGGTGTATTGAAGAGACCTACCTCCTGCTGCGGCTACGGCTGTGACTCCTGTACCTAGGTGGGCTTCTAGAAACACGTCGACGGGGGCTGCGAGACCGAGACCTAGACAAGGATCTAAAGCGAGAAAGAACAAGTCTGTTTTAGAAACATCACTGGATTTGGGGGATGGTTGTCCCAAGACACTGTCCCAGCACCCAATAGTCACAAGGGAAGCATATATATATTTTTTTGTAAATAGATTGCACGGATAGCTTTTAGAATTAGGGAAGAGTTTTTATATTGTTGATTCTCAAAGTCTTAAAACCATATAGCATGTAGGAAGTAATCCTAATCTTTTAAAATGCAACAGATCCAGAAATGAAGACATAATAATTATCCATCTACTAAGAGTATGTCATGCAAATCAAAATGAAAAACAACTTGATTAAATACAGGCCAAACCATTTTTAATACATATTTGATGTTTTATATATTCTGAATTTTTAGGGGACGATATAACAGGCTTCTAAAGATGAAGATAGATACATGTACGCATTCTCATAGAGCTTCCATTTTCCCATTCATAGTCTACCACCAACATACTACCTGTATTGAAAATAGCTGCAAAGGAAAGATGACATTGATGTAAATGTTGACATGAGGAAAAAGAAGAACCATCATTTACAGATGTGCAGGAAGACAAAAACAGATTGCTGGCGCGCTGTGGGGGACTGGTTTTACTACCCTTGCAGCCTCAGGGAGGGAAGCAACCAGAGGCTGATGATCCGGTGCCCAACAGCCATGTTGCTTTCTTTTACCTTACTGACCATTTAGTTGATCATCAAAAAGATGTCCATATGATGCTAGTGATGGGATTCACCAAGCTTGGCTGACAATGGTGGGCTTCAAACCAAGGGCAGATCTGGCTTTGACCGATGTACGATGCCAGGCTGCCAGCTGACCCCAACCATGTCCATAACAGGCCTTTGTTGGATGATTTCTACCCTTAACCAGCTATTTGGCAGCCTTTAACTTTTGATAACTAGAATTTGCAGCCCCGGTGTGTGCAGGTTTAGGGAAGAGACGAAGCTCGTGATGGGTGGGGCGGGCACACAGAAGTGATAGAGCTGGGCCCTACTTGTGTGACTGCTTACACCCATGCTGTACTCATCGGAGAGAGAGAGGTGATGGATGTAAGGAGAGCGCAGGCATGGTGCGACATTGTTGCTTTGAACATGAAGGGTTATCATGGTAGAAGCATTGTGGGTTGTCAAGAGGATCGTACTAGGAGAGCCCTGGAAGGGTAAGGACGAAGGTATTTGTTCATATACACTGTACTTGTTGGCTCTTTTAATTTAGTTATAATCTTTATTATTAATTGTTTGGCATACAAAATTTATTTGTTAAAATATTGATTTAGCACTTGAAATTAGATAAATAAAAATGGAAAAGTAAACATCAATTATCTAATGCAATGCATTTATTAAGTAATAAGTAGCATTTTAATAAACTAATCTAATATTCATGGGAGAATTTTGTTTTAAAAAATAAAAGGCATAATTAACAATAAAATCAAAACACAGTTGGAATAACATAGTCCATTTTTAGATTAACGTTTATGGACTTCACAATAATCCTGATTTTAATTGAGAATGTCCTTGTGAAGAAAAGACAAGGTGTGATCAATTCATTTTATAGTATTCATGTATTTCTTGTTTAGGTATGATATCTTCGAGACATTATCATTTGTAATTAGTGTTTCCATGTGATTCTGGAATATGAATAAACCTTGTTTTCAAGTAGCAATCCTAAGATAACAAGGTGGTAACATTTTATGACACATGCACAGAAATATGTGTACGAATGGTATAATCATCACTTCCTTGAATTTGGTTAATCAAATCTTGGTATTAATGTGGGGTTTCATCTGTATCAGTATGAATATGCGCCATCATACGGACGCCTGTGTACACAAAATATTAAATAACCTGTTTTACATGTCCTTGTTTGCCCCTCTGTTTGTTCTGATAATTTATGAGCATTTCGCAAATTCATTACCAATGGGACATGAAAGAATAGAATGTAGACTTGCTTTCCTAGGTTTACATAACAACAAAATTATAATATAAATACAAATAAAGACCACCTCATACATTTCAGACTATAGGCTGTATTTTGCCATGACGAGGGAAGGAGAGATGTACAAACATACATGTACATGACCTTGTAAAATGTAATACAATGTTTGGTGTACAAGTATGGCTACAGCTACTTTTTTTTGCTTGGAGTATAGTGAGGCATCTTCTCAGCTCAAAAATATATAACTGCTACTAGTAAAAAAAAGCAGACTTTATCCTTTGAAACATTCATGAAGTCTGTTTGATCTCACCTTGAGTAACGCTTGGTGCTCCTGTAGCCACCTGGCGATCTTCCTCTCCTGTCACAGTCCCTGGCAAAGTGACCTCTCTGACCACACTCGTAGCATCGTTCATTATCCCTCATTCCACCACGACGTCCACCCATGAAACCTCCACCGCCCCGATGACCACGATCTCCTCCACGGTCACCACGATCACGAGACCTCCTCGATTCGCCAGAGGACATCTCCACTCGAACTCGAACTCCACAGACATTTCTGTAACAATGTTTCACAGTTTTAAAATATTCTTAACGACATGTACTTTGAACAATGTTATCTCAAAGGAATTTAGCTGATCAACCTCGGTATGTCTTAACTAAAGTAAAGCCAATGTCTAAAAATAGAGAATAGAATATAGCCTATTTAGATCATATTTGGAAGCTTAACATAATGCCATATTAGTCCCCATTGTACATGCTAGTTGCCTGCTTGTAGGAGTCTGCATTTAACAACCTCTCTTCATGAAACTGACACAAGATAATTTTCAACATTCAATTCAATCCAGTATTCCTAAAGAGATCATTGAAGTATACCACATTTTCTTCCCCACATACTACTTGCTTCATAATCAACTTAATAATTGATGATTCATATATGGGTACATACTACATTGGTATGTTCCAACGACAATTACAATTTCAAAAGATTGTCTTCTTCAAAATTTATTAGTAACATTTCATCTTACCTGTCATCTAGAGCTTTGCAAGCATCAGATGCGTCACGTTCATCTTCAAACATAACAAAAGCGAAACCAGGTGGGTTCCTAGCGACCCAGACATTCTTGACACGCCCATATCGACTGAATGCCTCTTCTAGCTCTGTGCGACTGGCTCCTGATGGCAAGTTCCCTACATACACTTTACACTCTAATGGGACTGGTGAGATTCCTCTGCTGCTGTGCCTTGCCATGCTTGAGTCTGTAATCTGTAATTAAACAAATAAATATAAAAAAGAAACGCACATATATAACTTTATCTATTTTGACATCTAATGTTATTGCTAATTTTTACTAGCTTCCTGTATCATTGTATGTCAAGGGTGAAGGGTGGCATCATTTCAAGTCTATCCCGAAAATAAGTAAAGCAGAAAAATATTTTTCTGAAAGTCAATTAAATCATCATCAGCTAATCAGATCAGATTTCCTTCAACCTTTTATCAATTTGATTTTCTCATTTAGCCAATTATCTTTTATTTATGTTTGACAATATGGGAGACAACTAAGATCTATTTGGGAGACTGTCTCTAATGTCTGTGACTTTTGTCAAGATTTTTGGTAGCCCATTCGAGAGACAGTCTCTTATTTGAGATACCAATTTCCTTTTTTTCCATTTGCTGCAAAGGGGACCCCTTGCTCTTCATACAGATATGACGACCAGATCCTCATGAATAACAACACCTTTCAATCTTTCATAGTAGTTTCATCCATCTCTGTAAAAATTCACTGGCTTATTATTTCTGGCTACTTTTGTTTTCATAACAGTTTTTGTTGGATGATCCACTCACAAATCCATTGGGCTCATCAAAAATTTGGCAGACATTCTCTCAAATGGGAGAGTCCCCGAAATCGGCCCTGCCTGGCTGTCTCTCTATTGTCAGAACTCAGAAGATCATTTAATTTTAAATGTGGATCATAATGAGGAAACATAAAGGTCCCGTTTTTTTAATGATCTTTTTCGTCAGTTGCAACGCATACCTATCCAACATCGAATTTTTAGATTGCGATATCTCCAGACTTCTTTCATGATAAATTGTGTAGTTGCACTGTTGCACCAATTTTAGTTTAAAAACTTTGTAGTCCATTTGGTAATATTTGTGAGAAATCATGGATACAGAGATGCCAAATTCAAAGATCAGCTATGCGTGACATTTTCATGATTCGACACGCGAGGGTGTAGCGTACGTACGTCATGCGTATTTTCAGACCCTGGAATAGTGGATGTGTGACACTTGGTAGCTCTGTGGATAAAATATCACATTTCCTAATTATTTTTTTTTAATTCCGCCATCTTCGGTCAACCTATTTCTCTATCTAACATCAGAAGAAAAAAAGAGTCATATAGTCATTACAGGCACTAGCAAATTCTAAAGGCAGCCAGCGCCAGTTTGCTAGTTTCGTTGGGCAGATTGAGGCCTGAGCTGAAACTGAATGAAACTTGAAAGTAAAACTTTGATTTTGAAAGGGCGATTACGTACATACTACATGTTTTGTTTACATCACTCATTTCACTCTTCAGGCAGGCATATGTATTCTAATTAAGGCTAAATGATATTAATATCATATACATGTAGATGTAACTACCTAGCCCTTCAGGCTTACCCATGGCCCTCCTAGGCCTAGCAAGTTCATACATTGCTTTTTCACTTGATAGCAGGCTATAGTTATTCACCATTGCATTGCATGCATGCATGCCTTATTATTTCTTGTATCTAGGCTATGCCATTCATGGCAAGACGTCGATCCGAAATTGCTTCATGTGAAGATAAATCATTGTGTATAGTGATATCGAGTTAATTTAGAAGATAGAATACGCTTTCATAAATACGAATCCATTTTACCACACGATACAAACACAAACATTGATGGCAAATATGAGTTTTAACTTACCTTTCCTTGCCTTGAACTCTGACTGCTGGATCCAGTTGCACTTCTTCAAGCTATCCCACAATACCTTGCAAGTACAGGCTTTTACTGTCGAAGTCTGCGGACGCAGACCCTTTTATAAATCGCAACTAAGTTGTTATTACGTATAGGTTTTAGACTTTCAATCATCCTTCTGCATAATTTGCAAACAGAAGCGACTCGATCTAGGTCAAATTTACAGGAATGTTTTCCTAAATGGACATGACAATTTTGCGCACTTTTGCTGAAAGCTCGTATTGACACCCCCCCCCCCCTAATTTCCATGACTGATTGTTTTCAAGGATAGCCGAGGGCCTTCATGTAACTATCATCATATATCTCCCCGAGTGGGTGAAGTTCTTCAAGAGAAAAAGCTGGGGGGGGGGGGGATTAGCTGACTGGTGTACACCATCCATTATGTCACTATTAATTCATGAAGTAAGGAATCACTCAGTGACCTATAATCGATCAAGTTTAGGGCCTCATCATTATATTCATGCTCTTCTAATTCCTAAATTAAATTAAGTTCATATTGGCCATGACATGTATGACGAGATGGTTAATGCGAGGAATAGCTCATGCCCGAGCTCATGGCGACCGAGTGGAATTTTATTAATTTATTTTTGAATATGCTTTTTCATTTACTTAATCACGTACATTTTGACATATTTCCAAGCATACGGTCCGACCTCGGCCCCCCCCCCCCCCTGGAAATGAATATTGCTTTGTTCATTATCAGCTTTTTGACCCAGTGAAATAATGTGTGGTATAATGAATGGAGGGCGGATATAAATAGCGACCAATCTTTTCCTCTCTTTCCTTTCCTTTCCTTTCCTTTCCTTTCTTTCCTTTACTTTCCTTTTCTTTGCTTTTATTTCATTTTCTTCTCATTTTTTTTCTTTATGTGCCTCTATCTTTCTCTCACTCGCTGAAGGCCACGCCCCCTGCATGCGCACTATTATGTAAACAAGTATTGGTAGTAGTATGTACTGAAACAAGATGGCTTCGTCAAAGTTTCTCGTTGAAACTACAAAACTCCTTCAGACTTACTCAGGGAGGGACAAGGTGATAAGGACCGTAACGTACTTATTATTGATGTTATCTGGAATATCTAAAAGTAATGAGAATTCGAAGAAACTTCTTACGGTCAGCCTGCAGTTGAGTCTTTGCCGGACAATTCTTCGCCTTTTCGACGACCTACCAATGCTTTCGTACACCCTCTCCTACGGCTTGGGGCGTGGGGTGAGTAGCCGCGCGGTTTACGTGTATCTTAGGAGCTGCTTCGCCCGCGCCAGTGAGCTACAAAGCTAGCTGCAGCTGCTTTGTGAACTCCCCGGCCCTGGCCCTGATAAATAATGAGTTAAAAAATAATAATAATACTTTCAGTAAACATAATCACTGTCTGTGTATAATTATATCAATGTACATGTATCTGTTACATTAACAAACACCAAGCTTACTTACACTCTAGATGAGAACATTTATCGATTACATTTACCTTTACAATTACAATTTACATGACATTTTCTGCTAGTATTTGTGTTTGATACATCATCATCATTTGAGATCTTGAACTGTCAGTGAATCTGTTGTTTGAATCTGTGAAATCTGATTCCATCTTTATACCACAACTTGTCTTTCTGGCATGCAGGAGCGCAGCACATTGATGCAGGTAGTTGGTGTGGTGAAGAACATGGTGGATCAGACTTTCTTCGTCCTCGAGCACATAGCATGGGCAGCAGATAATCAACTGATCCGTATTCAATCTGAGAGATGGTGGCACCTCTCTGTGACTGCATGGTTGGTGTCAATGTCACTTGGAGTTATCAAGTAAGAAATGCATGAAACTAAGACTGAGCAATTGCATCACTTACTCCGGTGGCAGTCTATCTGCAACTCTACTTTATTCCATTCCCTGACTGCATCGCTGACTCAAACATCATACTTAACCCTAATCAGGGATATGAGAGTGCCCTAACCTAACCTAACCTAACTCTATCGCAACTGAAGCTCAAATGATGCCCAGAGCAAATTTTGATAAAGCAAATGTTGGGTTATCCATAGAGCAGTGGGTTATAAAACGGTAACATTTGTTTTCTGTTGCATTCTAGAATAGAAACATGACTGATATTGTCCAGATGTTATATATGTACTGTGTTTGCTTTTAACAGGCCCTGGGAGGGGGATGGCTTTCATGACTTTATCGCCTAGCCTCTTATGCATCTTTGGTACCAAATTTATAATAATTTCAACCAACAGGTATTGCGCAGAGTCACAAACACAGCGTCACAAATTGCAGCCACATTTAAAAACTATGTGAGATAGAGATGTGAAACTTCATGGACTTATTCTTTATAAGACAATCTATCTGTATGCCATATGTGTCAGAATTTTTCTCACTCAATGACAAAAAGGATTTTTTTTACGAGGGAGGGGGAGGGGGTGGGGTAGGAATCCATTCCCCTTAGACTTAATGGTTTCGTGAAACAATCCCAGATGACTTGATAATACGCTAGATGTGATTTTATTCAATTGCAGAAGTAGTGGTGGTGTCATGGATCTACAAAGACAAAGAAAGATAGCCTTCCTTCAAGCTAAAAGGTAGGTTTTGTCACCTCATGCATTCAGTTATTTTTACATTTCCCTATCCCTTGCCATTGATTTAGATGTGAGCTTAAAAGATTGTAGAGTAATAGACATTCATAGCATGTCCCTTTTAACAAACAACAAACAAAGTAACAAACAATCAAAAAAGAAGGAATTTATACAAATGTCAATTATGTGGTTACAAAAACTTGCTCAAACAGGGAGTACAACATATGGAAAAACTAATCTTAATCAGAGCTATATCTACATTGTGCTCAAAGAAAGAGTCAAGTGCTGGCCAAGTGATGTCATTATGAAATATACTGTCTGGAAGCAAATTTGGAATTATAGAATCTGTAAGGTTTTATAATCATTACGGTCATAGGAAATTACCCACAATCTTGCCACAAGTCACATGCACTGCACACAAAAATGTTTATATGGGACTACACACGCATGTGGCATTAAACTTTAACTGGCCATATTTAAACTATGAGGGGATTTATATGAGAAGTCTTTCGAAGGGACATTTCATTTGTGATATTCTTCCACACCTATGATGTTTAATGTTTACGTTTATTTTTTATGTTGCCCATTATTGTAAACATGATATTATTATATAGTCATGCAGACTACATTCATGAATCATATTTTAAATGTTTATATTTTACATCAATAGAACTCGAATTTTAAAAAATAATTGATCACAGAATATATTCACCCTTATCAGAACTTGACCTTTCTCTTTATTTCTCTTCCTGACAGCTCTCAAGACGGGAACGTCCTCAGAGCGTCTGACCTGACCAAGGAACAGACTAGGATAGTCCTAGGTATGCTAGCCGATGGCTGTGACATGTGCAATGCTATACACTGGATGCCTGCAGGGTTCTTATGGTCCAACAAACTCCCTAACCGTTGGGTGGGGCTCTTTGGGACCATCTCATCGCTCATCAAGTTAAGCTTGTTCATAGAGAGCAGGAGGTAGTAGTGAATGGTGCTGATAGCTAGGTGCCCATGTTTATGTCGAAGGTGAAGTTGAGTTCTGGTAACAAGAATGCATCCGAACAAAATTTGATGAATTTATTCTCATTTTTTTTCAATGTCAATGAGAACAGCAAAGGTGCAGAATATTTTTATTTTTTTTAAATTCTCTTAAAATTTACAGCCACAAATTTTCATTTTTATACCAGTACTTATTATCATGTGAAACCTCTGGATTGTCCTGAAACAAGGCTCTGGTTTGACTTTGAATTTTTTATCTGCGTTGCTGATCAGGCAATCTTGGTGGTTGTTTAGATTGCAAATTTTAACTTTTGGTGGCTACCATTTACAGTGAGTAAAATTCACATGAATGCTCATTTACCAAAATGTTCCTCTTGCCAGTACTCTCCTTCTCTTTGATTGATATATACCTGGACACCGTCTTATAAAGAGTTGCAATTGATCCGAATCAATCGCAAGTGTGCAGTTTCATATCTCTTATGTACAAAGTTGCGATTGATATCATTTAAAATAAGTTGTTATTAATTGCAACTGTTTATAAGACAGGACCCTGGTGTATGGTGGTATTATGTGTTGATATGCAATATGATTTGAATGCAATGGCCGACAACTTGATACTCGCATTGACACTTTGATCTTTCATTGATTAAATATTTTATGATGGCATATTGAAATAACTTGGTTATCATAGAGTGCCTTGAAATGAAGTAAACTTCAGACTCCATATTGGGGCTTCCATAATTTATTTGTTTTTTATTGAGGTCAGATAATCAGTTGCAATTCTAACAGCCATTGTACATGTAGGTTAGTTGCTAACAATCTGTGTCGCCATTAAATCAGAATTATTACAGAATTGTGAATTTTTCTCAGGTAGTATTGACTTTTATACATAAAGCATTAAATATTGCTAGCAGTAAAGATTTTCTAGGGTTTGAAACTTAGAATCAACCCCGATTTTATTTGAGGCCAGTGCATTACTTGCTGGCTGACTGATCATTGGATGTTCTGTACATGTTTTGACTGCTCCTAAGTCTTAACTACTGCAATTAGAATTAGAGTTTCCTTGTGTACCAGTATGCATTCAGTGATTCTTAAAATGTGCCACTGCTTGAAGACTTAGCCTCCTGAAACCTATTGTAATGTAGCCATACAATCTACATGTATGTTATCAACATTTCATAAATGTAGTAAAAGTGTAAAAATGGTATATGAATTATGGTTTGAAGCCATAGAGGGCAGAAATAGCCAAGAATGTTAGTAATATATTGCCTTTTAATAATTGGACATCTTGTTTTTTGTTCCTCTACATGGAGCTCCCATTTGACATCCTATCCAAGAGACGGAGTGTTTCCTACTTAACAAACTCTGCGTCTATTAATATATTTGATACACTTGTTAGGGAGAATTTGCCTGTGGTTCCTTTTTTTTCTTTCTGAAATCCCCCAGGCAAAATCAACTCTGATATATGCACTGGGGTCTCACTGCCAAATGATTGTGCTTTATATATTTGATGATGACGAAGATATCTTGTGCATGTATGTCCAGTACTTTGTACTTTATGTGCAGAGCACATAATCAATGTTTTTGTTTTAATTTTCTACATTATGATATTGTGTGTGATACATATTTATTATGTATTAATAACTAGAGTTTTGATTGTCTACAGTATGCACACTTCAGTAGGACTTTGTGAGTGTATGAATTGTTGGAGTTCTAAACTCCACTACAATTGAATGTCAGAGTATGAGATTGATCGTGACTTCATTCATCCTTGTTCAGATTGAGTTTTGAACCCAGGTTCTCCAATTTTCAAAACCACTGAATCAAGAAGCATTCACAGTAAATGCTGTGTGTGTGAAGTTGACTTTTTTTTAGAGGTAAGGTAATAAATGTTCTTATAAGTTATAATGGAATTGCTTTTCAAGAAAAAAAAAAGCTTCAAATTATTTTGAACTGTTTGTCATGCGGTAGGTGAATTTTTTTGATCAGCAAAATTATAAAATTAATAAAACTTGCTGAAACCATATTTGCTAGAAAGCATGACTATAATTAGAACATGTGTTGCACATATGGGTCAGGATAAATCGCTTTATTTCATTCTCTTTCTTTGGCCATTCCTCAGTTAGCATTATAAGACAATATATTGTGCAAATACATCATTAATTGGAAGTCTTGCCCTTTCAGTGGAAGTATCAAGACACTCTTAGAAATCTATTTGCTGTCAGAACTCAAAATAACCTTTGAAGATACTATGTCCCTTTTGCAGCCAACCTCAAATTCTGTAGAACTTTGCAGGAATTATGAATATGTCATTTATGTCCTATCTGTGAAATTTAAACATTAGCAGTGTCCTAGTATTCAAATTATGCAAGGAAACCAGTTTACTTGCTAAACTTCACTGTCAGACATTATTGAGTGACTAACTGACATCTTTTTTTCTTTGGTAATAATATACATATGGTCTTTCAAATGCAGTTGGAATTTAACCTTTTTATTCCCTCGCTGACGAAGTCGGGTGGGATATAGTCAACGCTGCCGTCCGTCCTTCCTTCCGTGCGTCCGTAACAAATTTGGTTTCTGATCAATAACTTAAGTAATGTTTGACAAATGTTAATGAAATTTGATATGAAGGTACATGATATCAAAATACAGGCTAAGCTCGATTTCAGAGTATGTAGGTCAAGGTCGTAGCTCATTAAATATGCGATTCTGGTTTCCGATCCATAACTTAAGTATTGTTTGACAGATTTTAATGAAATTTGATATGAAGGTTCATGGTATCAAAACACAGCCTAAGTTCGATTTCAGAGTATGTAGGTCAAAGGTCATAGCTCATTAAATATGAGAATCTGGTTTCCATACGATAACTTGAGTAATGATTGACAAATTTTAATGAAATTTAATATGAACCTACATGGTATCAAAATACATGTACAGCCTAAGTTCGATTTCTGAGTATGTAGGTCAAAGGTGAAAGGTCATAGCTCATTGAATATGCAAAAACTTCTTATTATATATGTGAAAATGTGGTTAACTTCCTTGCCTAATAATATAAATAATAGTATAGTCCAAGGGAGGCAACTTGTTCTGACGTATATTTGCACCCTGCGAGGGGATGCTACGCTTTGCGTTGACTTGTTATTTTCGCCTGCAAATGGGACATAGTACCTTTAACTGTTGGTATACAGGTATCACTATGAATATGACGAACAAAGAAAGCGGACAAAATATACAGTTCCTCAGGTAGACAAAGGAACATCCCTTCACTGCTATTATGTAAAAATGTGTAGAACAGGCGTCACATGCATATTCACCTTTTTACATAATAGCAGTGAAGGGATGTTCCTTTGTCTACCTGAGGAACTGTATATTTTGTCCGCTTTCTGTGTTCGTCATATTCATAGTGTATGATGTATGACATTTGGAGCAATGTCTTATCCAAGGTACTAAGTATGAATGTGTTGCTGTATGGAAATAATATTATGTTTGATTATGCTCGTTCACTTGTATATTTTTCTAATAAATAAATTTATAAACATGGTGCAGATATATATTTTTATTAATCTGATGTTACTTTGTACATCGATCGTCTAATGTATAATTGAATTGTTCTATTAAAGATAGAATGAAATATATCATGAAAGTTTACTTTGTGTTATTTATTCATTGTAGAGCAAATTCTAAAGTCCATCAAGAGCTAACACTATCAATGACAATAGTAGAAAAAAAGATAGCGATGTTGATATGCCAGGGTAATTTTAGTTTAGTATCTTGCACAGGGCATCAAAATCAAATTGACTGAAACTTCCTGTAAACAAGAACTTACATATAGTGGATGATTACTTGTCTAACATCTCATTTAAAATTTCTATGGCATAATTTTTACAATCATTTTAACTTGTAATTGTGAAGTTTATCTTGTGGCAGCCCCATGAACATAGCCAATTTTTATTCTTGTTACGTGAGGTCGTGTCATAAGATCTTGTATTATTGTGCAATGATAACCGTGGATTATGTGAAATACATAAAGAGAGAGGGGAAGGAAAATATATTCATAGAAAAAATAGATTGGTCTGTATTGTGCTTTGCATGTTATCAATCACTAATGAGATAAAAGAAATTTTATCAAATGGTCAATAATGGAGAATATAATTTTGGGTCAAATGTAATTCATGAAGTAAGATGTGCTTTATAATTGTGGGATATAATGTATTACCAACCGATAGAGACATCTGAGCAGGGCAATTTTCAAATGTTATTGCCCTCAAAGTTAAATTGATAAGCCAACAACACAAAGGGTGAAAAAAATATTGACCGCTCAGCAAAGTCAATGGGATTTTGTGTGTAATTTGCAGGTCAATACATTATACATAGTTGGCCAATGAACAAATATTATTGCCTGATTAGAAAAGTCAAGTAGCGGGCAATAATGTAAAGCCAACATCCGGGTATTTTATAATTTTCATTGTGCATCTATTACATGTATGAGAACCTGCACACTTTGCGAGCACTCTATTGTGACGTAATAATCACACCCAAGGCACACTGTTTGCAGTGTATTGAAAATATCGCCAAGCACCGGATGCACATGCAGTGTTGGTTTGACAATGTTTCTGCAACTTTTCATGCTAGGAAAACCTGTGGGCAACTGTATTTTACATAATTTAAGAGTATAAGATATTAAAAGTTTCTTGTTTGCTCTCTATGTCTGATGTGGTTAATAATAGTAATAATGACTGCCTTCAGGACAATACAACTCGTCATATACCGTCCTTCGGTTCGGGCAATATATGTGGTATTGCTCTGCAGGCAGTCAATATTACTTAAATGTCAATAAAATCTAGCAGGTTACACATGTTCAATTTGTATCAATTAACTCATATCCTCCTGCTTATCTCTTTGTAGTTTTGATTAGAATACTTTAGCACTATTTAAAACACAAACAAGGGGCTGTTCACAACTGTTGCTGTTATCTTATTGTCAGTGCTGATTTTATTAAAGATTTCCTCCACAGAAACATGGTCAACATAAAGAGCATGTTTTGATAATATTGAAATGTCATGAACTGCCTAATCTCAATAGCAAACACATTTACATTTAGAATCCAACTTACATTCTAGAATTGAATACAATTCAATTACTTTCTCCTTTCCTTGCACAAGCAAAGAATATTTTGCCAGGATTTCAGAAATGCTATGGAATATTTACAGAGTGCATCAAAATGTCAATCTCCTCTGAATAAAAAGCACCACAAAATAATCTGGAAGCAACTTTCTCTATGACCCTTAGTAATGAATATATATAACACACTGCTGCCAAAAAATATTTTTACAAGCTGATAAATACAAGCAACAAATATTAGTATAGGAAGATCTTCTAGATGTTCTTTTGATGGGATCATATATTTTGATGGAATATTACTTTTGCCAACAAGAAACAAATATAAGGACAAAATAATGTGTTATTCAGGAGGGGAGAATATTCTGTTGTGCCCTTCCTTTCTAATGCATGACAATGTTACACTACAGCTGTAATAGCTTCCATAACACAGCATATTTTCCAGGGAGACGTTATGCTTTCACCTCAGCACTTGATCAATGTTTAAATACATGTACTTGATATACTTTTCAAGTATGATTTCACTGGTGTGTATTATTTTACATGAAAGTTTATTCACCTTTATAAAAAAAATTGTTTTACTAGTATGGTCACTACAAAAATCATGATTATTGATAAAGATATAATTTGACCAAGGATAATGGAATTTAATGTCACATCTGACAAATTTCAGTCAATAAGACAAAATGAATAAAGAAAATGAATCACAAAAGCAGCTTAGTGCTGAAGTAAGCTGTGTACTTGAGATTATCAAAATGCAAGGAAGATCAAATATAAATCCTATACTACAAGTTAAATTTTTAATGCCTTTTACTCTTTCTATCAACCTTTTTACAATTCTCTCTTTCCCCCCCCCCCCCATATCTCTCTCTCTCTCTCTCTCTCTCTGCCTCTCTCTCTCTCTCTCTCTCTCTCTCTCTCTCTCTCTCTCTCTCTCTCTCTCTCTCTCTCTCACACACAATCTCGCTCTAACTTTCAAATTATCAAGGTACATACACAAATGCAGGACCTTTATCAATGCTGTTTTAGAATTGCATCACATCTTGTGACATGCATGATGTACAGACAGCCCCAAAATAGTCTTCCTATTACTGTAACTAAAAATAAACTTTTATATTTCATGGAAAAACATTTAATTCTAAAGTACAGCTGCCTTTAAGGCCAAACCACTGAAATTAGATCACAAATCACAAATATTTCCATTTCAAGAAGTAAAATAGTCAAAACAAAGTTGATTATCATATTGTTTGGTTATTCCATTAAAACCAAAAAAGGGCTTTAAACAAAAATTTCTCACCTCCTTTTCATTGACTATTTCTACACATTCCTGTGCAATACCAACTTTACATATCTTCAAGATTGGATATATTTCAAAAATGCACAAAATGTACATTATTTTATCTCTTCAAATACAAAAAAATACAAAACAGATATCAATACAAATTCAAAATACACAGATATTCTCTATATTGGATATAAAAATTTGGACGTATATATGCAGCTAAATAATAATGACTTGGTCATAATGCTTTGCTTCTTATAAAGAATGGCTGATCATGTGAAAAAAAGGAATGAGGGCTTCGGAAGAAAAGAATCTTGGTCTCAAGGAAATGCAAGTTTGGAGATGAAAAACATGAAAATACACAAATTAAATTCAAGGTTCTATTTCAAGTCAACATCATGTGCATTATACAGTAGGTTTACGGTTTACGGTTTACTGTATAATCTACAACTGTACATCACCATGCAAGCCAATACTTATACTGTAAGCAGTATTGTTTTCTCTTGTTATGATCACTACTGGTAGCCATTAAGGCACCTAGAATGCAATACTATAACTAGTAAGTATGTGTATAGGATCAGAGAGAAGCAGATTTAAAAGGACTGCTTTACTGCTTACAAATGAGAAAAATAAATTCTCTGGACCCTTCTGAGTCACATTATATACAAATAATGCTTAAATAAGAATACTTTGTTATACCTCCTTTTGAATTCATTAAGCAACAGGAGCAAGACTCAAACTATTTTTTCAAAATTAATATCCTTCTTGACAAATTAAAAGGAGGACACCAAAGAAGAAAGATATATGCAAATTTACCTAAAAAGCCTAATTGCAAAACTTTTGTACGAAGACTGACAAATATTTTTATCCCACACTTACAGAAAAAATTATTACAGTTTCTGGTCATCACTGACCTATTCACACAAGCACCATATTCACAAATCTCTCCTCTTTGTAGTTTTTACCAGGTAATTATTCTCTACATTTTCCTCAGAACCATTTTCTCTCTCGTGTAATGTTCTACTAACGAATACATATATTCAGTTTGCCTTTTGAAATCAATATCGTAAGACCCCTTAATGAGGCCATGTTCACAAAACAAAATTTGAAACCAATCTGGTCTATATCACAAATGGTATATACCTCTTACCAGAACTTGACATAAAACAATCAAAAATCAAATGCATGCAGTCAACTAGACAGCCATGTCTAGCAGAAGCGGAGGAAAAGAGTGACAATGTGAACAGTGGGCCTCTCTACATAGTGGGCAACACTATATTGCTTCTGTAAGGGAAGACTGTGATTTAAAATGCTCACAGACTCTATGTTCATTCTTATCTCTTCAAATATCCAAAGGTGTTTCAAATTCTGGAGTAAAGTCACCCTAACCTCCTCTACGACAAACAACCTGTTAAACTCAGTCACTTTGTTCAAATACTTTCAACAAACCAAAATGTCTTCAGAATAATCACTGCCATCAATCACTCATGCTATCATCATCATTACCGTCAGCTTTGAGTCGTCCATAATGATTCTCGCTGAAGAATTCTACATCGGAAGGCTTCCTCTTCCTGCGAGGACTGAAGTCCAATCTGTTATAACCCTTGGCTGCGGGTGCCCTAGACAGGTGAGCGTACACCCCAGAGTCACGCTCATCCTCGCTCTTTTCAGTCTTTGAGAGAGTTGGTGAGCGAGGCTGCACAAAGTCCAAGGGTCTTTCTAGTTGCTCATAGTGTGGGGATGCAAGAGAGGCAGCAGCCTGCTCGATGCCGCTATCGGCGCTTCGTCTTGGGTTAGAGCTCTGACTGGTCCTATCATCCGGGAGACCTTTAGCGGAATCATTCTCACTGGAGGTACTGCTGCTTCCTTGCCATGCTGGGGTAGGCTCTAGTAAGTAGTACTCCCCACTCATGCGTGGGTTACGATTCTCCGTCGGATCGTGCGTCAGGATTACTTCCTCATATATGCGACTGTTACGATCCACCGGTTTCATTGGAGTAGATGTTGCCGCAGGACCGGGTGCCGCCCCACCGCATGCCCCTAGAAGTTCATCTTGGACACCTCCAGCAATCTCTTGCCCATCCTTGCAATGCTTGCCCTTAGGATCCTCATCCTCTGGCTCGCAGCCACTGGCCTTACAGCCCGCATCCTGCTCATTATTATTAGGCTTCAACTCGCCTTCCTCCAAACCAAACTTATTTTTGTTGGGTTCCTTGAAGAGATTGGGATTCTTACTTTCTGCCAAAGCATTGGGAACCTTGGCAAAGAAAGCCATGTCACCTGATATCCGACTAAGCCTCTGGACCTGCTCCTGGGTGAGTGACTTGCGATTGCAGCATGCTGGATCAGGTAGAGCGCCATCTACTGTTTGCTCACCACTCAGGATGGGTAGCATCCCATCAATATAGATGTTACCTAGAAAGAAAAGGATAGTACTTTATCTGAAGTGTTTCCTACAAATTTTATGTAGCTACATGTATACATGTATATTGCAATGGATCTTATATAATATATTAAACATTGACTGTTACTGCAGTATTAGCATCTCATAACCATCAGCTCTTAATAATCTTTTTATTTACTTCAACACTATCAACCAAGAGTAATAAGAGTGATTAATAATTGTATGGACTTGTGCCTTTCTCTGACAAGATCCACACTGACAATATTATCATCCTAACTTTCATTTAATGTTAGGGCTCTATTCACACATTCAACCTTTTCTCTTATAAAAGGGTCATCAATATCCCTTTTCTACTAACTATAATAAACTCACATGAGGTCAGTCAGAGACACTGAACTCATACTAAAACAGAGGTTGAGCTTGGTGTGGGAGAGGGTGTGGGAGAGGAAGGGGGTAGTCATACACCCCTTCATTTCAAAACCCCCACAGACATATCATGATGGTGTAGAATCTAGAAATCTTCTTCTCTTAAAGGCCCACTGCACTACTTGTAGCTACTTGCGCCCTCTACATAACAAACAATGCCTAATCGGTGACCATTGGTCCCCATGATCCTCTTTTTCTTATGTTAACTGAGAGCTGAGTTGATGAGATAACCACCTGTCCAGTGACCTTGCAGGGCGCTCTTATCCCTCCTGTTAACTATGGCAGATAAGCTTTAATGAATTATGTTTTGTGACAGTGCCCCCCCCCCCCACCCCCCATCCTTGTTGGACAAGATCCTGGATCTGCCACTGTTCATACTAACTTCACTTCCCATTCTCAACATAAGAAGTCATAACAATGTTTTGAAACCCAGCTGGCATACCTTACACATTGAAAAACATTGTCCCCTCAATTATATTAGTCTTCAGGACTTAACCCCCCCCCCCCCCCCCCCCCACCCCCACCACTTCCCTTGGGAAAAACCCTGGACCCAACCCTGATCATACTTACTTGATCTGCCATTCTCTAGATTATTAGTCACCACATTGTTGAGAGGTATCTCCTCAGGCATTGCCTCGGGTAGTTGGCGTCTAAAACAAGAACGAAAAACAGAAAAAGAAAATAAGGAAGGAAATGATGCCGGAAGAACCTGCCAAATGCCATGTCAAAATTAAATGGAATTATCACGATTCATGTATACATCATTCTAAACAAGTGCACTGACATTTGTTGTTATAGGTACATTCATACAAACAGCTGTCATATATTTTAGATTCTCAGGGAGAAATTACTGAATGATTATCTGTATATTGCATGATACAGGAATAACTGTAGAAGTAACAAGATAATCAGAAAAGTCTAAACTTGGCAAAGTGAGCCTAATGACTGCTGAGTTTTGTAAGGGAGAGGAGGAGGGGGGTCAGAGGTGAAGCAATGTGTAACACATTACATGTCCAGGAGGAATTTCTACATGAAGGGAATCCAATTACAGCCTTCCCGTCCATCCACCCGATAGGCAATAAAAGGTTTCAGACATAATCACAGAAAAATTTTGAGGAAGTATGACAAAGTGTATTGATCCATTTTAACCTTCCTGAAATTTCTGATCATATCCTAAGAGACCTCAATATAGAATGTATTTACGGCCATTCACCCCTCATCCTGTCTGAACATATTATTCATTTCCTTTTAAGGTACTCTTCATCCACGACTCTGTCAAACTCAAAATGATAAAAATGTATTTGATGAAAAAATATAAAACCAGCTGTAGACTTTAACATTTCTTCTTACCATCTTTCATCTTCATTTTCAATTTTATTTTAGACAGCTTTTTTCTATTTTTGTTTTACCCTACTGTCCTTTCAGTCTGTAGAATACATTTCTTTTTCCCCTCTCAATTTCCTTTCTTATTGAGTTTCATTTCCCTCATACATCTCAACAACTTCTGCTTCATGAAATTGTTTTCATACATTTTAAATATAATTTGGGCATATTTTTGCTATCTTGTCAGTCCATACAAAAAAACATTCATTTGAATAGAACAATACTTTTTTATCAACTGAAACTTATCATGGCAACTAGAACAAGTGTATACCACAATTGTTATACGTATGCCATTATTTACTCACTATTGCGTTGTTTTATATAACAAAAGCACCTGATCATCAGATAAATATCATTGCATGAAATCAAATCCTAAGTAATCACAACAGTTTCAAAACTCATAATCTCATCATTCACTCAACAACACATATAGGACACTCTGTCAATTTGATTTCAAAACCAATCTCAACTTTCCTAGACCATGTTTTGGTTACCCTCTTGTAAACTGTTAGTGTAAAGTAAGCAGAACTGCTGTGGAAACTAAGCATAGCTGCCTGGAGCAATCATGGTAATCATATCTCGACATGTATATCACTGTCACCAAGAATCAAATATCCTCAGATTTGTTTCTTCTCATCTGGTGTATGAGATGTCGAAATAGCAGGTGACAGCATAGGAGTTTCTATGGCATCAAATGTCGTTCATTCACAAACTCTGGATTTAAAGTTTGAAGATCAATCAAATGAGACTAAGGGTCATATTGCTATTTAGTTTCTATGCCATTTCAAATAGAACCATTTAAATATGATGTCTCTTTTATGAATTTAATGCTCAGAATATCAATTCAAATAAATGGAAAATAAGGTAATTTCATAAAAAAAAATTGAAAAATAAATATGCTTCAATATAATACAAAAATTGTCAAATGTGTAGTGAACAAGTCGCACTAAAAGATTGTATCCTTAAACATTGTGCAGACAAGCATCTATGTTACCATCCCCCCCCCCCCCCCCCTCAAAAAAAACTTCCCTTCCATCATGAGTCTCACATGTACTTGATCAAGGTACATTATTACAGATTTGAGACAGGAAACCATAAATTCTCTTTCTGTGTCTGTCTGTCTGTCTTATTCTCAGCTGGTCCTGATAAATCCCTCTGTTTCTTTGACCCACAGCTGAAAAACCATGAACTTAGAGGTCTGTGTTTGCTTCTCTCCCTCCCTCTCTCACTCCCTTCCTCTCTCCCTCCCTCCCTCATCCTTTTTTTTTACCCTGCAACCATCTTCATCTACCTCCAACGCTATACACTACCATCCTTTTCTCTTTTTTTCTTTCTGATATTCTCTAACACCAGTTTTCTCCACACCACTCTTCATCCATCTCTCCCTTTATATGCTGTATCTCACTCTGCTCTCTTCCACTTTCTTTCTTTCTTTCTTTCTTTCTTTCTTTCTCCCTCCCTCCCTCCCTCCCTACACTCTCCCTTCTCTCTCTCTCTCTCTCTTTCTCTCTCTCCATCTGTGATATCCTCTGCTCGTGCCCTCTATATTTTGTTCCCATAACCCTTCTTTCTCATGTATTTCAAATGCGTTGTGAATGAAGTGAATGCAATTTCTATCTTTCATCCTGCCATATATTGTAGGACACTGCATATATTGTTGGCCAAAATACATGCCCCCTAATAAACAGAAAAGACCACTAATAATTTTAAGTTGATTTGGCAAAAGCAAAATGAGATCCAGGAGGCTCATTAGCTGCTCAAACCTAGATGTTTAAAAAATAGAGGGTGAAGATGGCCCATTGAAAGTCATTTCTCACAAGCTGTTGTTAACACTTACATTCAAGTAACTACAAAGATATGTTGTTGAATATATTCATAAATAGGATGGTTAGCATTAGTCTAATTCCGTTATTAAATTTGGTTTTCAAGGAAATTAATATCCAAGTCATTACAATTATATTATTGAAAGTATATTTTTCATGGACCTTTTCTTACTGTTTTTTTCTTCTCATATAGCATATAAACCCATAAATTTATACAATTAATAGCAACTCCTTTTGCCGTCTACTGCAAAATTACACTACAAATTTAGACAAATGATAAATCCTAACACAGAAACAAAAAACTCTTACCAAAAATAACTACTGTAATTGAGTTTGACCATGCTTAACAGATGGGAAGATAGAAGGAAATCATGTTAAAAAAATAACTAAAAGGGAGTGATAAATACATCCTTCCAGCTGGAAATTTAACAAGCTTGAATTATCTGACTGATCAGTCACAGCTGCCCCCCCCCCCCCCCACCCCCATCATCATTAAACCTCGGTTTTCCCCTTAATTCATGCTTTTTATCATCATATTCAAATATCTGGAAATTATGGATAGTACAAAAAAGTAAGATATATTCAGTAGACATCTCTTGTATAAAGTTACACTAACTACTAACCCAGAGTTATTGATGTAACAACAGGAACATATTGCTATGTTGGGCAAGCACACCACTTATTGGATTTTGATTTGGTATATCATATGTGTACAGTACTTCTGAACAATTTATTATTCAATTTTTTTATCAAATTTCCAAATCTTTAATTCATGGACATACATTTCTTTCTCTGGAATGAAACCTTAGAAAAGTTAGAATGGAGTTGGAGCCTCTGAAAAGAAAAAGAAAATGACACAGAGTGCAACCCCTCTAGAACTATGAACAACAAGGTCAGGCTTCCACTACCATAAAAATATACATTTCACAAGCGCTTTGATTTTCAAGATGATGGGACAACTTTTCTCTGTCCAAAAACAGTAGACACTTCATTGGACTTTGGAAAGCCGTAACCATGTATGATACTGATAGGAATATGCGTGTAACCTGTAAAACTATGTAATACACTCAGAATAATGGAGGAAATAAAACATTATCAACTTACTTTCTCTTTCTGCGATCATACATCAAGTAGAAGATGAGGAGTGATAAGAGGATGATGAGGATGATAGCGCTGATGACGATAGCGATGACGTAGGTTGAAGAGAAGTTTGTATGCCTATTCTCAAGTACAAGTCCAGGAGCCAAGCTAGCAATTTCCTCTGTTAAAAAAAAAATCCAATGTTATCAGAACTGTGTTGGCAAGGACATTATTTCATTTTAAAGGGTTAAATTAAATTATTGAAATATAATTCCTTATTCAAAACTGTTCTTTATCAACTTGATAGAATAGTGCTTTCACATCAATGGGATATGTACAGTAAATGTAATAAACTATCCTTCTCAAGTTGTGAAAATGTCATAGCCAAACACTTGACAAAATATTTTCATGATTTGATTTTTCAGCCTACTTCTGGAGAATTCAAAAGGCAATTTTCATTATGTAACCAAATTTATGAATACCGGTATGCCTTTGTGAAGTGCCTCAATGCAAATTATTTCATTCATCTGTTACAAATAAATGTATCTCAATAGTCAAAATTCAAATTGCATACATTAGTTGTTGTTATATTCCACATATTAAGAATCTTGCTTTACGATTGGTCAAAAGTAAATCACGTGATGAAAGAAAGTTCGCCCATTATTTATGGGAGAAGCAAAAAGTTTGTTACACTGTGTAGATAGTACTACTATCTACACAGTGCAACGCACTTTCACTGAAGATAGAGGTACTATCTACACAGGGCAACGCACTTTCACTGAAGAATATCCAGAAGCGCACTAAAACAGGCGTAATTAAGCGCGCATTACCAATGAGCGCAATTAAAGCAAACACATGCGCGCACTCTCAAGGGGTTGGGTTAAACTTTTAACTTTTTTGGTGTGAATTTGGGCCTGGTGTCTTTCATGTAGATGCATACACGTCCTTTTCTTTTTGTAGTTAAATTGTTTTAAATGTGGAATATAAAGCAAATAATCACCTCTTGGTTTCAGGCGATGGCAAACTATCACTTCCTCGTCGATCAGAATGTATAGCTATCTTTCCTCAGCTTCGCTTCGGAAAGATAGCTACATCCAGATCGCCTCGGAAATGATAGTTTGTCCCATCACCTTCACCATCGGTAGTTATTTGCTTACTACGTAGAACAACATTATGGATTGGATTGCCCTACCTAACAACACATAATATATGCAATTTGCATTCTGACTTTTGAAATACAATTATTTGTAATAGATGAATGAAATAATTCATATCGAGGCACTCAAGTATAAGTTGGGTTATATAACGAAAATGGCCTATTAGACAATACAGATATTAATGGTGATCTTTTAAGAAGCAATAACTACATGTATGCTTTAAAAGATAATTGCATAAGTTTATGAACATTTTTCATACTTCATTTACAACATTATTGGAATTCCCAATAAAATAAAATAAAACATTACTAATATTTTGTTGGTGATTATTTTGCTATTCCTATATGGTCTCACCTGGGCTCTGCTGAGTGGGTACAAATCCAGCGCCAGCGCTGGTTGTTACACTTTCTTGCTTCTTAGTTGAGGACAGATCTACAATATTAAGAGGTCCAGTTGTAGAATAATTTGTTACTGGTGTGGTAATGGGAAGAGTTGTTGCCTGGGTTGTTAAAGTTGTTGGTGCTACTGTTGTTGTCTCTGCAGGAGTTGTGGTAGCAACTACAGCAGTAGTTGTTGGGGGTATAGTTGTTGTGGTGGGTTTCGGAGTTGTGGTTTGAATAATGCATGCCCCCGATACCGGGTCACAAAGGTGAACTCCGCAGTCACATTGAAGTTGACAGGAGAGCCCAAAGGTATCCTCTGGGCACGGATTGGAGCAAGATGTACCGTGCCATCCCGCCTCACAAATACACTGCCCTGACGTGGTATCACACTTTGCATTGTTATCACACAGAGGACAGTGATCGGTACAGTTTCTCGCCTGAAGACCTGGTATGCAGACACTGCAGTCATGCTGAATGTAGCCTACAGGACACATACAAAGACCCTGGCTGGACATACAGTCACCTCCATTCCTGCACTGAGGTTCACAGTGGTTCACGCAAGCTTCGCTGTGTAACGATGGCCTACACAACCCACAGTTATACGTCACTTCATATCCCGGCTGGCATAAACAGTATCCTGTGACGACATCGCAGTATCCATTGTTCTGGCATTCAGAAGGACAGTGCGTTATGCAGTTGTCCGGATGCGTGCGAGGATCACAAAGGCGACAGTCATCACCAACATAACCATCTTTGCACATGCATCTCCCCTCTGCTACGTTACATAAACCACCCGCACGACATATGGTATGACAGAAGCGCATGCAATGATCAGTCACTCTTAAAGGATCGCAGAAGCTACAGTCCGCTTCCAAGTCAAAGCCATACGGACATGAGCAATCTCCAGTATGAGTATTACAGTAGGCATTGACGCAGGTCAGGTCGCAGTGGTCCCCGCATCCATTGGGGTGAAGAGAAGGGTAACAGAGTGAGCAGTAGTCTCCTTGATAGCCATCCTCACAGGCACATCTCCAAGTCACCAGGTCACACTTGCCTCCATTCTCACACGTCTGGTACGGACACAGAGTACAGTTGGACAAGATAGTGTGATCACACAGGTTACAATCCTTCCCAGAATACCCTTCCTTGCACAAGCATGCTCCTACTTCCTGGCGGCAGGAGCTAAGCGCATCGCAGTAAGGGCTGGCCAGACACTCGGTCAGACATTGACCGTTGTTATCGTAGGGGCAGGACCGGTCGCAGTCGGGCCCTGTGTAGCCTGGAAGACACCTGCAAGCATTGGATCCTATGGCACACTCAGCATTGGGAATACAGGCACACTCCAAACCTGTGCAAGATAGAATAATCAACATTCACATCAATATTTGAATAATACATACTGAGGTAGTCACTTTTCGTACTTCGTACAATTTGGCACAAAAAATATAAATAGATTCATATTACCAATGTTTGAAATTGAATACCTAACTGTCATTCAAATCTGAATACTTATGCTTTTGTAGAAATTCATGGCCAATTGTTCTACAAATCTGCATTTCTCCATTCAACCTTAATTCTTTCTACTTCTTTATCTACTTTGTCTAGTTTGTCCTTTTTTGTTTCCTTGTTGATTTTTGTGTTATTTTTATTTTGTATGTTATTGTATTTTTTTTAATAAACTTTTAATTGCATTTAAATGGACAGTTCTTACTCTTAATCATAAGATGTAAATTTAATTTGTTTCAGCTCTAATGGCTATCATTAGTTTTTCTTCAAAAAATAAACCATATTTAAATCTAATCAAATCAAATCAAATCAAAATACACGTTCAGAGGAGCTGTGAGTAATTTAGCTCTGAGAAGCTCTGAAGAGTTCTGGCTCACAAAAAAGTTGTGTGATTTTTTCTTTATTCTTCAATTATTGCTGCAAAGAGATTTCACATTTACTACATTACAAGCACTTTAACACATCTTTGATAGTGTACAACAGAATAGTGTACAACATGATATTGTGAATCGTTGTAAATGAAAGCATACCCAGCAATATTTACAACATTGAATGAAACAAGTGCATACCTTCATCTGGCCATCTGCATCTCATTCCAGCTCCTACGATACTATGACATTCCATAGCTGCTCCACTAACACTGAAAAAGGAGAACAATATGCTTTATTTTGTATTTAACTTAGAGTATATTACAGGAAAAAGTCCCCCCACCTCTGAAATTGGTTTCAATAGGACAAGAACATTCAAGAAATAGATCAGTGAAAGTTTAAGCAAAATCTGGTAACAAATAAGGAAGTTACGAATCTTTGAAGTTTTATCAATCAAACAAAGATTGGCAACTACGATGTATCTTGCTATAAAATCACCGCACATATACACAACACCTGTAAACAAAAAAGTATAACTTCATAATTATGGAAATTTACAACAAATTTCAAACTATCATTGATATATTTCTTAGTTGTCTGCTTTGAGTGAAACAAGCTAAATATCAGAGTGGACCTTCCTTTTAACAATTTAAATCCTCTGTAACATGCAACATTCAATTGTTTTTATTTTTTAACCCCAAATTGCCACAAATTCATTGAGGATCACTCTCTGTTTTGTAAGGTGATTTGATTTGTAACTTTTACAAATGGAATGCATTCACTTGCATGCTCATCATCTGATCTCAAAACATTTAGGGATCTTACATCTATCATTAATTTAATTTCAACTCCTTTTAAATCATGACCGAGTCAAAATAATGAAGCATACTATTTTCCAAGTAAAAGCAGTTAAATGTATATCTTGAGTTTTCTGACAGTAATCTATGGTATGATATTACGCAGTATAGAGAATGTATTCATTAATTCATTTCTTTCTTTCTTTCTTTGTTTTTTTTCTTTACTACATACATACAGTAGAATACATCTTAAAGGTAAAGACCAGTTATGGTCATGCGATTGCATTGTGAAAGAAACGTTGTGGAATCGATCAGAAAGGGTTGATCATCTAGCATCTAGCATCTGCAAGGTTCTGGAATCATCAAAATGATAAGAAATTTGGCCCATTCTTCGTAAAGTTACAAGCACTATACACAGAAAGATGTATATGGGACTACCCTATATCTCTCACAGACCATGAGAGAAACAAATTTACCAAATATATGAATTAGTAGGCGGTTTCCCGGCAAATTTTTTATCATCATGTATTAGTCAAAACATATTCTTTCACATGATTGGTAATGAGAGCTTCCATTTCATTTTTTGAAATTGGGGCATTTCCAATACTGGTCTTTACCTTTAATATTGACATGAATGAATGACTTACAAGTGGGTGAGAGCACAGATGAGTATGCATCCCAAGACCAGAGAGCATTGTAAGCCAGCCATGTTTCCCTGAGCTTGGTCAGTCTGTCTCTTGAACCTCTATCATGGTACACCTACTCATCTTACCTGATGGGGGAATAATATGACAAAATAGATAGATTTGAATATACATATACGCACCGGTATATATATGTTTTCATTATTGGCTGTGGAAACGCATTGGTATATAAGCCCCTTATTATCTGAAATCATCATAAGTAGAACTAGTTCAGACAGTCATTGAAAAATACATTTTCCGCATTTTAAAGATAAACTTGAGTTCTGGTAATGCGATTGCATTGTGAAAGAAAAGGTGTGGAATGGATCAGAAAAGTTGATCATATAGCATGTACATGTAAGTAATGGTGTGTAATGCAAGGTTCTGGAGTCATCAAAATCATCATAAATTTGGCAGAGTCTTGGTAAAGTAACAATCACTTACACAGAAAGATGTATATGGGACAACACACATGATGTCGGGGCTAGTACTATACCCTGATTTCCTTATCTTTCTATACTCATTACTCAGCCAGTATACATTTTCTTCCAAAATTGTTTGGCACATGACATTTATTTGTAATCTTGAACATTCAGTGTAAGTTTCGTTAGATTCTGTGAGAATTCATTTTCTTATTTTACCAGAACTCAAGTTTATCTTTAATCTCATGTATTATTATTATTATTATTTATATAATTATGAATAATTTTACTGCAATTGCTTGTCAATCTGGGCAATGTTTCACAAGTACATGTACAAGTACGCTAACATCCCATTAAAATGCATATTAATTGCAATAAGCAGTTTCAATTTGATGTAGGGAAACCTATACTTGTCAAAGTTTAATGAACGATGCCTCAAACACAACTGTATTAGGTATACCTTATCCAAAATGCTCATCCAATGGATGACAATCTAAGCACTTTATAATTATCCAGTGTAAAAGATCATTATTATTATCATTTTAAAATTTAACTAAAATGTGATGGAATGTCAGTCCTGCCATGTCCTTGCACAATTACAGGTCCAGGCATTTTATCAATTCTAATATGTCTTCATTGAAGTATGGATAATATTGGATATATTGTATAAAGCAAAACTGTCAAGGAAAATGAACACACTCAAACTGAACAGGAGATAGTGAGATACAAAGTCATAGACCATTCTCGACTGGGCTTTGAGAAATGAGGTGGCAGTTCATGATTTTGCTTCCAAAAATAAGTAAAACTCTGGATTACATTTTATGAGAATGTCTACCTTGACTCTGTCCACATGTAACAATTCATGTTTGTTTTTTTATTTAAATAATCCAGTATCTATCTAGTACCTATTACAATAACCCTATCTAGAGACATAAATTGTATCTTCAACAACTTACCCAATAAAACATTTAGCTCCAATATTCAACAAAACATTAATACACTGTAGAAGCGCCAGCCAAAGAAATATACATCATTTGATAATGATTTGAAACATGCTAAATTCTCTGTAATAACATGGATGGATAGAACAAGAGCCACAAACATATACTGGTAATACAATTATATGTGATGTATACATTGCACGTACAATGGACATTGGACTGGCACCAAGACAGGCAAATATTTATTCAACGGTAATCGCTGGAATCTTGAGTCATCAGCATCTACTATAAATTTGCTGGATTAAAGAAGCACGTTAGTTCTCAGTAAAGAAACAGGCAAGTTTGAACTTGATATTTTAGTCAAATCTTCAAGCAAAATGAGAATAACAATAAAATCTGGTTTCCTTTATTTTAAACCCTGGCACAGTTAGCTGCTATTACTTTAAGGGGAAGCCCCCCCCCCCTCCAATGGGTCAATGTCGCTATTCATAAGGACCGCTATTCATAAGGTCCGCTATTCATAAGGTCCACTATTCATAAGGACCGCTATTCATAAGGTCCGCTTTTCATAATTGGAGAAAAGGGTCATTATTCATAAGGGTCATTATTCATAAGAACCGCTATTCATAATCAAAGAAGAGGGTCGGTATTCATAATAGGAGAAGAGGGTCGCTATTCATAATACGACATGAGGGTCGCTATTCATAAGGGTCCCTATTCATAATATTACAAAAGGGTCGGTATTCATAACACAGAAAGAGGGTCGCTATTCATAATACGAAATGAGGGTCGCTATTCATAATACGAAATGAGGGTCGCTATTCATAATGAAAAATGAGGGTCGTTATTCATAAGGGTTATTATTCATGAGGGTCATTATTCATAATAAGAAATGAGGGTCGCTATTCATAAAAGGAGAAGAGGGTCGCTATTCATAATAGAAGAAGAGGGTCGCTATTCATAATAGGAGTAGAGGGTCGGTATTCATAATAAGAAATGAGGGTCGCTATTCATAATAGAAGAAGAGGGTCGCTATTCATAATAGAAGAAGAGGGTCGCTATTCATAATAGAAGAAGAGGGTCGCTATTCATAATAGAAGAAGAGGGTCGCTATTCATAATAGAAGAAGAGGGTCGCTATTCATAATAGGAAATGAGGGTCGCTATTCATAATAAGAAATGAGGGTCGCTATTCATAATAGAAGAAGAGGGTCGCTATTCATAATAGAAGAAGAGGGTCGCTATTCATAATAGAAGAAGAGGGTCGCTATTCATAATAGGAAATGAGGGTCGCTATTCATAAAAAAAGAAATGAGGGTCGCTATTCATAATAGGAGTAGACGGTCGCTATTCATGATACGAAATGAGGTTCGCTATTCATAATACGCCCCACCCCCCCCCCCCCCCCCCTCGGCTACGTTCCTGGTCCTGTAGGGGGGGCGATATATAGCCCTGAATAGTTGTCTCTTTTTAAAGTAATTATATTTTATCTGTTATCTTTGATAATTATATAGAGCCAACCCCCGTTCATGTGGTGACGAAAAAAAAGTTAAGTCCCTACAACCCCCTCTCTGTCGCTTTCTTTCTTTGCTGAGGATAAGATACATGATAGATCAACCCCTTGAAGGCAACACTGATACAACCCCACCGCCCTCACCCTTAAACACACACAGGCTACGCCATCTATGAACTACTTGGACGAGAATTGTCGCTAATATGTACATGTATCAAGGGAATACTGCCGGGAGGGTGGGCCGAATTGGGGAGGGGGGGCACGCCTTTCTTTCTTCAGAAATGTGAGTTTTCAATAAATATTTTCTTAAAATGTTTGGGACCATGTGGCCTACCCCACCCCCCCCCCCCCCCCGGCCTACGCTGTAGCCATGGGGTGTCCATTATGTCGCTTTCTTATTAACATTTAGTTTATTGCTTATGTAATTTTGACTTTTTCGGTATTATGAATAGCGACCCTCTCGTCGCATTATGAATAGCGACCCCCTACTCCTATTATGAATAGCAAACCTCATTTCGTATTATGAATATCGACCCTTTTCTCCTTTTATGAATAGCGACCCTCATTTCCTATTATGAATAGCGACCCTCTTCTCCTATTATGAATAGCGACCCTCTTCCCCTATTATGAATAGCGAACCTCATTTCGTATTATGAATAGCGACCCTCTTCTCCTATTATGAATAGCGACCCTCTTCTCCTTTTATGAATAGCGACCCTCTTCTCCTATTATGAATAGCGACCCTCTTCTCCTTTTATGAATAGCGACCCTCTTCTCCTATTATGAATAGCGACCCTCTTCTCCTATTTTGAATAGCGACCCTCATTTCCTATTATGAATAGCGACCCTCATTTCCTATTATGAATAGCGACCCTCTTCTCCTATTATGAATAGCGACCCTCTTCTCCTATTATGAATAGCGACCCTCTTCTCCTATTATGAATAGCGACCCTCTTCTCCTATTATGAATAGCGAACCTTATTTCGTATTATGAATAGCGACCCTCTTCTCCTATTATGAATAGCGACCCTCTTCTCCTATTATGAATAGCGACCCTCTTCTCCTATTATGAATAGCGACCCTCATTTCGTATTATGAATAGCGACCCTCTTCCCGTGTTATGAATAGCGACCCTTATAAGTAATGAACCTTATTTCGTATTATGAATAGCGACCCTCTCGTCGTTTTATGAATAGCGACCCTGATTTCATATTATGAATAGCGGTCCTTATGATTAATGACCCTTAATATGAATTATGAATAGCGACCCTCATCTCACGTTATGAATAGCGGTCCTTATGATTAACGAACCTTATTTCATTATGAATAGTGACCCTCTTTTGCCATTATGAATAGCGGACCAGGAAGTACGGGAATTTACACGTTATGAATAGCGGTCCTTATGAATAGCGCACCTTATGAATAGCGGTCCTTATGAATAGCGAATAGACCCCCCTCCAATAATATATATTTGTTTTGATAAAAACAGATTATGCAAGAAAGGAGTGACAGAAAGCAGAAAAAATGATTTAAAAAGAAACAGAATTAAACAAGTGTACATGTATATGGCTACAAGAGAACTGTAGAAGAAAACAAATCTATAACTGAACACATCAAAAACTGAACCATTACTTGTTGGCTTTAATAAAATTACAATTCCATAAACATGTACACTAGTTCATTCCAACATTCTATGCTTTTTTCCAGGTATACATGTATGTAGCAAAACATGGAATACATCATTATGATGACATGTAGATCAGCATCCTTCCAAAATGGTTTTGATTTTTTTTTAATGTAGTGCAGATATCATTGATATCACAAAGAATCCATTTTTGGTTCACAGACCTAGACCACTCTGCATTGCCACTGGGACCTCGTTCCTCTCAAAGAGGATCGAGAAGTTAACAGATCAAAGTGATGCTAGATTCTTCTTAAACAGTGAATGTGAAAGGAATATACCACAAACTTCTTCAAACTGTCTAGGAGTGTCTCCATACCCTGAGCTGTGGCCTCTATGATTTACAAGTGTTTTCCCATAATATTCCTCAGCAGGCTCCACAAAGTTTTTATGAAAATAAATACAATTTGACATTTTTTCAAGTTCATTGAATTGTCACCTGGATGCAGGATGAGTCATCCTTCCTTTCTATGAAAATACATTTTATTATATCATCTTCATAGTGATAAAACTACAGCACCTCCCACTGTGCA